TGTAGTATTGGACGACTATTGACAATTAACCTAGAATTTGAAAACAAATTCAGGATTACAAGAAAATTATTCGTTCATTGTGAACGATTAATGAAAATGGATTTCTCACTGAACAATGACCGAGTAATTGAAAGAATTTATTTTGATGGTCTAGTAATCTAATGTGTGAAATGTATCAATTGAATTTACCAGAGGCCAGGGATGTTTGTAATTGGCCTTGTGAGTTAATTTGCATCCCCCCCCCCAATGTTTAGTGAGCGGCAGAAAAGGTTCCTCCAGGACAAACGCCCGGCCGCCGATTCCCCGGCCAGGTCTAATTCTATATCCAGTATTTTTGAAATTTTCGACTAAAGCATTTACAGAGCATGAGAGCACACTTAGATGCCTTCATGGGCATTTGTGAGTGAGAAGAAATCTTCCAACAAGAGAGTTAAGGTTTATTCTAGTATCATTGGTATTCACCGGGGAATATGCGGTCGGGCATTTGTCCTGGAGGAGGCATAATTTTTTTTTGTCCTCGAATTTGAAAATTCCCAATGATACTGGAAATGACATGGACTAAAATGTTTGAACCCACGACAGAATGAAATGATAGTCCCAACGTCTAAAATAATGAAATGTCCTGAGGCATAATATTTTTTAGTCCTCGAATTTGAAAATTCCCAAAGATACTGGAAATGACATGGACTAAAATGTTTGAACCCACGACAGAATGAAATGATAGTCCCAACGTCTAAAATAATGAATTGTGCTGAGGCAAAATATTTTTTAGTCCTCGAATATGAAAATTCCCAAAGATACTGGAAATGACATGGACTAAAATGTTTGAACCCACGACAGAATGAAATGATAGTCCCAACGTCTAAAATAATGAATTGTGCTGAGGCAAAATATTTTTTAGTCCTCGAATTTGAAAATTCCCAAAGATACTGGAAATGACATGGACTAAAATGTTTGAACCCACGACAGAATGAAATGATAGTCCCAACGTCTAAAATAATGAATTGTGCTGAGGCATAATATTTTTTAGTCCTCGAATTTGAAAATTCCCAAAGATACTGGAAATGACATGGACTAAAATGTTTGAACCCACGACAGAATGAAATGATAGTCCCAACGTCTAAAATAAGGAATTGTGCTGAGGCATAATATTTTTTAGTCCTCGAATTTGAAAATTCCCAAAGATACTGGAAATGACATGGACTAAAATGTTTGAACCCACGACAGAATGAAATGATAGTCCCAACGTCTAAAATAATGAAATGTCCTGAGGCATAATATTTTTTAGTCCTCGAATTTGAAAATTCCCAAAGATACTGGAAATGACATGGACTAAAATGTTTGAACCCACGACAGAATGAAATGATAGTCCCAACGTCTAAAATAATGAATTGTGCTGAGGCATAATATTTTTTAGTCCTCGAATTTGAAAATTCCCAAAGATACTGGAAATGACATGGACTAAAATGTTTGAACCCACGACAGAATGAAATGATAGTCCCAACGTCTAAAATAAGGAATTGTGCTGAGGCATAATATTTTTTTGTCCTCGAATTTGAAAATTCCCAAAGATACTGGAAATGACATGGACTTAAATGTTTGAACCCACGACAGAATGAAATGATAGTCCCAACGTCTAAAATAATGAATTGTGCTGAGGCATAATATTTTTTAGTCCTCGAATTTGAAAATTCCCAAAGATACTGGAAATGACATGGACTAAAATGTTTGAACCCACGACAGAATGAAATGATAGTCCCAACGTCTAAAATAATGAATTGTCCTGAGGCATAATATTTTTTAGTCCTCGAATTTGAAAATTCCCAATGATACTGGAAATGACATGGACTAAAATGTTTGAACCCACGACAGAATGAAATGATAGTCCCAACGTCTAAAATAATGAATTGTGCTGAGGCATAATATTTTTTAGTCCTCGAATTTGAAAATTCCCAAAGATACTGGAAATGACATGGACTAAAATGTTTGAACCCACGACAGAATGAAATGATAGTCCCAACGTCTAAAATAATGAATTGTGCTGAGGCATAATATTTTTTAGTCCTCGAATTTGAAAATTCCCAAAGATACTGGAAATGACATGGACTAAAATGTTTGAACCCACGACAGAATGAAATGATAGTCCCAACGTCTAAAATAATGAATTGTGCTGAGGCATAATATTTTTTAGTCCTCGAATTTGAAAATTCCCAAAGATACTGGAAATGACATGGACTAAAATGTTTGAACCCACGACAGAATGAAATGATAGTCCCAACGTCTAAAATAAGGAATTGTGCTGAGGCATAATATTTTTTTGTCCTCGAATTTGAAAATTCCCAAAGATACTGGAAATGACATGGACTAAAATGTTTGAACCCACGACAGAATGAAATGATAGTCCCAACGTCTAAAATAAGGAATTGTGCTGAGGCATAATATTTTTTAGTCCTCGAATTTGAAAATTCCCAAAGATACTGGAAATGACATGGACTAAAATGTTTGAACCCACGACAGAATGAAATGATAGTCCCAACGTCTAAAATAATGAATTGTCCTGAGGCATAATATTTTTTAGTCCTCGAATTTGAAAATTCCCAATGATACTGGAAATGACATGGACTAAAATGTTTGAACCCACGACAGAATGAAATGATAGTCCCAACGTCTAAAATAATGAATTGTGCTGAGGCATAATATTTTTTAGTCCTCGAATTTGAAAATTCCCAAAGATACTGGAAATGACATGGACTAAAATGTTTGAACCCACGACAGAATGAAATGATAGTCCCAACGTCTAAAATAATGAATTGTGCTGAGGCATAATATTTTTTAGTCCTCGAATTTGAAAATTCCCAAAGATACTGGAAATGACATGGACTAAAATGTTTGAACCCACGACAGAATGAAATGATAGTCCCAACGTCTAAAATAATGAATTGTGCTGAGGCATAATATTTTTTAGTCCTCGATTTTGAAAATTCCCAATGATGTTAGAAATGACATGGACTAGAAATCAGTAAAAGAGACCTCTCATGGAAGACTTTAAAAACTGATTTTTTTGTGGTTCGATTAAAGTAGTAAGATGCTGTGGTTTTTTTTTCAAAATGAATCATTAATTTTCTTGTAATCCTGATTTTTTTTTAAATCCGACGACTAAAAAAACTGTAAAAAGTTCATGTTTATTCTTGTAAAATTCTTGGTCTTAACTATTGGAACCTAGAAATTGCATTGAAATAGTAAAGAAAACAATTAGAAATATATTTGCATTTTTGTTTTAGTTGATAATATAAATCTTGCCCGGAGATAAATTATATAGTAGTAATAGAAAATTTAGAGATTTAGAGTATGTTTCAATAAATGGTTTATTATCTGAAACAGTTCTTTGGCTGGCATTTATTTTTAAATTATATCATTCTACTATTCCACACGGACATTTAACCAATTCATTTTTGTTAAATCAATTCACAAAACATCTATTTCCATAAAAGGGATAGAGTTTAAATCTGGCTGCCTTATTTAAACGTCTGATTGAACTGATTGATTGATTGTCATTGCAGAGTGGTATGTGTGCCCTGCGAGCAATTTGTCATAACGGAGGGTGTGCGTTTAACGCTGACGACCCCGGTCGGCGCCGTCCCTTTTCCCCCATTGATCACCGCGAGCAACAGGTGCAACTGGCGGGCTGAGAAACGATTTCTTTTAGAAAATCTTCAAAATAATAATTAAAATCGAAATAAATTCGATATCGAGATTATCTTTGCTTACTATTAAGATTTTTTTATTAAAAACAATTAGAAAAAAATTGAAAGTTATTATCTTGGATAGTTTCAACTCATCTTTGTTTCATCTTGGTATAATTTCCAATTTTTCCCAAAAATAATGCATTTTAACACATTTAAATTGTTACATAAAGATCGATACCATTTTCCTACGACTACGACATAAATATGTATTATAAAATTCAAATGTAATGCCCATTTCTTCTAAAAACAAAAACAAAAACACGAAAGAGAAGATTTTAAACAAAATTAAAGATGCTTTTTTTTAAATTTTCATGGTGGTTTCTGACAATACTGATTGTGAAATTAACTGAACTAGCAGGAGCAAGCAGCAACCTGCAGCACATTCGTGTCATGCACGTTGCGTCCTTTAAAAAACAGGGTTTCAATTCCTTTTTTCTAAGCAGACCCGATTAATGCATAATTGCTTTAGCTGTAAACAAATAAATGAAACATCATAAAAAAAGGATGATTTATATAACTCATAAAACTGAAATTCCCAACATCAAAAGAAGCTCTTACCCACAATAAACCCACACATAATGTGCTCTAAAATTTACACAGCTTTATTAATATTTAAATTCTCACAATAATGAGCGAACTGATAAGATTTTTCTTGAGCCTTTAAACAGTGAAAAAATGCAAACTTTTTATTATATTGTAGCATAAACGAGATACTAATATGAAAGTGTTGCGATCCAATAAAATCTGGGTGATTTTCCGATTCGCTTTTCGCGCCCTGAGGCCAGTTATATAATTTGGAATGTTGCGCTGAATGAAATTTCCTCCCGTGGCACAATTGAAAAACGTCGATCTTGGAATCTTCGCCCGCGACATAAATAGCTCTATGACTGTAAAACGTTGTTACATTTTCAGTTCTTTTGGAACAGTGGCGTAAACAGCTATTGTGCAGAGTGGGCCTGCACACGGCCCACTAGCAAAAAGGGCCCAACAAAGAAAAATTAGGCAACCAGCTTTGCTTTTAGGTAAGGACCTACTTTACAAAGCAGCCTACTTTACAAGGGGTCCCACGGCCCCAAATTTGAAAGTTACGCCACTTTTTTGGAATGATGCAATAAAAATTTTTGCGAGCAATTTTCATCCGCTCTAAACTTCCTATTTGATTACTCATATTTCCCAGCTGTCGGTGCGGTGAAAATAATAAAAATTGAAAAACGGAAGTAATGCTTCCTGTAAAGAGAGGCAAGCTCATGACGACCAGAGTAGTCGTTTGAATTATAAATGCTTTGCAAACAGCAATCTGTCTGATGAAATGAACTATTACTTTTATTTTATATTGATAATAGTGCTTCATTCCACCAAATTATTTGACATCAGCCAAGTAAGTTGTTGTAAATAATGTTAAAAATGAACGAAATTTCCAAAATCACCAGTGGGACGTTAAATGTGAGATTATAGAGGGTGTTTCTATCTTTCAATGGATAAATTATAAAAAATTTCGTATAAAAAAGAGCACAGATCAAACTTAAATTTGCTGATCCCTGATCCACAAGCCAGCATAAATCATTACATGAACTAAAACTATCTTAATTATTTAAAGAGATTAGAAGAAATAATAATATTTAATTAAACATTTTTTTTTAAATTTTACGAATTTTGTAAAAGTACTATTTTTTGTGCCACCGCTTTGCAACAAATTAGCCTCCTCATTTTTACTTAATATTTATTAGTAATGTTACATCATTGAAAGCTATCTTTTGTTTGATTAACTGGAAAAATTTCCTACCCATTTTAGGCTCAAAAACGTAAGGATGGGCGAGGAAAAGGTTTGCTGTGATATATAGCACAAAAAATATTATAAACTTTCATAATATTTCAATTTTTGCTTTCGTCAGCCAAATACAATCGCAATTCAGCCAGGCACAAAGTTATTCGTTGTTGTGGTGCACAGTCGTGTACTCAATTCAGCGCCATATTCAAAGCAACAACTGCAATAACTAATGGGTCTGCCTCTTCCGCGTCGACAATGACGTTGAGAGTGACAAATGTCCAAGTTACGCTATCTGAAACGCAATCGTCCGAAATCAGCGATGCCCCTGTTCAATCAGTGGAAACAACAACAGCAATCATCAATGAAATTACTGCAAGGAAAAGTTAATTTTTGTGAATGACATATGATGAATGTTTATTTTTAGTCAGCTCTATCTTCGAGTGAACAAAATTTACCAGCCGTGTCAGACTCCACAACAGAAACCACTGTAACGATCCAGAGCGAAACTCCGGTCTCCTCCATACTTCCAGATCCAATAACTAAAATGCAAGCAGATGAAACTACCTTATCAACATTTGCACAAGTTGAAAGCACTACAAATTTGAATAGTTTGCAACATAGTAGTTTAGCGGCACCGGAAGCCTCTCAAAAAAATGTTCCAAGTTCATCCTCAACGTCAAATTTACAAACCATAATGGGAACAACAAATGGTACAATAGCTGGAACAACCGAAATAATAGGTGGATCAACAACTGGAAAAATTGCTGGGACAACAACTGCAATCACTGACATGAAGACGATCATTTTCATAAAACCGACTGCAGCACCGACGAAAGCACCAGAGGTAATTCCAAAAACGGATTTCACGTGTAAGGAAAGGGCAATTTTATTGGATCATACGTCAAATCGTATTATTTTTAAGGTCAATACGATCCTAGGATTCCAGTGATCGAATTGACCTAAGTAGTCCTCTTTTTTGGAAAAACATGATTTAGTGTAGCGAAATGTAGATTGCATTTTGTCGTGCATTTGGAGCTTCCTTGATTAGTTGATAAATTAAATCATGATGGGTTTGTCGCGCAAATGGAAATCTTTCAATTGCACGACAAACATGGCACGCTGTTTTTCAGCGACAAATGACTTGAGATTCATTTGCACGACAATCATGGCACGCTGTTTTTCAGCGACAAATGACTTGTGATTCATTTGCACGACAATCACATCACGATACGTTTTGGCGACAAATCAATCAAGGGCCATTTCCGCGACAAACCAGCCTCAATTTATTTTAGCAACTAATCAATGAAGTGCTTTTTACACGACAAAATACATTATAATGTATGATACGTCAAATCACATTATTTTTAAATAATAGGACTACTAAGGTCAATACGATCCTAGGATTCCAGTGATCGAATTGACCTAAGTAGTCCTCTTTTTTGTAAAAACATGATTTAGTGTAGCGAAATGTAGATTGCATTTTGTCGTGCATTTGGAGCTTCCTTGATTAGTTGATGAATTAAATCATGATGGGTTTGTCGCGCAAATGGAAATCTTTTAAATGCACGACAATCATGGCACGCTGTTTTTCAGCGACAAATGACTTGTGATTCATTTGCACGACAATCACATCACGATAAGTTTTGGCGACAAATCAATCAAGGGCCATTTTCGCGACAAACCAGCATCAATTTATTTTAGCAACTAATCAATGAAGTGCTCTTTACAAGACAAAATACATTATAATGTATCACACGTCATGTCACATTGGGGGAGATTCAATAGACTTAGCTCTCCCGGGATAAAAGATATCCCAGGATATATCCAAAGGGATAAAATTTAGACCACTGTCCCAGGTTAAATATTTTTTTGTCCCGCCTTCAATTTTTTCTCCTCAAGTCATTGGGGGATATCTTTTCTTAGCCCCTCAACGGGATAAATATTTAACCCGCGCTTAAATCAAATGAGCTGGTAAATAAAAGGTCGTCAACATGCTCGCAAACTTTTTAGATTTTGGCCAATTGCAATGAACAAAAAACTTTTCAAATCAAATTTTTGTGAGGATCATGGAAATGAGGGCAAAATTGAAATCCAAAGGTAACACAAAATTCTGTATCGATCTTAATTTAAAATTGCTTATTTATTTTGCTCAGAAATTTCTAAAGACCTCTTCATCAAAGCGAAATTATGCAAGGATTTTTTTCTTTTCAAATTTTGTGCACATAAAATTTCAAATTTCTCAACTCTGAAAAATTAAAATTCTCAAGCTAATTTTTTTATTTGTAGATAAATTAAATTCGCGAATTTTTTTTAATTACACTGAACCAGAGAGAGCCCGCTTGAATAGCCCGCGATTGTCCGCCGAGCTTTCTCGGTGAGTGGCGGATCGTGGCCATCTACCGGTCAACATTGGAACGATCAGAAAGTAAACAAACCGCCTCGTGTTTTTGCTGTCGCCGGAAAGAAGAAAGAAAGCAAATAGACTCACTTTTTATTCGCCGCCGGCCAACTCGTCCCAGTCCCGACCCGAATAAGTCATCAGGTTTGAGTTTAATTGCCCGCTCAAGTCATTTAAACCCATTTTGTCGTTTCTCGTCATCTCCGCCGTCCATGTTTGGGTAATCCCCGGAGAAAATGACCATATAAGGCCCGATTTGAGAACTCGCGATCTGATTGGCCGGAACCTTCTGGAAGCGAGTAGAAGCCGACCGATGCGTTCTCTCATTGGCGCTGGGCAGTTGAGCGAGAGAGTTCGTGCTGAGACGCTGAAGGAGCAAGAGCTGCGCGCCGCGAGCTCTTGGCTGCCGACGGGTTTCGGACGAATTTCGGCCTAGATTTGCGAGTTCTCTGGTAGTGTGAATTGTTCCCTGAGTTGGTCTGGTGTTGGTTAGGCGTTTATTTGGTGAGTTTATTGGATTTTTAGTTAATTTTGCCCGGTTTGAGAAGTTACGTCGGCCGCACGTGGTGCTGAACCCCGCCGATTTTTGAGTTGTAAGTCCCGAAATTGTTTAGTTTTGCGTGGAAATTGTCGGAATAATTAGCGGTTGAATTGTTTTCGCCGCTAATTTGCATATTTTTGTCAGATTAGTGGAAGTTGCGAGTTTTGTGTAAACCGGTGAACCGAGCGCGCCCTGTCGGCGGCGGCGGTAACCGAGGCCCGATTCCTCCCATCGAGTTAGTTTGTTTCCCTTCCTCCCTTTGCCGGTAGAGGCGCTGTTGGCCGTTTCAAGTGTAAAGTACCGTGAAGTTAGCAAGTAGAATAAATAGAGGTTCAGTTTAAATTGTAATTCTTTGCGGTTTTCGTTCGTGAGTTGGAGTTTCCCGTGGGATTTAGTTTAAGATTAGGTAGAGTAGAGAGAGAGAAATAGTTTAAGAGAAGAAAAGTAAGAAGTTGAGTGGAGAAGAAGGAAATTGCAGAAAAGAGAGACTGAGAGAATACGACTGAACGAAGGAGGTGACCGGAGTTCAGTCAAGTTATTCTCTTAGTTCTGAGTCGTTGGTGGAACAGGCCGTTGCCACGATTCAGAACTTGGGGGCCTGGCCTTGTCGTGCCTCACGTCGTCTGGCGTGACTCCACGGTGTAATCCGGTGTGTTAATTTTTCTTTTTAGTGGAAAGTTGGTTGCGTTTAGAAATTTCTTTTTGGTTTTAGTGGAAAGTCTTTGAAGGTAACCCTTTGTAAGTGTCCTTGGGGGCCTTGTTAGTGTAGAAAATAGTACCCGCGAGGTGTAGGAAAATTTTGGAGTTTTAGTTTCGAGTGAATTTTTTTCTTGTAGTATTAGAAAATTGGAAATTGCATTTTGTAAAAATTGTGTGAATTTGCTGTAAATAAAGGAGTAATACAATGGATGTATTTTCTCCAAACCATTTCCCTGTCCCACAATCGACTCCATGTTACCCATATGTCGATAGTTTGCGATTGAGCGAACCACCCACCCCGTTGCAGAAATGGATACCTGTGGAACTATCTCATCAATTGATTGCCGAGGAACGTCGCCGACTGGTGGCTCAGCAACCACCATGGATGCAAAACGGTGCTCATTTTGGTGGACCTCATGGTGCACCAATGGTACTAAACGGTGCTCATTTTGGTGGACCTCCCGATGCACAATCAGCCCAAATTCCTCCTGGTGCTCAAATGGTGCACAATGGTGCTCAAATGGTGAACGGTGGTGCTCCCGCCATTCCATTCTTTGTCAACTCAGCTCGTGCTCATAGTGTCCCTATGGTTCCAAATGGTGCTCAGCTTGGCGTAGCAAGTGGTGCTCACCTCCCTTTTCACCCTAGTGGTGCCCAATCAGTTCCCTTCCCAGCCAATTCTAATGGTGCTCATGCAGCCCACGGCAATCTGTATGCTTATGGCGGGCAGAATGCTTATGGTGCTCATGTTACACCAGCCTCCATGGTGAACAACAACCTTCGTCAAACTTTTGGTGCTCAACCGGTGCATGCTGTGGTGCCGCAAACGCCTGGTGCTCAACAGGGGAATATTGCTTTTGGTGCCAGCGGTGCTCAGCCCTCTCCACAGGCCGCTGTAGGTTTCCAACCGGTGAATACTGCACACATTCCAGCATCGTCCTCCTGGCTGCACGAACGACCACCACATTTCAAAGGCATTGGTGACGTGGTTGACCCAGTAGATTTTTTAGCTCAGTTTGAGACATATGCTTTGCATCTTCCCGTCTCCATTGACGTTGCTTGCAGGTCCATGATGAAGGTTCTTCTGGAGGCTCATGCAGCTCTATGGTTTAAGTCTTTTGAGGTGTACACGCCACCAGGTTATTCCTATGTGACTTTTGCTTCGGCTTTCCGCACGCAATTCTTCCCTCAGTGCCTGCAGGATGGTTCGCATCCTTTTGATAGTGACGCTCCTTCATACATTAGCCCTGTTGGTGCTCATTCTAGTGCTCCTGTTGACAATGTTGCCAATTGTGGTATTCCTCTCAGCCCAGTTTCAAACAGTGATGCTCATGGTGCACACATTGATCTTCATGCACAAAGAGCGCAGAACACTATTGGTGTCCATAACCGAGCAGTAACGTCTTCAGAGAGTATTTCTAGTGGTGACCTTTTGACATCAACACAACAAGAACTGGCGAGTCCTGAAGATTCTCCGAAAGGTGTTGCCGAGCTTTCTCAGCACTCACAAGATGGGGGGCCGTTAGCAGCAGTTAGTAGAGGTGATCAGTCAGATGGTAAAGGTTCCAGCTCTTTGGCAGTGAATGAGGATCTTCAGCCTCTACGTCGTCCTGACCAACATGTTCGTGATACTACTCCATTGCTCTCTTTGTCCCCTCAACACACCGCCAATGTTCCCAGGTGTGAAACGGAACTGTTTCCAAAACCCCAAGCCTATTTCAGGAAGGAAGAGCCCTCCCTGTACCTACAATTGTCCTATTATCAGCTGAACCAGCTGATTAAAAAATTGAACTCCAATCCCCCTAATGATGACTGTGAGCCAGAAAAGGACCCCGAACCTGGAGATGACCCTGTACTGGTGCAGATGGGAAACGTAGATGTGGATCCTGGATCTGACCTTGAAGTCAACCTAGGACTGAGTGACCTGTTTTATGAGCCGGAGACGTGCACAATCATCAACGAGGACCACCAGCTGGCGCTAGAGGATTGTGTGAAGGACGAGATGCTGACCATTGAAACAGAAGCCTCATTACAGCACGACTACACAGAAGTGAGACCTTTTGCGAAGCTAGCAGACGCTGATGCTGGTTCTGGTTTTGGCCTGCTGCCACAAGTGACAACAACTGTACGCGCCAACGGACCTGCACTGCAGAAGACATTCTTCAACAACAGGTGCAACATCTTGGACGAGCCGCATGGACCGGACATCACTCTGAAGGAAGACAAGGCTGATAACAACCAAACTGCTCCATGTGTCCTGAAACAATCGGACACCTACGTGGGATCCAGGGCGGTCAGACTGCGAAAGTCGTCTGACAGGCGTTCAAGCAGGGCTACCCCTTACATGATTCCTCCCTCAGAACCACCAGATAAGCTGCCCTTGCGCACATTCTGCGTGGCTGACCCGAGATTTGCTGAGTGTCGTCCTTACATTCATCCAAGTCATCATCCACCCGATTCCCTCGCCCTAAGCTCCTTAAGTAAGTTTTTGCCAAATGTTTCTTCGAGACATATGACAAAAACTTGGGGGGCATGAACCAGAGAGAGCCCGCTTGAATAGCCCGCGATTGTCCGCCGAGCTTTCTCGGTGAGTGGCGGATCGTGGCCATCTACCGGTCAACATTGGAACGATCAGAAAGTAAACAAACCGCCTCGTGTTTTTGCTGTCGCCGGAAAGAAGAAAGAAAGCAAATAGACTCACTTTTTATTCGCCGCCGGCCAACTCGTCCCAGTCCCGACCCGAATAAGTCATCAGGTTTGAGTTTAATTGCCCGCTCAAGTCATTTAAACCCATTTTGTCGTTTCTCGTCATCTCCGCCGTCCATGTTTGGGTAATCCCCGGAGAAAATGACCATATAAGGCCCGATTTGAGAACTCGCGATCTGATTGGCCGGAACCTTCTGGAAGCGAGTAGAAGCCGACCGATGCGTTCTCTCATTGGCGCTGGGCAGTTGAGCGAGAGAGTTCGTGCTGAGACGCTGAAGGAGCAAGAGCTGCGCGCCGCGAGCTCTTGGCTGCCGACGGGTTTCGGACGAATTTCGGCCTAGATTTGCGAGTTCTCTGGTAGTGTGAATTGTTCCCTGAGTTGGTCTGGTGTTGGTTAGGCGTTTATTTGGTGAGTTTATTGGATTTTTAGTTAATTTTGCCCGGTTTGAGAAGTTACGTCGGCCGCACGTGGTGCTGAACCCCGCCGATTTTTGAGTTGTAAGTCCCGAAATTGTTTAGTTTTGCGTGGAAATTGTCGGAATAATTAGCGGTTGAATTGTTTTCGCCGCTAATTTGCATATTTTTGTCAGATTAGTGGAAGTTGCGAGTTTTGTGTAAACCGGTGAACCGAGCGCGCCCTGTCGGCGGCGGCGGTAACCGAGGCCCGATTCCTCCCATCGAGTTAGTTTGTTTCCCTTCCTCCCTTTGCCGGTAGAGGCGCTGTTGGCCGTTTCAAGTGTAAAGTACCGTGAAGTTAGCAAGTAGAATAAATAGAGGTTCAGTTTAAATTGTAATTCTTTGCGGTTTTCGTTCGTGAGTTGGAGTTTCCCGTGGGATTTAGTTTAAGATTAGGTAGAGTAGAGAGAGGGAAATAGTTTAAGAGAAGAAAAGTAAGAAGTTGAGTGGAGAAGAAGGAAATTGCAGAAAAGAGAGACTGAGAGAATACGACTGAACGAAGGAGGTGACCGGAGTTCAGTCAAGTTATTCTCTTAGTTCTGAGTCGTTGGTGGAACAGGCCGTTGCCACGATTCAACCTCATATCAGGTGAACATATGAGCACCTAAAATGAGCACCTCATATCAGGTGCTCATATGAGCACCTAAAATGAGCACCTCATATCAGGTGCACATATGAGCACCTAAAATGAGCACCTCATATCAGGAGAACATATGAGCACCTAAAATGAGCACCTCATATCAGGTGAACATATGAGCACCTAAAATGAGCACCTCATATCAGGTGAACATATGAGCACCTAAAATGAGCACCTCATATCAGGTGAACATATGAGCACCTAAAATGAGCACCTCATATCAGCCATCAGGTGAACATATGAGCACCTAAAATGAGCACCTCATATCAGGTGCTCATATGAGCACCTAAAATGAGCACCTCATATCAGGTGCACATATGAGCACCTACATATGAGCACCTCAAATTGCTCAATTTGCAATTGGCCAAAATCTAAAAAGTTTTCGAGCATGTTGACGATCTTTTATTTACCAGCTGATTTATTAAAATAAATAATAATATTAATAAAAATAATAATATTTATCCCGTAGAGGGGGCTAAGAAAAGATATCCCCCAATGACTTGGGGAGAAAAAATTGAAGGCGGGACGAAAAATATTTAACCGGGGACAGTGGTCTAAATCTTATCCCTTTGGATATATCTCGGGATATCTTTTATCCCGGGAGAGCTAAGTCCATTGAATCTCCCCCATTATTTTTAAATCAGAGGACTACTTAGGTCAATACGATCCTGTTCACGGGGTGTAACAAATCTGTGCCACTATGATGTTTACTTAGAAATTATTTAAATCTACGGCAATCATGGATATGTTTTAGCAACTAATCAATCAAGGGCTAAGTATATGTCAGTGGTACAGATTTGGCATACCACGTGAACCCCGAAATTATAGGATCAAATTGAACCTTCCTTACTCTTATTTGAAAAAAATATGATTTTGCGAAATGTAGAATGTAATTTGTCGAGGACTAAGCACTTCATTGATTAATACTAGGATATGGTATTGACCAAACCCTGCTCATCAGCTCTGTTATGTTGGCCAAAAAAATAGATGTCTACCTCCCAGAGCCATAAGGCCCCATGGCTCTGACGGCAGCAGAGTGTACCAACATAATTTCGGGATGAGCAGGGTTTGGTATTGACCTTAGTTTTCCATTTTACAATTGTAATATCTTATAGTAAAATCATTGTGTAAATTATATATAAAAATATTTCTTTGCTTAAATAGATTTATCCGAAATGCCCAACATCATGTCAACGTGATGTAAGCAAAAAAATTTAAATTGTATACAATGGAAATTAAAATTTGATAATTGAAGGCATCACTGTTAGATCTTGATATGTCAATAAGAGGTACGTAGAGCAATAGATAAGAATTGATTATATTTGAGAGTGCAATTATGTTTAACCTATTTAATGAAGTCTTACTTCGTGAAGTTTTTGACATATTTAATTTACATAATTTTGGAGATCCATTTGCCCACGGATTTTGGAGAACTACGTGCGGAAGTCTTTTTGTGTTTGGAAAAACTTTGGTATACTGCGATTTTATCATAATCATCAAAGGCGAAAATAAATCGAAACAAAATTTTAATAGGCAAACTGGCAGCAGAACTTTGATAAATGCTGCAGTCTTGGAATGGTACCAATATTCTTTGAGGCACGGGATAAATTTATGTGCTTCAATCGAATGATAAATGGTATTATGCATTTTATTTTCATACCCGACTAAAACAATTTCGCGTCTCATAAAAATTGTTAATTAAAATTATGTAGGGTTCAATTGGCCATACAATACTCGGTATTGGACATCAGGCTTGCGTGACAGTCCTTCCAGATTTGTATTTTGCCAAACCACAGCAAACGTATCATCTTACTATTGGGAGTCTGGGGAACCCAACAACGTTAACAAGTCGGAAAATTGTGCTCAGCTTATAATAAAGCCAGGAAACAACACTGCACTATTAGCTGATAAGTACTGTGGAGAAATCAGTGCTTTTGCCTGCATGGTGACGAAAATATCACGCCTAAATAAAAAAATATTTACGATTGTTTCTCGTGCAGGGGCCGACAACACCAAAGCCAGCCTGTTCTGCGCCCCAGTGCCCAAATATCACCTGCACGTCTAATGTTTGAAATAATCTCAACTCCTTTCTAAACAACTAATTATAAAAAATTGCAGAGCAATTTTTTTTCAAACAATTCCAGTCCTGTCGCCATCAATTACTTAAAAAGTAAAATCAACTGAGAAAAAGTGCTTCAATACAGTCAATTTTACTTAACAGACCCTTCAATGCACGGGCAGTGGTTTTCAACGCAAGGAAGATATTACGTTTTCAGTTACCCAAACGACACTCGGTCGGTAAGTGCAATTTTGGCTGTTGGGAAATAAAATTTGTAATTATTAACATAAAGTATGAACAATCACTGATGGCATGCTGCTCTATTGGCTTGAAGCTCATCAGTTTGCACCAAGATTTCATTTTTGATCTAATAAAAAATGCTTTTAAAGGTTTTCGAGTGATTTTTGTGCTCGGGACCGTTCATGAATGGTTGACCGCGAATTGGCCTAAATTTTTGGTTCACAATGCCATTCTGTAATCAAAGTATGTTGTTCGGGTTGATAAGAGGGTCCTCTGACTAAAATTTGAAATCAAAATTTTGAATACTTTTTTTGGAATTTGGGTTTTTTGAAAAAGTTGAAATTGAAAATATCTTTGCTTCTAGTGGGAATTTTGGTCTGTTCTCTACACTTCCTGACGTAACTTTTTATTCTGAACAACTTTTCTGTTGACCATTTTTGTGTTGGTCAAAGGTCAAGGTCACTAAAATTTAAATTTAATTTTTAAGTCGATTTTTCTCAAAAAAGTGTATTTTTGACATTTTTAAAGTAAATGCAAAAAATGTAGCTTATAAAATTCTGCTTCTGGTGGGTGATTTTCAGAATGGCATTATTTTTAGTTTTTCTGCAATTCTTGTCCTAAGATCGAAAAACGCGTTTTTTTTTCGATACTCGGCATTGGCGAACTTTGGTATATTAGCGATATTAAGAAATATTTCTGACAATTTATGGTCTATGAGGTTTCTCCTAGTATTTTATTCACAGATTTTGAAAATATTCCCAAATATACCAAAGTTTGCCAATGCCAAGTATCGAAAAAAACGCGTTTTTCGATCTTCGGACAAGAATTGCAGAAAAACTAAAAATAATGCCATTCTGAAAATCACTCACCAGAAGCAGAATTTCATGAGCTACATTTTTTGCATTTACTCAAAAAATATCAAAAATATACTTTTTTTGAGAAAAATCGACTTAAAAATTAAATTTAAATTTCAGTGACCTTGACCTTTGACCTACACAAAAATGGTCAACAGAAAAGTTGTTCAAAATAAAAAGTTACGACAGGAAGTGAAGAGAACAGACCAAAATTCCCACTAGAAGCAAAGATATTTGCAATTTTGACTTTTACAAAAAACCCGAATTCCAAAAAAAGTATTCAAAATTTTGATTTCAAATTTTAGTCAGAGGACCCTCTTATCAACCCGAACAACATACTTTGATTACAGAATGGCATTGTGAACCAAAAATTTAGGCCAATTCGCGGTCAACCATTCATGAACGGTTCCAAAGTTGGAAAAAATTGAAAGTAACTTAATAAAAAAAAACTAGATGGAAAAATATCACAGGCACAGTTTTGGACATCTGGTACCGACTTAGGCTGCGAGGGTAGCTTTGGGTATTGCTCGTCAAATAGACTTCTTAGAAGGGAAGCAAGGTACGTTTAAATCAATTAATTAATATTTTAAAGAAAATGTTCTGCAGATGGGGCCTCGGACAACCAGATGATTTAACCAAAAGCCAAAATTGCTTGGCAATCTATGTCAATATGACGGATTCTCTACTGAGTGATGAGGATTGCAATCTAAAAATGCGCTACATTTGCCAAGTAAATAATTGATTACAGCGAATAAGTAGTTGATTTGAAAGCAAATAATATAATAGGGAAAGTCTCCGAGGACTATCGAAACGATTCAGAAAGAGTGTGCCGACCTATACTCGTTGACAGCTGGTTAACAGATCAAATTTCTAAATTTTTAAGCCCTTAAAATCACACACAAATTGCTAGGGCAAGTATCAAGGCTTCGTAACGACAGCGCGAAAAATGTCGCAGAAAAATGTTTTTTAAAATGCTTTGGAGAGGAAACGGGATTTGTATTGCAATTTTTTTTTTGTCAATTTGTGCCGTATTTATTGGCAGCAAATTCCAGATGAAGGATGGAGATTTAGTGCAGGAAAAAATTCTCGCCCAGTTTCAATCGCTGTCACAAGGCAACGTAGACAAGCTTTCCGAATCATACAGCACTTTCGACTATTGCACGCATGTTACAAGTAACTGACAATTTGATATAATCTTTGATCCTTTCTCACTCTTTACCCCAGAGGGAATGGATGATTGCGACAGAGCTTCAGCCCTGATGAAATGCGGACAAGTAAATTCACCAGAACTCATTTCAAGCCTGCTTGATAACCTAGAAAATACATTTAAGGTGATCAAAACGGTTAAAATAATATTTTATGGGTTGCTTTAAACATTATTTTCAAAGGATGGCTCCGTTGATGACGCTGTTGTTATGTTACCGAACCAGTCATCCACATGCCCTATTCACAAATGTGTTGTGGATGTAAAATAAAATTAATTAACTGAAATTTTTATAATTTATTTTATCCTCTTTAAGGTGGATTTGAAAGCAACTTTTGATGGAGCGCCAGGTATTTTAGTCCAGAATTTTTGTTGTTTTAAGGTATTTCAATTTTCAATGCAGCAAATTCTTCATTTAAATCTATTTACGGTACTGGAAAAGTGGCCGAGGCATGTGGAAAAAGGTTGCTGGGCTTGATTATGCCACTCTCGATGGCAATTGTAAGTGCACTCAAAATTATTTTCCGCAATCCTGTCTAAATAAAAAAAACGAATAAGAATAAATCAAGTTTTCCTGAAGCGTTTGCAATTTGCTGCAAATTCGGCCTCAGACTGTTCATGTTTGATACTACAACAAAGCAAACGTGTTTGAGGACTCAAGTTTATCTTAGTAAGTTCAATCGATTCAAATCTGATGCTCGCCAAGAAAATAATTTTTATATTTTCCAGTGGATTATCCAACGGGTGTATCTGGTTACTTAATTGCTGCTTACTACATTGACCCAAGCGTAAATAAAACGGCAATAACGTGTCCATCAAGACAGCTGGTGATGCAACAAAAGGAAATAGTTGAGCAGAATACAAATGCACAAGGATTCTTTCTCACTATTAAAACATTTAGTGGTATTTTTTTTCCGTACCGCAATCCTTCCTCAGAGAAAATTCTTTGTGAAAGCAATTGAAATTATAAGTATGCACTGACTGAAAATAAAATATAAATGCGATTTGATTGAGAAGGTAGTTTTTTGCTTGTTTAAAAAGTTTAAAAAACCTTAATAACAAAAATTAAGTTTGAAAAAATATATTTTTGTTAAAAGTTAAAATCTTCAACTACTCGTGAAGTTTGCGTTTTGTTTTCAATTATAATAATAATTACCAAAACAATTTTAAAAATTACAGAATAATCACAATCTGCAACCAAGTATATTTCACGAGAAAGATAAAATATAAAATATTCAAAATTTAAAAATTCACTTTGACCTAAACTACAGATCCGTTTGATATTATTAAACAAAAAAGTTGTTGTTTTTATCAAGAACAAGGCCCGTTTCTGACTCCATAAACTTTCACTTCAAATTATACCATATAAAAAAAAATACAAGGACAATTAATTTCAATAATTTAATAAAATCATCCCCGTCCTCTTGGTTTCTATCAAAATAAAACAAAACAATAAATGTACAAATTTGGATATAGTCAAAATGTTTGTAGAAATATAATTTGAACTAAGTGACAATTTCTAATTTTGTAAATCATAGATGGAAAATTATCAGTTGAAATTGTTGTTTATTGTTATTATTAAAAAAAAATAACTGCTTGACCTGGATTAAATGGAAATTTTAAAATAATTTGCATTATCTTAAGATACGAGAACACTAAAAAAATCAAAGCAGAAAAGAAACCTATAAAGGCCAAGGAGTAAAAATTAACATATCGCTCAATCGGACGTTGATACCATTTAAAAATGAATCTTTTCGTTATTCATGAGAACTTGACAAGTCCTAACCCGGAAAATGAAAATAAAACGTATCAAATAGATTTTGAAGGTGTAGTGGTGGTTTCAATAATTAGTTTACTCGGAACAGATCAACAAAGCTTTGGTTATGAATTTCAAATTATTATTCATCTCTTTTCAATGGCGATTTAAACAATTCATATAATATTTGCTTTAAATAATTATTAAATTTTTGCTCCCCTAACAAAACATTATTTCCATTTTTCGAAAGGGATAGAGTTTGAATCTGGCTGCCTTATTTAAACGTCTGATTGAACTGATTGATTGATTGTCATTGCAAAGTGGTATGTGTGCCCTGCGAGCAATTTGTCATAACGGAGGGTGTGCGTTTAACGCTGACGACCCCGGTCGGCGCCGTCCCTTTTTCCCCATTGATCACCACGAGCAACAGGTGCAACTGGCGTGACACGGTCCTAATGCACTCGCACACAACAATTGCAATCGCTCTGTCAATCGTACATATACATCGAGTACACACACATTTCTATTCTAAAAGGAAATTTTCCTTTGTATTCCCAGTGCCCCATGTTATTATGTACAGCTCGAAAGGAGTTGCAAATTGGTAAAAAAAAAAATGTTCAGAATAATTTCACTTTATTTTTATTTTTGATAATATGTTCTTAGAAACAATTTTTATAAAATATCTTGATAAATGATAATTAAAATCAATAAGTTGAGGATGCAGATAAATATTTTTATTACAATTAATTAGAATAAAAATTGGACTTACGGATACTTTCAACTCATCTTGGTTTTCCAGAAAAACTTTTTTAATTTCCATTTTTCCCCCAAAAATATTGCATTTTAAAACAAATTTTAATTGTTACAGAAAGATCAATACCATTTTCCTCAATAATTATACAAAATAAAATGTATACTGAAAATTGTATGCCTATTCCTTCAATAAAAAAGATGGAATCAGAAGATTTCAAACAAAATTAAAGTGGCCTTTTTTAAATTTTCATTGTTATTTCTGCAAATAAGAAAATCAATGGAATTAAACTAGCAGGAGCAAGCAGCAACCTGCAGCACATCTACGTTATGCGCGTTGCGTCCTTTAAATATCATTTCTTTTTTTCCTAAGCAGATCAATTACTGCTTTTGTTATAAACAAATTTATGAAATATCATAAAAATTATGAATTATAAAACTCATAAAACTGGAATTCCCGACATCAAAAGAAGCAGTTCCACCTAAACCCACACATAATGTGCTCTCAAATTTGCACAGCTTTATTAATATTTAAATTCTCACAAAAATGAGCAAACTGATAAGATTTTTCTTGAGCCTTGAAACAATGAAAAAATGCAAGCTTTTTATTATATTGTAGCATAAACGAGACACTAAAATGAAAGTGTTGCGATCCAATAAAATCCGAGTGATTTTCCGATTTGCTTTTCACGCCCTGAGGCCAGTTATGGAATTTGGAATGCTGCGCTGAATGAAATTTCCTCCCGTGGCAAAATTGAAAAACTTCGATCTTGGAATCTTCGCTCGAACATAAATAGCTCTCAGTGAATAAAAAATTTTAAGGTGTTTAAGATTTTAAAAAAATTGCTAATGTCGCATCATATCATTGTAAAATTTTTTATTTGACTCAAATGAAATAGTTTCCATCAAAATTTTTCGAAGTTCGATGAAAATTTTAATGTGAAGTTTACATGGAATTTATTTTTAGGGATGAATTAGCAAACTTTGCAATAATTGGGTAGATTTTTAGCAAATAACTGCTCATCATAATAAAATTCTCATCAAAAGGTGAACTTCTGGGACTGATAAAAACACAAATTTATGTCTCAATGGAACTGAATTTAAAAAATACTGTAGCTAGTACTGGACTCGATTGCCATGAAAAACACACAAAGAATTTTATATGAAAACCCACACTGCTCCACCAAAGGTCACGGGATCACATGGAGTTTAATTCCCAATTAAAGTTGCTATTCTAGCAAAGTATAAAATTAGTTTAAAATTTCATTAACTCAAGATCAATTGCTTTTGATTTCTTTGAGAAAAATTATTTTAAAATTAAAAAAAAAAAAAAAAAATTAAGCAGCAAAATATTATCCTACCTTTTTTTGGCTCGACGTTTTTTCTTCTTCTTTGGGACTTTCTTGAAAGTAAAATGCAGGTTTTGATCTCACGGAGGGTAGTCTAGTGGGTGTCCTGCGGCAGAAGGTGCTGCTCCAGCTCGCTCGCGACGCGTCCGTGCTCCGCGAAATGCGCAGGCCAAGTGCGGTCATGCGGTGCGCGCTCACCATCCCTGCCCAAAGCGCACCCCCACCACCACCCTTGCGCCGCGAGAGAGCAGCAGCTGCTGCCGGCCAACGCAGCCACAGGTGGTGACCTTGTCCACTACTTGCACGTTGCACCAAGTCAATTAGCACATTTATCAAATTTTAATTCATAATTTAGTGTTAAATAAAACAAAAATTATAAGATAAAATAAGCAATTTTTTATTTGATGTAAATGAAAGGAATAAAAATCACATTCATGTAATTTAATTTTTTTTTTTATAATTTTTGATACATAAAAACTGCGCCATAATCAATCGTAATGATCTTCTAATAAACTGCATTAAACTTGTTCGCAATCTGCAAAGTAATCATAATTATTGATAAAAATTATTCCCAATTTTGTAAAATCTGAGATTCACCTGGAGCCAGAAACGATTCAGGACAATTTTTCTCCAAAGTTTCGTGCAAGCATTTCATGAAGGTAACCGAAATCTCGCAGAATTTCACTTTGTCATCTCTGAAGTGAAAATCACTGAGCGCCAAGTCTAACGTAAACTTGAATTAGATAGGAAATATAAAAAAAGGATAAAATACTTTCAATGGCCTTTGAGCAAACTAGATTTGCTGTTCTCAATGCACTCGTCCACTTGAACCCGAAATGCTCAAGAAAGAAACCGGTCACTCTGTCAGCATTCGGCAATCCGTTTTCCTCTAGCTTAAAATTTTTAAATGAATGCCTGAAATTTTCTGCAACAGTGAAAAAAAACTCACCAAATGAAGTCGGGTCAAAACACAATGTGAACTGCACTGAAATGATAAGAAATAAATAAATTTTTATAATTTTTGAGAGTAATTTTAGAATACACAAATCTAACAAATAAATAAACCAAAAAGTTTAGTTAATTCGTACAAAATTTTATTTACCAATGCTCTGTGCGTTGTACTGATTCTCCTGAGCTCCGGACGCCCTTCTCTATTTCTCTGGGCTAAAAATATTTCATTCTTAAAAACAATTTAAGGGAATAATCTTGTTTTATATACAAAGTGATCCCAGATTTTCAGATTCAGAATTGCAGTTTTTGGCAGCTTCAGCCATTTTCCTTGGCAAGCTAGGCATTTTGCATTTTTCCTGAAAAAAAATGGTCCTTAATTTTGGGGAAAAAATCAATTATAAAATAACTGCCTCGCAGATCTTTTGTCCACTCGTCATTGGCGAATTCGGCTTCTGGCGCTGAATTGGCGGATTGAAGCGAACTTTGATTGAGTTGACAGGAACCAATTGAACTGTACCTTCGCCTAATAGAATTTTTTATCAGAAATCTTCTGATTTTTCAATTATCAAATATAATTTTCCTTAATCTTAAAGAGTAATTTAAAATTTAAACTAATAAAAACCGCTAATTGTGACATAGCAAAATAAGATGCAGTTATTAATTCATTGTTCAAATTAAATTTAATTTAAAGAATCTATGTTTCCAACTTTTTTAATCAGCATTTTTTTTACATAGATTAATTTATTAAATGATGAATTCTTTTAAATATTTTTAATTATAAAATACCGGTATCTTCGTCTTCCTTTCTCATCTCCGTGGGCAAGTTCCGAGCTTCGTTATTTATCACTTTTGGTTCCGACATGAAAAGGGTCAGTGAGGAAATGGGCAATTCCGTTGCATGGCCAACTCCTTTAGTAAATTCAAAAAGAAATGAAAAAAATTATATTTTATACATTTTTTTAATAATCTTACCAAGGTGATTGTCATTCTCATATAGTGCAAAAGCCTGCTCAAATTTATTTTTATTAATTTTCATATCTTTAAAATAAATTTGGTAAAAACTTACGTGGTGGAGTGAAATCAATACAGCGAGAAAGAAAACAATTATTTTCAGAAGCATGACTGTCTTCCTGTTCACTCACTTTTAATGTCAGAAACTCGACTGACTTGAGTGAATTGGCCGCCAAGTGCAAACACCTCTGCTCTTTAAAAGGTGCGCCCGCATATTTCTTCATTAAAAAGAAAAAATTAATATGTTGAGAATAATTGCATTGTGTTTAGACGTTTTTATAAAAATTGCAGTATATCATGAACGCCTTTTTTCAAAATCTAGAGCAAAATATAATTGGCGTTATAATTAATCATTGCCAATGTAGCCTAAAACTTAAATTATTTTATAAACATCTACCGGCATTTACATAAAACCGCTCTAAATAAGTGCAGAGAACTCTCAAAAGTGACGGACGAGTGCCCGCATTGTTGATTTTCTTCAACGAAAAATGGGAGCAAAAGTATTTTCAGCAGCGAAAAGAAATAACTGTTTTATTTTGAGCCAAATTAAAAAATACATTTTTGCCCTGAAATTATTTATATTTTTTAAGCGTTAAACAATTCTCATTTCTTGGTACCAAACTAATTTTAAGACGAAATTTCAATTAAATGTTCAAATCTTCAAAAAACAATTATTGAGATGATCGAAATTTCTTGAAAAATTCGGCTGTTGCAAAAAACACCCTGCGTACTTAATTTCAATTTAACAGGAAAAATTCCCATGGGCTTGAGCTTCACACAATTATGCAGCCTTAACTAATTTGTTTGCACGCAAGGACACCCCACCCGCATTGAATTTACCGTGGCACAGTAAAAATCTAGAAATATAATTTTTTTTTAATATTTTCAATGATCTTATTAGACAACATATGTACATATTGAATTTTTTCTGCAAATAATACAAAAAATACAATAGCTTCTAACAATAATAATAATAATGAAAAAATGCATTTTTAGATATCCGAATAAAAACATTTTATTGTTGGAAAGGTACATTTATTATTATTTTTCTCCAAAATTCATATTTGATATTTTCTAAAATTTTCAATACAATTTTCTTGAATTCATTTCGAGAGATAAAATTTGTGCTTGACGTCGATTCTGGCAGTGCTTTTATTTTCCGTCCTGCAAAATCTTCAATCGACAGACACGTGGAGGAACAGGGTGGCTGGGGAGAGTTTCTGCCGCACTTCCCCCAGCAGAGGACAATGACTGAAACCTTTACCCAAATGCACACAATTAGACAAATAATCTCAATTTAACCAAATTCATACCATGCTGGAGGCTAGTGAAGGGCAACGTGTACGCGCCGATCAACTCGTTGGCCCCGGTGCTGTTTTCGTCCTTGACAGATAGGTAGAGCATCGCCAGGTCAGGGTAATACACAGGAAACTCAAAAGTCTCGTCCCAAACAGGATTTAAACCTTAAAAAAATATAGAATTTAAAAGAAGTAAAAATGGATGAAATAATTTACCATTATCATGAATATCTTTAGTCTTAAACTCTCTCTGGTCAATTTCCATTCCGACTATTTTCACCTTGACATAAGGATCGACGATTTCACCTTCGCTCGACTGGTCTGGCTTCGGAATGTGTTGGCCGCTTATCACTTTAAGCCTCAGGAGTTTTGGCTTCCTGTTAAAAAAAAATTATAATAATAATAAAAATCATTGATTTAATGTTACATTGATAATCTTTTCTCATTAATTTTAATTTTTAACAAAAAAATTTACCAAGATGGTTCTGCAGCAAGACTGAACGAAGCTGGATTTCTGAGATACGAAGGTTTCAGAAGGTAGCCGCAATTTTGGTTCACTTGGAATTTTGCCTCGTTGTAAAATATCGGGCTCTCCTTGCCTTGATAGTTCAAAGCAACTGCAAAATTAATTAGATAATAAACAATTTGATCAACAATAAACATAATTAATTATGGAAAACAATTATTTATTTTAGATGAATGTGATTATTTTTATAAAAACCGATAAATTTTAGTGTGAAACTTTCTAAATTTAATTTTTGTTTTCAATTAGGGTGTAAATGTAATTCAATATATATTTTGCAAAGAGGTGATTTTTGAAGAATCCCAAAAGAGCACCCCCAAAATTTTCAATTTTTATTTATTTTTCTTCTGTGCGATTTAAGTTGATTTCAAGAAATATTTATTAAAATGTCTATTTTAACATTCCTAACATGGAATATAATAATAATATAATACCGATTTGGCAGCCTGCGTTCCAAAAGGGGATGGGGTTGAAATTGGACGAGTCGGCGCGTTTTCCGCCAGGGTAGATTCGAGACAGTTGACGCATGTTGTAGGCAACGAACCCGTCCACATCACTGGAAATCAACTTCTTCGCCTTGCCCTCAGAAAATGAAGACATTTGATAACACTTTCCTTTGAATTAAAATTTATTCAGCATTACTTTAATTAAAAATCAAAATTTTAAAAAAAAATACCATTTTTTTTCGCAGCCTCCAATCCGTGGAAATGAACTGCTTGACAAACGTTGACCAAATCGGACAAGTGGCACTCTACGGCATGGGCAGGCTGCAAATGTTCCAAATTTTATATTAAAAAGAAAAAAAAATATAATGGTAAATTTTTTTCACTTTTATAAGAGCTTTAAAGATAATTCAGACAATATAAATGACTTTTTGGGAGAGAATAAATTAATTGAATTTTTTTTCTAAAATTGTTTCAATACAATTTAAAATATGAAATTTTATATAACTTTTAAATTTTAGATTATTTTGAGACAGACTTTCGGAGTGCCGGAATAGGGCCGAAAAGAACAAGGCCGAAAATGGCTGAGCGGAACAGGGCCGAAAAGGAATAGGGCCGAAAAGGAACAAGGCCGAAATACCGGTGCAAACAAACTAGGAAGAACCGATTTTTTTTGGGAAATCACCGCGATTACCGTGTTATGTCAACCCGCCATCCCAATAAGAAATGGAACGCCTCGGGTCTCAGGACACAAATTTTTTATCATCGCCCTTATAAATCAAAGTAAGAAATATCTAAATTATTAAATATGTGGTAGGGAGGAAATTTTCAGTTTCCTGGTTTTATTTATGCTGGAAACACGTGAACCAAAAACTGACCAGCAGACTTGAAAACTCAATATTAAGGAGAGCTTTTGCAAAAAAATGACCCAATTAATTTTGCTCTACATTTTAGCATTGGATTTTTTATGTCAGTTCCAAGGAGACATAGTTAAGACAAAATGAATTTGTTAGGAGAACCAAATTTTTGAAATTTAAATTTAGCATTGTTATGAGAATTTCCTAGAATTTATTTTTTTTTTCAAAATAAGCTTTTTTTCAAATCAATAGGTCAGTGGACATAAAAAATTTACAATGATCTTATAGGAAAAGGTTGAGAAGTTTATACACATAAGTGATAAGTTTCCTGGACAAATAATTTCTTGAAAGATCTTTTCCGAGTTCCGATGCAGTATGGTTTTTTAAGCTGTGCAAGAGATCAACTTATCTTCATCTTGTTGTCCCCCAAATTTATGTGATTTTGTGATTATGTGTCTCGCCCAAAATGAAGATTTTTTTGCGAAATCTTGTGTAAAATCAATTTTCATCTATTTTGCAATGCGAAACGGCCGCATGACGGATTTTGATATTGACGCGCAAAGGATTGAATGTTCGCTGAGCTGAACGCGCTCGCGGTTATCGGTTATTTTTCAGCTTTCGGCCTTGTTCCTTTTCGGCCCTATTCCTTTTCGGCCTTGTTCCGCTCAGCCGTTTTCGGCCTTGTTCTTTTCGGCCCTATTGCGGGACTCCAGACTTTCTAAATGTTTTGAATATATTTCAAGACTTTTATTGGAATTTTAGTAAAAATACTTTTTAAACATTTAAAATTTTAATTACGTAATTTTTATAGTCTTGATAGCTTTAAAAAAAAATTATGCTAAAAAAGTAATTCACCTTTGAAAGAGTAAAATTTTTAAGCAGATATTAAAAAATAATCTTTAAAATGGATAACAAAAATACCTTTTTTACTCCAGAATTTACAGCAGCCTCTCCATCAATTTCCTCCTCTTCCTCCGACTCTCCCTCGGACGCCGAAAGAGACTCTTCTGTCCCGTCAGTCGAGTCCCGGACACACTGTTTGAGCTTCTTGGCCTTGACGATGACTTTGTGCTTCAACTCTTCGGGCGAGGGCAGCTGGACGAGGTCGTCGACCGGCTCCAGGTACAGCATGTCGCCCAGAATGGAGGCGAGGTGGTGCGCCATTCGCGCCTGTTGCTCGGCGGAGCAGTGCACCTCCAGGGACAGGATGACGGGGTAGTCCGACTTTCGGAACGCGTATGGTTTGATGGCGTCGCTCAGGATGTCGTGGAACATTATTTTCGTCGTCAGGGTGAAGCCGTGGTACACGACTGGCTCTCCCTTCGGCCCGTCCCAACAATCCACTAAGAAAAATTTGTCCAAAAATTATCATTAAAGGCACATTTCATTTCAATTAAACGCATATTATTTTGATCATTAACAAATATTTTAGCATTTAAAGCCCAAAACAGCGGCTAGTTTTTCTTAAATATCTATTTTCCTAAATATGAATTTAGTTATATTTCTATATCACCAACGCAGCGGCTCTCGCTTGTATCTAAATAGAAATATACGAACGAACCAATGGGAAGCGCGGAAATAAAAATATATGCTTTCCACCAATGAGCTCGCCAATAAATATAATATAAATATAATTATACCAGCGTAATAACAAGTCTCATTTCGTTCTTAATTGGTTTATGGAACTTTGCGTATTTAAACAATCGTTTGTTGTCTGCTCGCAACTCCTGGTAGGCATGAGCAAAATGTCCTAAAATGCAATTTGACAATTAAATATTACATTTCATTAAATTAATACGACGCTCTGCCTTGTTGTTCTCTTTTTTGTTGTTTATTCATAGCGTGCACGCTATGTCCGATTTTTTTACCAGATTTTCTTTTTCGCTTCAAACAGTGTTGAATTTCAAAATACACTGATGCTACCACTGATATAGCTTCGAGACCTGCTAAAGTTATGAGATCTCTCCGAATTTCAGAAACAGCGTTAAAATTTGCCATAATTATTAAATGTCCGTCTGCGAGTTTGCGGAAAGCAAAGTTGTTTTCACTCCATCCAGCCTCACTCAGCTGCTTTAAAGTTTCAAGAGTTGCCGCGCTAGGCGCTCGAGCCTAAATTTTTATTTCTGCCTCTCCCATTGGTCTGTTCTTATATTTCTATTTAGCTAATTTGGAATCTCCAAATAATTTGGACGGAGAGGCCTTTTCTTAAAATTTTATCCAAGAGCCAATCAGAGACCAGCTTCCTTATATTTGTATTTAACTAAATAGATATATAGAGCCGCTGTTTTGGGCTTTAGTGCAATGAAATTATTTACATAAAATTGAATGTAAAAAATCAAGTTTTATTTAAAATAATGTAGATCAAAATTATTTAATTTAAAAAAAGAGAACTTTTAAAACAAAAACAAATATTTATGTTAAAAAATCTTTACTTTGCTTGAAGATATATTTTATGAAAAGTAAAGCTTTTTTAAATTTTATAAAATTTTACTCACATTCAACACATCTGCAGCCTCTCATCAAAGCGTTGATATATCCCTCAACAGTGCTTTCCCCACTCAACTGATTTCCCGTTAAATACCTAAATAAATTTCAAGTTAATTTAAAAAAGGTATTCATTTTTATTGTTCAATTTACGTATTGTGGGAAGCTGCGATATAGTAATGAGAAAGGGGCTGCGTCATGTCCTGGTAAACTTCATTCAGGTGCATCGGGTTGCATAACTGAAATTCGTCGCTTAACAGCATATTCGTGAAACCTAAAATTATGATATCAGTTAAAAGTTAAAACAAAAAAGGGGAAATAAATTTTCCAGAAGATATTTCCATCTTGGATAGCAAAATATTGGTCTTTTTGTGAAATAATTTGATGTTTTGTAAAATTTTAGTAACAATTTTAATTTTACAAATGAACTAAAAAATTTAAACGCACCAATGACTGACATCTTGGGTTCAATGAGTTGTTTCAAGTCCGAGGGCTCAAACTCGGTTATAAGGTCGATGCAGTCGTCAGGGTGCTTCGATATTTTTTGCTCTGTGTCCAGAAACTGACTCAGACCTTCCGAGTCAAGCTCGTCATTTTCATCGGCATACCTATAAGCATGATGATTTTTTTTTTAAAGATTTTCAATTAAATTACTGAAGAGCTCCGAATAACAACAAGAAACAGAAACTCATTGCATATCCGGAAAAAAGGAACATTTTCATTCATAACATAATTTGCCATATATTCAAAAAATAATTAAATTAAATTTCTTACTTTTTCAGAATTTAATCATATTACATATTTTTGTATAAATTAAATAACATTTTCCACTTAATAAAACTTTTTTCTGACCTGCTGAAAAGTGTGTTGATTTCGGGCCTGCTCATGAGTAGGTGATAGAAAACGACAAATTCATTGGCGTCAAGTACTTTTTCTTTATCCTGCTCCCTGGTGACGGTGTTGGCTTGCTGCAAAAATACAAAATTTAAATAAAATTAAATAAATTTCAATAAATTTTTAGAAATTTACATTGAAAAGTCTCTTAGCGTAGCTCTTTCTGAGTTTCACATTCATTTGTTTGAGAAGAGTTAAACACTCGTCGAAACTTAAACTGCCGTCCTTATTATCGTCCGCCGCTTTGAACATCTTCATCAGCCACCTTCAATTTAAAAAATATAAAAAAATTTAAAAATTATCTGATGGTTCTAAAAAAGGAACTGTTTTTTTTTTTTTTTTTTTTAAATTTTAACTTTAGTCAATTTTAAAAATTTTTTCTTTCGGCAGTTTCGGCACCTGTCAAACTGTTGGCTCTTTTCCTGGTGTTTGGTGAGGTGCAGCAGGTGCTTGAGGCCTCGCACCCACGCGTCGCACTCGTCGGCCGAGGCGGCCACCAGGTCGAGGGTGCGGTTGCGATTGTTGCCGCCGAGCACCACCGTGAAACACGCGCCCTCGTTGATCTCCATGCCCGGACGATGCTTCCCCCGCTCGATCTCCTTCGCCACCTGGTTGAAGACGTCACTTCGCCAACCCTTGCGCACATCCACGATGTCCCCAAAGTCAACTTTAAACAATATATGAATCCACATATAAAATTTACGAAAAAAAAAACCAAACGAAAATGGAAATTGAATGGTAACACTCGAGGTGGATTTCATAAAAGATTGAAACCGGGCGAACCTCGTTGCAAAGAAAAAATGAAAAAAAAGTACCAGCAGACCGCAGGTCGCCTTTGGGGTCAGTTGTCCTTTATTTTTTCATTTTTTCTTTGCAACGAGGTTCGCCCGGTTTCAATCTTTTAGAAAATGGAAATTGTACGAAATCGTAAAATTTGGAATTTCACAGAAAATTAGGAAAGAATTGTTTATTTCAACCTTTTTTTTACTTACATTTTTTTCCGAAAATATGCATTTTCAAAAGATAAGCAACAATTTAGCAAAAAATTACATTATAGTTTAGTTCTTTGCAATTATAATAAAATTAAATTTTATATTATGGATTATTTACAGTTTTAAAACGATTTTTTAAATTTATTTTACAAAATTATTTTGGCTCTAAGCAAATTTAATTTTAAAAAAATTGCTTACATATGACTTTTGAATTGACGAAGCACATTGCCTTCCTGTAGCCGCTGCGGTGGTAGCCGAGCAGGTGTGAATTGGCGTCGACGTAGAACCACCTTTGGAACCATCGCGAGAAGGAGCGCACCTTCCACAGGTAGGCGCCGCGGCTCAGTGTCTTCGTGATTTGCTCGATCTCATGTTGGTCTACAAAAAATGAATAGGAATTTAATATAAAATAACATTTTTAAATTAAAGACAAAAATAAAAACACCAAGCAGGAAAATAGGGTTGTGCGTTTCGGAGACGACGTAGTTGCTTTTGGAGAGCAAACCCCCGTTCGACATCGCGCGAGGAAATGCTGGAACGGCGCGACCGGCGTGTTTGCAACGCTACACAAAACGCGTCCTCCTTTGATAACAATTTTCATATAACTGATAAGATTATAATATTTACGGCCGTACGTGAATGAAATCACCTATATTACGCGCATGTTGAGTTACGAGTAAATAATTTTTTTCACTTGACGCCTGAATTTTTTGAAGGTGCTGGCAAAGTCGAAAATATGTGACAAAATGTTGTTTTGTTTACTTTGCAATCGTGGCTTTTGCTTGTGTTGACTGACCTCTATGCAAAATAAAAATATCTAAATTTTACATTGAGAGACAATCAGTGGTTTGCACCATTGTTTTCTATTTACTTTCGGTCTCGGAAGTTTTTTTTCTTCAAAATAATTTAATTTTTTCTTAGTTCAATGGAAGATGGTTTGCTGTCCTTTATTGGGAAAAATAAAACAAAAGTAATTTTTTAATAAACAAAGAATGGGAACTAAAGATTCACTTAATTGAGGAAAGGCCGACTCCAATTTTTAATTTCAATCAACTCTCGTCTACAACAGATTTTAGGAGTAAAATTATATTTAATATAAATTACAATATCATTTATAGCAATAAATTTTTGATTAATTATTGATGCAAGATTAAGATTATAGAATAAATTTCAAAAAATCACAATAAATATTAAATTTGATGAAACTCTGTATCAATTTGATTAATTTAATCTTAGAAATTCTTGTTCAAATATTTAATTTGATTTCTATTTCAATTTGATTAGTAAACAACAAAAATATTTAAGAATCATTTAAAAATACTTTAACATGCAACATTACCCTCCTCCTCATATTCAAAGAAAAGCATTTTTTCCTGCTCTTCAAAAAGAAGTTACTTTTTTTAACAAAGAGAGGTGTCAATTCCTCCTGGGGTGCCTCTGAACTCTGAAGACACTAAATACACCATGGACTTTGGACGTCTGGCCCACCACTTGACCTCTCTCTTGGTCTATTTAAAATAGATTCGTTTTCATCGACCCCACCGGCGAACCCCACTCCAATTTGAAGACTGGCCGCGCAGCACCGCTTTTTCTTTTGTGTACATCTCAATTTGCTGAGACACGCGGACAGACAGACGTGTCAAAAGATGCGTTCGGTGCTAATTTTAGTTTTATTTAATATTACGAGTCATCAATTTAAAAAAAAAGCAAAAACAAAAATAAAATATAAAAAATGCAATTTATTAAAAGATTACAAGTGTAACATTTCTTGAGGAGCCAAATCGAATTTAATATTTTTCAATTAAATTACTCTCTTTGTTAAGTGTTAAAAATTTGTCGGCTTGATTTTGAGTAGCTTGAGTCATTTACAATATCAAAAGAGTGCCCCTGATTAATAGTCAATTAGTATACGGCGCTGCCAACAAATCTCCTCTTATCACTTATAATAAAGAAGAGTTGCAGCTGGCATCAGAACAAATATTTGGCACCTCGATTGTTATCTCTCAGAGTCAGCCTAAATTAAACACTCAAAAAGATCTATTTGATGATTGATTCGTTGAGTCAGAGATCGCCCCTTTATAATAAAGTCTTTAATCAAACCGATAAAAATCCATATATTCATCCGTAAAATATTTTTAATTCTAGTTTTAATATTTAAACAAATTTTATTCGAAAATTATTATTGATAAATTATTTATTCGTCATTTTTTTTTTAGATTTTTCATGCATTTTTAAAATTTTGAATTGAACCAAAAATACATCATATTATCTTGTTGATCTCTACATCTGTTTAGCGCTTAACCTTAGAATTAATGAGTTTAATTTTAAATTATTTGCTTACCTCTCTGCTGATTTACTGCACTGTCAGTTTGGTCGCCGCGCAGCCAGTGGTAAGCACTTGTGATTTTGTCCATGTTGAAGGAAAGACTGGTGCTCAAAGTTGTTTATTTTGTCGAGGCGCGAGTTTACTCTTCGCCTCGGCCACCATAAAAAAAAGTAGTGCTGCAACGCATTGGTGTGCGGTAAAGGTGAATTAAGTAAACTTGGTCAAACGGTAAAATAAAAAGAGTATAATAAATACATAAATACATTGGAGAGTATATTATATGAGAGGAGAGAAAGAAAGAACGCGCGGCCACACGATCGCTGCGATGCAGAAAAAAAGCATGACATCACCGACGAGAACCGGGTTTATTTCATTATGTCAAATAAATTTATGAGTGAGCGCATATGTTTGGGTTGGGATTTAAAAGTTTAAAGGTTTAACCCGTCATTATTGCATTACATCATAGATTAGAAATAAGTATGCGGTAAGAATGAAAAAAAAATCAAGAATAATGAAATAAGACATTGAAAAATTATTTGGCATAATTTTCAGACAAACGGTGTAATTTCATATTACTATTTAAATATTACTTTTTTAAATAGATAGGTATGGAATCATTTAAAAAATTACAATTTGTAAAATACAGTTGCAACATTTCACATTTGCGCGATTCTTTGAATTTTTAATGCTGCGTTCTCCAGCAGCATGCGTGTGTTGGAGCAAGAGCAAGGGCATTAGCCTTTCGCTGATCCACTGAACCGCTTTGAAAAGAATTTTTTTTATAAAACTCGTTCTCATACACTCTCTCAATAAAAGGAAAACCCATTTTCAATTATTAAAATTTGAAAAATTCTCACCTGCTTCTTGAATTCCTCCTTTTAAGTCCTTACAAGCTAAAATTTCTTGTCTTTTTGTCCGTATATACTTGCGAGCAGACTGGGAAATTATAATAAAATGCGCCTGAGATGGGAGAGGAGTGAAATGCGCGCGCACTACTATTGCAAAACTTGGAAGCTTCTAAAGGTTAAACCACTCCAGCACCAAGTATGGACTTCATTTTTTAATCTAGCCGATCTAGCGCTCAAGTTTAGACTAAAATTTAATTTTTTAACCTTTGCTTATAAGATCAATCACTGCCGATCTCTAATTTGAATTATTTATTTTTTCAATAAAATAAAATTCTTGAAAAAGGGTATGAAAATAAATTAAAAAGTGCAGCAATAATTTGGGTAAAAGTTCGATTTCGTTTCGTTTGATCGATTATAATAACACCACATTCAACAAGAGGACCAACAACTTTTTCTAGTCAAAATACAACATTTTGTGCACAAATAACAGGGATTCTACAATAATATATAAATATACATTATATTTTATGATTATCACACATTTTGTTGGAGGCATTTGATTTTCTGGTTTATAAAAATGCCATTGTTTTAACTTAAAAAAAAAACTACCACAGACTTGCACAGGCTATTGAATTTTTGCTTTTTCTGCAGCTTCCGCCTCCTCTTTTATTTTCTTTTGCTCCTGCTTTTCAGCGTCAAGAGATTTCATGTAGGAGAGAAAAATGGTCCAGATCAGGCTGCATCCGCCAACGAACGGAACGCGGTTCTTTTCAGGTAAAAATCCAAAGTTGATCGTCTGCATAATTGGCCAAAAACAAACTCCGACCTGAAGCAAAAATTATTTTGATTAAAATAAATACAATAATTTGTACTTCCAAACAAGAACAAACTGAAAAAGAAATTAAATTTTATATTACTTTGTAGGTCTGCCAGAACTTGTCAGCGACTTCCTTCTTTGCTGCGTCAACTCCTCGACCCTCGAGCAGGGTCATGAAGAAAAAGAAACTGGTCATTGCGAATGGTCCATACGAAACTTGCTCCACCAAAGCCTGAAACATTTGAAAATTTAAAACTTCCAATTTAATTAAAATTTCTTACTTTTCTTATTCCGTTTTTCAGATTCATCGACGGCCACATACTGCTGGACAATCTGACCCAGAAAAATAAAGTTGGAGCCACGTAACAGCCCCCGTAGAAGCTGAAACGGGCCACTTGTTTCCAGTCAATCTCTTCTTTGCCTAAACAATTTCAAAAATAAATTATTAGGTCAATGTCGGTTGCAAAATTTGTGTGTTTATGACAATGTCAAGTTTGATGCTCACCAGCAATTTTCTGCTGACAGATGCTGGAGAAGGGCCAGACCAGTGAGTAAGTGACCATCCCTCGACACAGGGGGTACCTTTTCCACAGCACCACCCAGTGCCTCCAGGCGTTGACGGCCTTCGTTGCCATCGGATTTCCACTCATGCCGATCTGCCAACAACAACAGTAGTGGAAATTTCCAATTGAATTTCTTTCCTAATCGATCATCCCCTGTGGAAATATTACTTTGTTTGACAAACGGATACGCACGGGAGCTAAAGAGTTTTACTCACAACTGGCTCGCGACAGCAAACGCGACAGTCACACAGTCTTTCGCTTCATCTTCGGTCGAAATTCATTTTCGTCACCCGCTATTTACGATTTTCTGCCGCCATGTTTGCCACCCCCACGCCCCCCTCTCGTCACCCATCCTGTCTCCCCAACCAACATCCTCGACCCTCGCCTTTGAAAAAAAGGAAATTAATGGCGAAATATTGGCTCAAATGAAAATGAGAAATTGATAGGACGAAATAGAGAATGTTATTAAGTCAAATTTCAGTTTAATCGATTGTAAATCTTGCATAATTTGGTCGGATTATTATTTTTCTTTCGTCATTAACGAGGCGCCTCGCGCGGCCGATTTGCGAATTAAAATTTTGTCCCGAAGTTAGCATTTGTTTTCTTTTCGCAGCGGATGGTTGTTGAGGGGCGAAGCAGCGCCGAATTCGCCGAACCCCGATCGTCCGCCGAGCCGCCGACCACGCGAATCGACCCTCAACCGGCCCCGAGTGATTCGCACGCCGAAATGGGCCCGCCCGCCGACGGCTGTGCCGATTAGAGCGAGGGTCGTCGAGTCGCCGGCTCTCTCTCCGCCCTGTCAGGCGCCATGTTGAGCAGGCCAGCCCTTAAAGGGCTTCTCTGGCCGCTGGCCCTCCTGGCCTTCCTCTTGTTCCCAGCCTCAGCAGACTCGGACACTTGTGAGTTCCTCCGAATTCGAATTTTCCGCCGGCCGAAAACTGAAACGCAACTTTTCTATTTACAGTCGAGCAGGACATTCACTTCAAAGCGGCTGAGCCAGTGACTCTGGGCAGCAACGCAACCTTCATCTGCACCACCTACGAACCTGAGTCTGAACTCGCATGGGAAAGGGGTGAAGATGGTCCTGAGCTCCAGTCGAACAAAAAGTATAATGCTTTGTTGTTTGTTTAATTCTTTATTGATTTTTTTCTCAAAGGCACATTATTATCAACGACTTCAATGAAGAGGAGCCAAAGCGGTCGACCGTCCTGACGATCACCAAGGTTTCCTTCGAGGACGAGGGCAAGTACGTCTGCAGATCAAAGTTGGACAACCAAACTCGAATTGGAAACCTGACCGTATTTGGTACTGTTTTGCCAAGCATTTCAGTTCTTAATATTCATAGAGTCATTCTTTCAGTGGAGCCCGTCATCCTGGTTGACGCTGTGGTCAAGGTCAGGGCCAACGAAACTGCCAAACTGGCGTGTCACATCAAGGGCTACCCTATTTACTTCGTCCAATGGCGCCTTGACGGACTTGAAGAAATTTTGTAAGTTAAAAATTATCTAAAATTTCAGCGGAAATTAAAAAAAAGCATGAATCTTTAATGAATATCCATTGCCATAATCTAACTGTAATTATTTTCTATTATCCATTAGGTTCAGGATGTTTGCGAAAGCTAAGCAAAGTATATCTTAATGCAAAATATTTATCCTTTCCCCCCCCCCCCCAATATTTTAAAATATTAAACGACTAAAAATTTCTATCGACTCTCTAGAAATGGCTCAGAAGTGACGCAGCAAAACAAGACGCACTGGACCTCTCATTTGAATGTGGCATCTCGGGCCAAAGGGTCTGACAATGGCACTTACCTTTGCGAGGCTGGAACCCTGAACAACCAAGTTGCCTCATCTCCTGTTACCTTACTGGTGCTAGGTGAGGCTTTGAAATGTTTCAAATCTTAAAACTTATTAATTAAAATCTTTAATTTCAGACAAGCCTCATTTGGCATTTTCGCATGTCAAGGCAATCGGAAGCAAGCGAATTTTTGTCAACTGGACCGTGAACCACGGCAACATGCCAATCGAGACGTACCACTTGAAGTACACCCAGGCTGAAGACAAAGGCTGGCAATATGCTAGCAAGAAGGTCGAGGTCAACGACACAAGTTTTGTGCTGGACGGTCTAGAGCCTAACAAGCCCTACCGCATCCAGCTTGAGGCCAAGAACAGCATTGGCCACGGTTTTGCTCACTTCCGATCTCCAATCAAAACTCTCAAAGAGGGTAAGTTTTAAGTTTTTATTAATTATCCATTTAACCATAAAAATGGTTGATTTATTTCTTGTAGATCCTGTTTTCGTTCCGGACGCTTCCGTTTCGGGGAACGGGGGTACCTCCCTTACTCTCAAGTGGAACTCGCCACCGCAAAAAATGCAAGACTTCATTCACTATTACAAAGTGGAGTTAATGAATGAAAAAGTGAACATGATGGCGGTCAAGATGGCTGAACACAGCAGTCAACACATCTTCCACATGCTGCAGAACCTCGAGCCGGCCACCACTTACTCTCTCAGGGTAGCAGCGTGCAGCGAGTACACGAAAGAATGCTTTGACTGGTCGAAACTGGTTGAGGGCAAAACTATGGACTTGCGTAAGATTTAATTCTGGCTCCAAAATAGAATTTGGTGATAAAATCAATCCATTCTCAGCTCCTGGGCCAGTGTCGGACTTGACAGTGTCCTGCAAACACGACAACGTCAGCAAGAGCAGCGTTGTCTTTGTGTCTTGGGCAGAACCAAAAGATCCTCGTGGCAACATCACCAGATACTATGTAAGACATATTTCTCTAGATTTTTACTAGGTTCAATTAACATTTTCTTATTTGAAACTCTAGCTGGAAATCCAGGGTTCAGCCACATTTTTAAACGAGCGGGGTATTATAGTAAGTGACACGTTTGGACCAAAGTCTAAGAGCGTTGAGCGAAAGGATGCCACATTCGAAAATTTACCTTCGAACACAAACTATTCGGTGAAGGTTGTGGGTGTCAATACGTACCGAATGAGAGGTGACGAGGCCAAGATGGAGTGCCAGATGCCACCGACGGTTCCTGACAAAGACAAGACGACGTCCTTTAACTGGGGTGTCATTGAGGACGGAAAGTTTGGCTACGTGCTACAGCTCTTTACTTCAAGGATCACTGAACGCAATGGTGCCATTTGCTGCTACAGGGTCATTGTGGTCAAACTTGGAGCTAACGAGAAGGTTTGTTTCATGAAAAATATTTCACTTATTTCTTAAATTCCTACATTAAAAATTTATTATTATTTTTATTATCAATTGTTATCATAATTGGTTCCTTTTTTTCTTAAATGCAGGTTGTTGATCTGCCACCTCCTGAAAACACAGTTCTTTCCTCATATGACGAGGTCCGTCTGAGTGAGAGGGGTGGTGCTTATGTGGCTGAGGCGGTAGACAGCGGCTCCCTGAAGCCATCCACCTTCATTGGCGACGGAAGTCTGAAGAGCGCTGATGGTGAAATGATGTGTCGAGCGTGCTTCCGTGAACCAGAAGTCATTCCCGAAACCACCACCGTTCCGCCTGCGCCGTCACCAAACAACACAACCTCGCCACTGCTTTCTGCCCTGGTTGGCAAGAAAGAGAGGGTAGTCACCATTGCTGAACTCTTTCCTACACATGTCCAGGATGGTCCGCTTGACATCGACAGTCAGTACACAGGGTTCATGCAAATCATAGGTAAATCTTACTTTTGAGCCCAGGAAGATAAACTGTATTCATTAAGAGTCCATTTTTATTCTAAACTGTATTTTCTTTTTTATAGTCCACGGCCCAGACAACACAATGCTGCAGACTTTCAGCAATTACTTCACTGCAATTCGGCCCAACAGCCATGTGATTGTGGCTGACACACATACGGACATACTTTCGTTAGCCCTGAACATCACAATGGCATTGCTAGTCTTGGTGCTAATCCTGCTGCTCTCCATTTGTCTAGTCACCAGATACTCGAAGAGCATTGCCGACCAGCAGGGTGTCGAGCTCTCACTTCGAGAGTCATTCAGGTAATTTTTTGTCAAATTTTCTGGCCACTTTCTTTACTTTCAACAAGGGCATGCCTTTTAATTGTCAATCAAATTTTATTATTCATTGATGAGTAGTCAACTTTGCCTCCTTGAGGAAAGCATATTATTAAGCACACATTTGGATTTCCGCTGAGCAAAATTTTGACTTGGATCGAATATTCTTTCCTCTTGGCAGAGCCGTGTTGTGTAACAAGGGCTACTCAGAAGTCGAGATGGTGTGTGGCAGGCATTTGTGCCAGAGTCTTCGTTCGGGCGGCGGCAACGGACGCGTGCCGGTCATCAGCAACCCTCCGGACATGACGCCCATTCTGCGTGATGACATGCCATCGGCATATCAGGAAAGGCACAAGGATTCAGACTATGGATTCCAACATGAGTTTGAGGTAAATTCTTTTTCACTTTTCAAATTAAAGATGTCTGATTTATTGGTTAAATTTTTGTTTAAAATCCATAGCTCTTACCAGACCGTTTCTCGGATCGTACAACCAAGGCCTCGGAATCGCGTGAAAATCTGTATAAAAATCGGTATCCAGACATCAAGTCGTACGACCAGACGAGAGTCAAACTGGCGCAGGTGGAAGGCGTGACTGGCTCGGACTACATCAACGCCAATTTTGTTATCGGCTACAAGGAGAGGAAAAAGTTCATTTGCGCGCAGGGACCCATGGAGAACACGGTCAGTGACTTCTGGAAGATGATTTGGGAGCAGCATTTGGAACTGGTGCTCATGTTGACCAACCTCGAGGAGTACAGCAAGACCAAGTGCTACAAGTACTGGCCCGACGAAGGGGAAAAGGTTTTCGGAGACATCACCGTTGTCCATGTTCAAGAAAAGAGATACTCTGGTAAGTTGTTTTTTGAACAAAACAGAATAGATACAAAAATTACACTTCCAAACATTTCAGATTACATTGTGCGTGAGCTGAAAATTAACCAGGGGAGTGAGGAAGGTGACGAGCGCAGCATTGTGCAGTACCATTACTTGGCCTGGAAGGATTTCATGGCGCCGGAGCATCCGAACGGCATCCTCAAGTTCATCAAGAGGATGAATGAGGTGTACTCGCTGGAGAAGGGACCCATTTTGATCCACTGCAGTGCTGGGGTCGGCCGCACCGGCACTCTGGTCGCACTCGACTCGCTGCTGCAGCAGATCCAGGAGGAGGGAGAGGTGTCCGTGTTCAACACGGTGTGCGATCTGCGCCACCAACGCAACTTCCTCGTCCAGAACCTCAAGCAGTACATCTTTGTGTACCGAGCGCTGGTCGAGTTCTCGCAGTTCGGCGACACCGAGTGCAAGGTGACCAAGTTCAAGGTTGAACTGGAGAAGAAAAAGGTTGTCGAGACTGGCAAGACCAAGTGTCCTCTTGAGGAAGAATATGAGGTAATTTTAATTAGCAATGAGCTAAATAATTTAATTTAAATATTTGGATAATTCTAATACTGGATTATTGTGAATTCCAGAAGGTGCAGCGTTTGAACGAAGAGCCAAAGGTGTGCACCATCGCCAGCGGTGAGGAAAACAAATCAAAAAATCGTTCCGAGACAATTCTGCCATACGACCGGAACAGAGTCATCCTAACACCCATGCCAGCTCGTGAGCACTCAACCTACATTAATGCATCATTCATCGAGGTAATTTGCTTTCAAAAGCACTTGAATTAATTAAATTGACATCAATTTGAACCCAGGGCTATGACAACTCGGAGTCATTCATCATCACGCAGGACCCTCTGGAGGGGACGATCGCTGACTTTTGGCGCATGCTTTCCGAGCAGGGCATTTCAACGCTAGTGATGCTGTCGGACCTGAAGGAAGGCACCACCAAGTGTCCTCGCTACTGGCCCGACGACGAAATCAGCCACAACCACATTAAAGTCAAGTACAGTCAGAGTGAAAGTGGCCCTTATTTCACCAAGAGGGAGTTCAACGTCACTAATTGCAAGGTTTGAACAATTCTAAATTTTGATTTGTTAATTTCTAACCCTTTTTGTCTTTTGTTAGACTGACGAGAGTATAAATGTGACCCAATTTCAATACAACGGCTGGCCCACTGCGGATGGTGAAATGCCTTCCGTCGCCAGGGGGTTGACTGACCTTGTTGATCACGTTCTGTCTCACCACGAAGCCGATGGTAGTTCTGGACCCATTGCTGTCCACTGCCAGTATGTATAGAGAATTTAATGGAATTATTTGTTAATTGAATTGTTCTTCGTTGTTTGTGCAGCCTTGGTGTGGATCGAAGTGCAATTTTTGTTGCCCTGGCCATCCTGATCCAGCAAATTCAAACTGAGAAGAGAGTGGACATTTTGTCTGTCGTCCGAAAACTTCGTTGCCAAAGACAGGGCATGCTTGATAGCTATGTAAGTTTTTTGGGAAAAATTGTAAGATTGATTTTCTAATGAACTCAAATCAAGGCCCAGTACGAATTTTTGCACCGAGCTGTAATGACGTACATCGACCTGCACCACCTAGCCGCTGAGGACACCTAAGTCTGTGCAGCTTACCCCGAACTGATGTGTTCCTGGTCGGAATGAGAAGAAAAAGCAAACGGTGCAAAAATCAAAAGGAAGCGGCGTGCAAGGCCGGCATTTTTAATGCATTTTTTACGTACTGGATAAGAATACAATTTGACAGAAGCTAAAATAGAGCATTGTGTATAAAAAGAAACAATGAAACACTGTCTCCTGTGTATATTGCGTATAATAATAGGCAGTGACGTGTCTGTCTCATCTCGATTAAATAATATTCCGACTTGCTTTTTGGCACTTCGATTTTGATACTTTGTGATTCCAGGTAAGATAATATACATATATAATTATATTTGTATGATTTAACATGACAAACCAATACCTACTGTCTGTCAATGACTACCCATGTGGCATTTTTCTAATGTTAATACTTTACAAAGACTCAGTCAGATTTTGAGACTTTTGTCGCTTGAACTGAGCGGCAAGCTTTTTTACGCATTTTCCGTTTCGGTCTCAAACAATTGTGTTTCTCGAGATGGCCATTCAAATTGTTTGCACACGATCATGTGTGCTGAACTTGTCTACTCAAATAAAGTAAGCTTACACTTCAACCACGTTTGTCATTATTCATTGATTTTCCTTTTTTTTTTACTTCAATTAAAAACTTGAAGCAATTTAAAAATCATTAAAGCAAAGCTTAACTTGAATTCAATTCAACTATCTATAAATGGGGCACGGCTAAGTTATTTTTTTTTTAGGGTGTTTGAAAATAAAATAAATTTTAATATTTTCTCAGTTCTCATTTTATTCTTTTGCAAATTTCTCGTACATTTTCGATTTAAAATTTCCAAAAGGAATTACTTTAACAACAATTGAATTATAAAACATTGCACTCCCATTCATTAATGTCATGATTTATAAAATATAAAAAGTTCGCTCATTCCGCAAAAAAAATTAATAGTTCATGAAATCAGTTTTTACACGATTTTGAAAAAAAAAATTAAATGTCCTTCATGGTCTTAGCTAAAAGCATTTTGGCAATTGCAGTTACATCAAGATCTGCAAAGTTTTCCCCACTTTCTTCCCCGCTTGGCTCCTTTGCTTCTTTTTTCTTCACTGGTTTGCTCTTGCTCTTCTTTTTCTTCTCTTCCACTTTTGGTTTACTTTCTTTCTGCGCCTTCTTCTTATTATTCTCTTTTTTCTCTTTTAAATTTATCTCAGCTTCTTTCTCTTTTATAATTTTCTCCACTTCTTTCTCTTTTTTATTTGTCTCGGCTTCCTTCTCTTTTGTTATTTTCTTGGCTTCTTTCTCTTTTTTATTTTTCTTTTGTTTTGGCGTTGGTGCCTCATCGTCGTCAATTTCTACAAGTTTAGAGAAAAGCGACTCTCGGGTAGCATTCAACTGGGCTATGTCGTCCTTTAGCGAATCTTCAAGCAATTTCTTCTCCTTCTTCTTTTCTTTCTTAGGTGTCACTGAAGACGAATTTCCTACACATCCGTTTATTTTCAGCAGTTCCTTTGATGCACTGGGCTCCTTGATAGGAGATTTGGGAGCCTCGTCCGAGTCAGCTGACGAAGATTCAACCTGCTTAGCCTCCTTGCTTTTGTGGTGCTTTAGGACCTTCTTCTTCCTCTTTTTTGGTGGCTCTAGATCCTTGTGGGCCAATTTTACAAGGTCTTGTATTTCACTTTGCCACACCTCGTCCTCTTTTCCCGCCTTACGCTTCTTCCCTTTTAGTAGGTCTGCTGTGACTCCAGGAATCGGCGTCGAGTGGATCATCAGGGACTGCTGGAACTGAGACAGGGCCATTATGCCCTCGCCATCAGCCTTCTTCTCCTTTTTCTTTCTTTTGGCGGTTACAGACTCCAAAGATACAGGTGTAGCTGGCACGGACTTTGACGGACTTTCTATCGCCTCAGAAATTTTATTTAGCTCGTTATCGAACCTGTGAATAGATGAAAAAATTAATAAACTGTACAATTGGATCACGAATGTTTATATCAATAAAGTTGAGTACAAATGCATAAGCCTTACTCTTTTGGATTCATCAGAAACCCTCGAAGGTGTGGGTTGTCGCCCTCCAGCTGGACGCTGGTTATTTTAAAAACGATTTCTTTGTAAAGTGAAACCATATTTATCAGCCGCAAAGGCGCAAACCCAAGAGATTTCGATGCCTCTCAATCTCAGGAGACGTTTTCAGGTTCAGGTTTAAAAAAAGGTGGTTTTGGTTTGTTGTTGTGTTTTGATGCCGCCCGAAAAGCACGCAACACGAGGTTCCTTTAAGTCCTCTATCGGCAGAAAATTCAAACATTGCAGCGCGGGAAATTTTGGATTCCTTCAGAAATATGTATTTTCTTGCCAATATCAACTGATATCAATCTTAAGTTTTTGGCATGTAACTTTTTGTGTGACTCAAAATTCAAAATCCCGTTTTTAAATAAACATTAGCATTTTTTTTCCAAAAATTCCCGAAAGTATAAAAAACGTTTTTAGTTCGGTTCACCACCACAGGTGGCGCCTCGATCGAGATTCCAAATCACTCCCTTTTCTTTTGCGTGTTTTCCTGTCAGCTGCATCCACTCCTTCCGCAGCTCGAAGCTCCTTCGAGAGATAAGAGACCGATTCGGACATTTCGCATGTCGAATTCAGCTTGAGAGTGAAATCAGCCGGCGGCAACCATGTTCAGCCGCGTGCGAAGCGCCTTCATGAACGTGGTCGGCGGCATCGAGCCAGTCGTCGGCATGAAGGACGTGGACGGCGGCGGCCCCGACGAGCGCGACCGCCACCTTCCGCACAAGTTTCCGTACACGCGACCGCACTTTCTGCAGCTGCACACCGAGGAGGAGGTCACGGTCACCGCCGACCACCACATTAGACCCATCATCGTGCCCAGGGACGTCAACGTCATGCCCTGGAGCGCTGGTTACGCCGAGTATGTGATGATCAATTAAAACAAATTTGCCACTTTTATTCTTACATTAATTTTCAGGGCTGTCAACGCGGGCAAGTCGCTTCTGAACGAGGACCAGGCGTGTGTCCATCGGGGGCTGCTGACGAGGCCCGAGAGGAATCTCAACGACGCCCACAAAACGCCGAGCCTACCCTACGTCTACTTCGGCATCTTCGACGGCCACGCTGGTGCTGGAGCGGCCGTGGCCGCCGCCAACCAGCTTCACCACATCATCCATGTAAACTTTCTTAGTCCAGAAGAAAATGATTTTAATTGTAAACTGAATTTTGTAGGATAAGTTGGTGGACATTATCGACCACCTGATTCCGCCAGTGGCGCAGATGGAAAGTAAGTCGAGCACTGGCGGACTGGCCTTTTTCTTTCCTGGCAAGGAGGTCAGCAAGGAGTCTCTCATTATTGGTGCCTTGGAGTCCGCTTTTTGGGACATGGTATGTCTTGTGTAAATTAAAAAACAAAGGACTAGATTTTAAATACATTAGAAAATAAAACAAACCAAAAATTGGGCTAAAACTGTTTTTCACAAAACAGGGTTGAACTTTTTTTAAATCTTCCTCTGGGAAATACTTTAATTTATGTTTACTAAGAGTTAGAATAATTTAATCAAAATTGGAGCAAATTCAATTTTATGAATTTCACTTCATTAAATTTTAATTTTCTGTCTTTTTGTTTAAACAGGACCAATTAATCGGTGAAGACAAACTAAAATACAAAGTCAAGGGAGGCTGCACAGCCCTTGTGGCGCTCTTCATCAACGGCAAGCTTTTTGTCGCCAACGCTGGCGACTCGAGGGGCGTTTTGGTTCGGGACAGCCGAGCTCAGCCCATGTCCAACGACTTCACCCCCGAGTCTGAGAGACAACGAGTGCGGCGACTCGTGAGTTTTTTCTACATTTGTAAATAATTTTATTAATCTGAATCAAATTTTTTCCTGAAAGGCCGCTCTGCAGCCTGAATTGTTGGGCAACGAGTACACACATCTCGACTACTGTCAGCGGCCGGTGCAGAAAGACATAGGCAAGAGGATTTTGTACCGAGACTGGTACATGACCGGCTGGGGCTACAAAACCGTCACCCCCAGCGATCTCAAACTGCCTGTCGTGCACGGTGAAGGAAAGCGGGTCAGTGGCCTCTTTTCTTAATCTCAATTTTATTCCTTATCAGTTTTCCTGTTTGACATAAACAATTTCCAAGTGTTTTGTTCATAAATAATATAAAGTTTTAGTCTAGAAAGGAAATTTGATATTGTAGTAAATATCTGGTTCCTGTCTCATCTTCCCCCAATAAAAATTTTACTTAAGAGGTCAAAACAGGTTAAATGACAAATTAAATGTTCTTTTTAGTGGATAGATCCAGTAATTATGAAAATTAATCGTTTTGCAGAGTCGAGTTTTGGCCACGATAGGTGTGACCCGCGGCTTTGGCGACCACGAACTGAAAGCCCTCTATTCGAACATTCCCATCAAACCATTCCTTCTGTGTCAACCAGAGGTGCGCTTTTTTTCTAATCTCTGTGAATATCTAATTGAGCCGCATTGTTCAAATCAGGTACTAGTTTTAAATTTGGACAACGATGAAGAGTGGAGCGACGCAGACGTTCTAGTGATGGGCACAGACGGCCTCTGGGACGTGACGAGTAACGAGAGGGTGGCAGAAATAGTCACAAAAAGCTTCAGGCAGTTTCCTTCAGACGAAAATCGTAATAAGTACCGGTGAGTTTATTGTTTGATAAAACAGAATTGAAGAAAAGGTATTGTTATTTTTCCTAGAATTGAAGAAATTCTGAATAATTGAATTTTTCAGAAATATTCCATTTCTAAAAAAAGTATATTATATTTGTTGATTTTTATAAAGGCATGGATATAAAAAATTTGCAACAAACTAAAATTCAATTTGAATTGGAAAATAAGAATCTGTCTTTTATTTTCATTAAATTTATGGAATATCTGCAAATGTAAAATAAAATTTGATATTATAATCTATTGTTATTTATTTATTTTTATTCATATTTTCTATTTTAAATTATTATGATGTGAGTAAAGAACAATTTTTTAATTTTCCTAATCTTCATTCTCAGATACACCTCAGCAGCTCAGGACTTAGTGATGTCCTCGCGTGGCAAACTGACCGAGCGCAACTGGCGCACCTCCGAGGGCAAGTCGGCCACCATCGACGACATTTCCGTATTTGTGATCCCCGTCGTCGACTACAAACGAGAGCACGCGGCTTGGCTCAAGCAAAACGCAGCGTTGCGAGAGCAGATCAGCGCCAACCTGAACAGCATCAACAGTGCGGTGGTCGCGCAGAACGGACACTCGGAGGTCAAAGACGAAGACGATGAGGAAGAAGTGTCCCTGGAGATGAACGGCGACGACGAAATCGACACTTCGTTGCCCGTTCGTCTCGAGCTGCATTGAAGAAAAAAAACTCAAATTTTGTCCAAAAGTGTCTGTGAATGTTTTAGTTTTCTCTTACTTCTGATTTCCACACGGCCACAATATTCTAAAAAAATCTCAGGCTCAAAATTAAGTCTGGTGGAGAGTTTAAAAATCAAATCCCTCCAAATTCAAAATTTGAATTTGTCAGGTGATTTTGAAAATTTTTCCCTCTCCACTGATTGTTTATTTTGGGACTTTTCCAAGTGTGATTGAGGAAGGTGTCCCAGTTTTTGAGCAGGCTGTGTGCAGATTTGTATGGACAGTCGCCGGGACACTCGACGCTCCTTCTGACTGGCCCAAGTGTCAGACTCGAGGACTCTGTGATACGGTGCAGTAACTGAAGATAAATAAATCTCTATGGTTTTGCAGCAATCATTCCTATACTGCACTTGCGCTCTCAAATTAATTAACCGGAAAAGCATTTTACGCGTAGATGTATAATTAATTAAATAAATTTGATGGGAATTCTTCGATTGACGCGTTACTTACCAAAAGTTTTATTTCACGGAAAACGTGTCAATTATCGGGGGTCTTATTTAATTTCTTCAAAATTAAAAATACATTCCACCTGCAAAAATCATAGTGAGCCGCTACTGAAACTTATAAATTGTAAATGATCTCCGGACACTGTAGTAAAACTAAAAGTCGATCGCCGATAAAGTCACTTATCAGACAGACCCGTCAAAATCGTCACTTAAAAACTTATTTTATGACAATAATTATTTTAATTTTCTACAATTTGCAAGGAAATGCGAAAATATATGTTATTATATTATATTTTGCTTAAAGTTTGTGCTATAATTATTATTTATTCGTCACTTGCTGATCAAGTGTTAGTAAAATTGCACAGAGGAAAACCTGAAATTTGCTGTTTGAATTTAAATACCAGTGTGCTTTGTATTAAAGCAGCTTTTATTTATTTTTCGTCTTTAGGAATTAAAATAATGGAAAAAAAGTTGTATAAAAATATTACCCTCGGCGTTGATTTCTTATGCACAGATTTGGTTAAAATCTATGAAGCATAGAATACAATGTACTGTACTAAAATTGCTTTTTATGTACTGTATTTTATGTACACAAAATCCAGTGAATCATATTATGCGACGTAAACTGAAAATAAAGAACAGTTTATTAAAATATCAAAAATTTTATTGCGAAAACACATCGAATTTGATAAATTTACGGAGCAAAAAACCCTCGCTGAGCGAAGTCTTACGATTAAATACTGAATTTCTCACCACGTCTAATATGCAAGCATCGGTGGTTCAGTGGTAGAATGCTCGCCTGCCACGCGGGCGGCCCGGGTTCGATTCCCGGCCGATGCATCTTTTTGCGTTTCTTTTGTTGTCCGCGAACGGCCGGGTGAGTTGTATTAATTGATTGGCACCAATTGTCACGACTCCGTGGCGCAATGGTAGCGCGTCGGACTCCAGTTCCGAAGGCTGCGTGTTCGAGTCACGTCGGGGTCATATTAAGACATTTTTAACATGAAAAATTAGAATTTGAAGAACCATTTTGATAATTTTCAAATGAAATTCACCTTAAAATGTTTTATAATATATTTCGACTAAATTTAATTCAATATTACATTATTTTTTTTTCAATTTCATTATTCGCTTCCTTTAAATTATTTATTTGACATTTTTCATATTTTAATTCAGTTAATTATAATAAGAGTGGCTTTTCCTGGTTGTCAGCGTCGGCAAGGAGTATTATTTGTTTTTTTACTTCTACATATATTTTTTTTCAATTCTGTCTTGCTCTTTACCATCCTATATAATATAGTTTGCACGCGTGCGAATCCCGCTAGCTGCGCCGAGGTGTCGTGACGTCACCCCGCCGTCAAGTGGCCCAGTAACCCTCTCCTCCCTGGCTATGCGCGGCTCCACTCGTCCGCGGCGGCGCGACAGGTTGAGGAAAAATAAAATTCTCCGATTAAGAAAGAATGAGAGGCGGAATCGGAATTACACTGGGCTTGGCAAGATGAGCTGCTGGGAAAAACTCTGGTTGCGCAACCAAATTCACCGGTCCAGCTATTTAACCTTGACCCGGTCAGGTATAGATGAGGCAGGCAGCAAACATGAAGGGTATAACTTGCATATTTTTCATTTTGCTCGCATTGTTTAATTTAACATATAATTTTTTTTAATTCAGTGACAAAAACACCAAGCAGGAAAATAACGCAATAAAAAAAAGCATTTTTATATATCAAATTTAAATGCTAAAATTACAATTGCGGAAGTTTTATTTAAATTAATGTCTAAGAAAATGTTTAAAATAACTAAATTATGTATTAAAAAATTGGTTTTTAAAATTTCAGATATTGTCTTTAAGTTTCAACGGTCTATGTTATAAACTGTGTTTTATTATTTTTCACTTATTTCATATTTTTAATTTCTTATAATTTTCATTAAAACTCATTTTTCAGTATTTAAAATCTCCATTATTTTGATAAAATTTTCAATAAAGACCCATCATGCAAATTTGCTGTTATATATGGAAAAATTCAAATCTACAATAAAATTTCAGCCAAAACAAATTGGGTAAAATTCTTTAAAAAAAATCCAATTAATAACAAAAAACAAAATTCAACTCGCTCTTAAATATTTCCTCCATTTTTATTGCATCTCAAGCATATAATTGATATACAAAGCAAAATTAATGGCAATCCTCAACTGTCTGGCAGAGAGTATTTGATACATTTTTGTATTTTTTGTAATTTTTTTTTTAATAAATAAATTATCATTCACTCGTGCTGAAAATACAAATCAGTGGCTCGGTTGTTGGGTGATGCATGAAAATATAATGCACATGCACGGTCACTCTCGGAAGTGGTGCGACAAAACTGCACATTATTTTATTGGACATGCACGTCGCAGAGGCAACGGCCTGGATATTCGATTTGCACACTTGCACGCCTTTGTCCGTCCAAAAGGCTGCAATTGCAATTCTTGGCGGTCTTACCGCACAAAATTTCTCGAAAATATTTAAAAATTCAACTGATTTGGTGTTTTACAAAATTTTTGACACTCCTTGCTTCAATTGCAAAATTTTTTACATATTTTTCAACAAATCAATTTAAAATTTTTTTATAACAATTTGGACAAATATTCGGTCAACCATTTTCCCACAGAAAAATTAGCGCAAGTGGAAATCGACAGTGTTCCTGATGCGCCAGCACTTTTCACCTCGGACTGAGAAGAATGAAAAAATTTATGCAGAGTCACCCGAGCAAATAACGAAACGCCTCATCCTCATTGCTGCTCCATTTGACTTGCAGCATAAATAAATGTTCAGTTGGTAAGTGAAATATTATTTATACGGTCGAGCCACCGCACTCAATATTTACAATCAGAAAAAAACTCCTTTTTGAGCAAAGATATAATCGGAGTTAATTATAAAGAAATCAAGCCGAAGATTAGATTAGATAAATAAATGCATTCGGAGAAAGGTGAGAAAATTATACATAAGAGGACCCTGATATTTACTAGAATGGTGGAAAAAATCTCAGATTTTTTTTTATAAATTAATATAAAATTTGTTTATTGATCTGATTCAGAAATGTGCGTAATTGAATTATACTTTTTTTTATAAATTTATTGCAAAAAAATATAAAATTCGGATTTTTTTTAATTTCTGAATTACTTGAAGACTTGTTTAGTTTTTTAATTTTTTTCCCAGAAATTTTTATTTTATTGTAACATATTTGGCAATTTTTATTTTTGATAAGGATGAATCAGTTTATTAATTTAAAATCATTGCCGAGATTAAAAATAAAATGAAAACTCCTAAATATAGAATTTCGAGCGCTAAAGACAAACTGCATTTCAAACTAAATTTTCTCGTACCTTTTCCACCATTCTAGATACTTATACAAATTACACATAAAAAAGTAGGCCACGCACAATTTTTTTGAAAATAAATTAATGAAAAAAGCTCTGCAGCCGTGTGTATGATCGCGACGAAATCACGCGCGCACACTTATCGAAGAGTCCGTTGCTTTTCGCTCGCGGTTCGAGTCCATCGTTAAAAATATGCAGTGTGGCGAGATTAGCTCTCGCGCAGTTACGGGTGCCCAGATTACGGTTCCACACTGACCGGACACCCCTGGTATAGCTGGCGGCAATTCTTCTGGTCCTGCCCATCCTTGGCCGATTGCACGAAGAGGAAGAAGCGCCGCACCGGCTCGTTGGCCGACTGCGGTTTCTGCAACTCCTCGGGTTCTCTGCAAAAAATAATAGGAAAAAAAAACAGAATTAGAATTTATTGAAAACAGGGAAATTTTAATTTAAATAAATTGCAGATTTTTATTCTGATTGAATAAAAAAAATTAAGATTTTGTGAGTTGTTTTTAATTTTATAGCGCAAATTAAATTTTATGCTCTAAAATTTAACTGTTTTATTCTTGTGATGATTTTTTTTTCATGATCAATTTTTTGTAACTTGGCGAATTTGAATTAAATTAAGATTCTGTAATATTTGAACTATGATCTAAAAACACAATTTATAGGCGCCGTTTTGCCAAAATAATTAATAGCTGATTAGTGATTTCAGATAATCATTTTCTTATTAAAAAACTGCAATTTTAATTTCCAAAAACCCTAAACACATTTTTATTTGGTTCACTTTTATAATTCATCTGCGTTAAAATTTTGTATCCTCTAAAGTTGATTGAAATGATCATGAAAATTGATGCAAATAATTAAAATCCCTAATTTCTCTTGATTTTTTTAACGAAGATTTCAAAATAATCCTTTGGTGGAAAAAGTAATTAGGGACCATCAGCCGCAAAAAGTTAGTAGGCTGATGACCTTCTGTAAAATTACGGCCAGCAAACAACAATTATTATTTCCTCGTCAACGGAAAGAGCAATTTAGATCAATCGGATCCACGCTTGTTTGAGCAATTAAACAATAATTTTGATATTTTTTTCGGCAAACTTTTTAGTTTAACGAACCATTTTTTCTCCTGTCCTATTGGACAATAGACTCGATTGCATCTGAGGAATTTTAATTTGATTTTAATCTGCAGGTCGGTGATTTGATTTGAGTGACGGGTTGACCCAAAAGAGAGGATTTTTTTTGTCGCGGCTCACGGAAGTGCCGCTACCAGCATCTCTGAAATATTTATTTCGCTTCTTCGGAACCGGTTGCCGACTCGAACCCGCCGCGACCTCATTTGCGTGAACCTCCTGCTCAATAAGTCGCATCTCTCTCGGCTAAATTAATTCGGACACCACCGAAAAAATAAAAAATTATACCAAGCGAGTTAAACCGCAAAAATCAGAGCGATTTATTTCTGTATAAAATTAACTGTCACTTTGATTAGTTTGGGAAAATAATTTTACTACAAAATTGCTTGAATAAAATTAAAGAAAATTCCATCAAAATCAAATTTATTCATATAAGAGAAAAATAAAAAAAATTATGATTATTTTTTTAGGAGACTGTAATAAATTTGTCTCTCTTCCCACGATTTTCATTGCAAATCAAATGGACGAGTCACGCTCTACTGGAGATAATGGGATGAAATTGAAACTGCACGCCGAAAAGTGACCAATGTGCACAATAATTGCGGTTTCTGCAGGTCCAACTCTATTAGCCAGAATTTGTCACGCTTGGCCTGAGTCGATTTGACTGAGACTAACAATATGACATTCTGAAGAGAGAAAAGCAAAAAAGGACAACAATAAACAGATGAAAAAGACGGATATAAAATGTGGCGACACACTTATTTATTTATTTTTTTTTTAATATCAATAATTGTCAGCGTAATTGAGCTCAATTTTGGACGAACAAAGAATTAAGGAGAGAAACCGACGAGGTTAAATTTTACGACCTTCCTCTTTTGTGTGTTTTTTACTCGACTCTCTTTCTTTCTTTCTTTCTTTCAATCATCACTTTATATCATGTAGGGCAAGCGAAGGTGCGCACAAAGGGCCGACGAAAGAGAGGTGAAAGCAACAATGCAACAAGAGATCCGCGCCCATTGCGAAAGACGCTGTTTGTTTTGTAGCTGGTCGTGGGAATTTTTACGGTCAGCAGACTCGGACTGCGAATGGAAGAAGTGAAAAAAAGAAACGCTCAAAATTACGGAAACTGCGATTTCTTTCTGGCCAAAATAAAAAAAAATAAAAAATGCAACTTAACGTGATAAATTTCAATTTTTGAAAGAATACAAAATAAAGATAATTAAAGCTTAGGTTTATTTTTTAATTGGAAATATTTAAATGTTAATTAACAATTTTAAAATTTAAAATCGTCACGTAATCTGCTAAAGTAAACAAATATCTCAATAGAAAGGAAAATCAAAACAAGTGATAAGAACAGAAACCAAGTCAAACGAGGCTCACTGCAGCGAATGGGTTCTTTTTGATCTCAGAAGTTTTAGCAAAATTCTTGCTAGTGGTGTTGCCGTTTTGTCCAACAAATCCTCTCTTTTTAAATAATTGTTTTAAACAATCAAATGTATACAATGTGATGAAACAATTTGGACAAATAAACAACAAAAATAATTCATTATTAATGCTTAACCGAAACAAAATAAATTATCAAATGTAAAAGAGATTAGATTTGAATTAAAAATTGGCAAAAATCGAATAAGAGCCATTTTTAGCAATAATTTAAAAATAGGAAATGATCAAGAACTCCTGAATAATTTAAAGTTCCAATACAAAAGATAAAAGTTAATGGTACATAAAAAAATGTTTCAAATTCATTACCGATAATTTTATTTTTTGCATTTGGAATTTAAATAAAATTGGAATTAATAAATGTTTCAAAATTATCAGCACAGTTTATGAAAAAATTAATCATTATTCAGTTTTTTTATGATTTACTCATCAAAGCTCTATTAAATAATATTCAATAAAGTCTAAATTAAAGTTTTCATTTTTAATTAAAAATTTGATTTTTTTAGAGAACTTCGTAAAATATGGCGAAATTTTAGCTTTTTCACGAAGATCTAATTGGGAATTAACCTCTCTTGAGTAAACACTGAACCACTCTTACATTGACGAGTCAGACACAGTGAATCGGCGGCGAATTGAAAGCAGGTTAGCTGGCCAGCGTCGACGAAAAGGCAAAGAGCAAGTCTGCGAGTTAATTTTTTTGTGTGCCGCCGCGCGCGACTGCAGTAAATGGAACGTTTTATTCGGGGCCTGACCGCGCGGCAAATATAATCGCTGCACGCTCGCGACTCAAATCCTAGTTTATTGCCGAGAGTCCGTTTCCGTCTTTCTCGAAATAATTCACAAATCGTAGAAAACTGGGGAGATGACTCGGACTTTTGCTTGTTCTGCAGGCCGCGGCGCTCTTTGGTGTGTGCAATTAAATACCGTTAGCGTGTTGCTCTGACCGAGCGAGCTTTGTTTTGGCGATTCAAATCCATTACTCATCCTAATCAACTCCGAAGAAGAAAAAAAACGCAGAAAAAATTGACGCTCGTCAAAGTTGGAATGCAATTATTGGGACATCTTTTGTGTTATTTGAAGATATAAAAATTAAATAAAAGGGCTTTTTTTAACAAAATTCCCACTTTTTGGGTGGAGAAGATTTTAAATTTGACATTATTCTTTAAATGATGCGTTCAAATCATGTTCAATGAAATAAAAAAAAACCTCTAAAAAAATACTCATTAAAGACCCCATCTAGTAATTTAATTTTTCTTGTGCCACTCGTGCCCCACGTGCAAGAAAACTTGGCAAAATCAGCGATCGCAGCGCCAATGTGACCAAATCCTGCAGTTTTTGAATGGATCTGATTGGCAACTCAATTCTCGAATGTTTTTCGCGCGAATCACTCTCATTTAGGTTTTCTTTTGATTGCGACGCAATGGTTTGGAATTTTCACACAGTGTTTTCATAAGATATACTCGAAATTTAGCAATCTTTCAGAAAAGAGAGCAATACAAAGGACCAGAGAGGATCTTTAAATTCCTTAAATAACACAAAAATCCATTGCTCAAATCAAAATCCCGACCGAAAAATTTAAATTTCAAATTTTCAAAAACTAGCAATTTTTAATAGTCAATGGCGTGCTTTATTTCAAATTTAAAAAAAAACATGATCCAATATACTAGTCAACGCTGTGCGTTCCTTAAAATTAAAAAAAAAAAAAAATAATTTTTGTTGTATTTTACTCTCTATTTTCTACTTGTTTTGTACTATGTCGCAATGAGTAATTACATCGTGGTGACGCCTCATACGTCAATAAAGATCAATAATAATAATAATTGGTAAAAAATACTCTAATGAGAACCTTAAATTTGAATTTTCAAAAAAATTTAACCTAAAATTATCAACGAATCGAAAATTTTGCCCTTTAATTAAAATTACCTGCTAAGTTCCGCCGAGACGAGGTTGCTGTTCGGCGCGTACTTTTCCGGCGTCTGGTACATTTGGCAGACGAGCTGATATCTGCACTGGTCGGCGCCGGCGATGGCGTTGCCGAAGCCCATTTGGCTGAAGATGTTGTCCAGTCTGGCGAGGATGGGCGAATAGAAGGGGTCGTAGTTTTCCGCCGAGGCCACCAACGGGGCCGCGTGGTGGTTGAAGTTGCCCCGCTTGACGGGCACGATGCCCACGGCACTGTGCACGTTGTTCTTGTTGATTTGCGCCAACTGTTGCTTCATCTCGAAATCGTACGCCTGCTGCACCTTGCGCCGCTTTTCTTCGTCCAAGCGCTGCTGGCTGATCGGATCGATCGGACTCGCGTACGTGGCCGAAAATCTAAAAACAAAAATTTAAACAAGTTAATTTATTTAGAGAGTTATCATTTTTCTTTATGTTTACACACAAAGCAGTTAAAAAGTGCGTTTTAAATTCTGAGGGGTATTAAAAATTATAATTGAAGAAATTGATCAGCTTTTATGGTCAATAATTTCAAATGTTTGAATAAATTTAGACGATCCTATATGAATATAGAAGAGAAGGACTAAAATGGATGTTAATTAGCCCAAATTTAAATTAAAAACCATGAGGAAGATTTTATAATGGAATTAATGTTTGGTGCTCGAAATACCAAGCTTAGTCCAAATGTCTAGTAGGATTTAATTGAAATTAAATTAGACTAAAAGGACTAATATGAAATGAAAAGTTTTCAAAAACAGGATCTTTTTAGTGTAGTCCAAAAATAAGGTATTCAAGGCATTCAATACCTATTTTTGAAAAAGCTTAAAGAAAATTGGATTTTCATTTAGTCGTTTCCCTTCCAAAATTAAGGTATTCAAGGCATTCAATACCTATTTTTGAAAAAGCTTTAAGAAAATTAAATTTTCAATTAGTCGTTTCCCTTCCAAAATTAAGGTATTTAAGGCATTAAAATCATAATTTTTGAAAAAGCTTTAAGAAAATAAAATATTCATTTAATCGTTTCCCTTCCAAAAATAAGGTATTCAAGGCATTCAATACCTATTTTTGAAAAAGCTTTAAGAAAATTGAATTTTCATTTAGTCGTTTCCCTTCCAATAATAAGGTATTTAAGGCAATAATTTCCTAATTTTTGAAAACGCTTTAAGAAAATAAAATATTCATTTAATCGTTCCCATTCCAAAAACTAGGTATTCAAGGCATTCAATACCTACTTTTGAAAAAGCTTTAAGAAAATAGAATTTTCATTTAATCGTTTCCCTTCCAAAATTAAGGTATTTAAGGCATTAAAATCCTAATTTTTGTAAAAGCTTTAAGCAAATAAAATATTCATTTAATCGTTTCCCTTCCAAAAATAAGGTATTCAAGGCATTCAATACCTATTTTTGAAAAAGCTTTAAGAAAATTTAATTTTCATTTAGTCGTTTCCCTCCCAAAATTAGAATATTCAAGGCATTCAATACCTATTTTTGAAAAAGCTTTAAGAAAATTGAATTTTCATTTAGTCGTTTCCCTTCCAAAATTAAGGTATACGAGGCATTCAATACCTATTTTTGAAAAAGCTTTAAGAAAATTGAATTTTCATTTAATCGTTTCCCTTCCAAAATTAAGGTATTCAAGGCATTCAATACCTAATTTTTGAAAAAGCTTTAAGAAAATTGAATTTTCATTTAGTCGTTTCCCTTCCAAAATTAGGGTATTCAAGGCATTCAATACCTATTTTTGAAAAAGCTTTAAGAAAATTGAATTTTGATTTAATCGGTTCCCTTCCAATAATAAGGTATCTAAGGCATTAAAATCCTAATTTTTGAAAAAGCTTTAAGAAAATAAAATATTCATTTAATCGTTTCCCTTCCAAAATTAAGGTATTCAAGGCATTCAATACCTAATTTTTGAAAAAGCTGCTAAGAAAATTGAATTTTCATTTAGTCGTTTCCCTTCCAAAATTAGGGTATTCAAGGCATTCAATACCTATTTTTGAAAAAGCTTTAAGAAAATTGAATTTTCATTTAGTCGTTTCCCTTCCAAAATTAAGGTATACAAGGCATTCAATACCTATTTTTGAAAAAGCTTTAAGAAAATTGAATTTTCATTTAGTCGTTTCCCTCCCAAAATTAGGGTATTCAAGGCATTCAATACCTATTTTTGAAAAAGCTTTAAGAAAATTGAATTTTCATTTAGTCGTTTCCCTTCCAAAATTAAGGTATACAAGGCATTCAATACTTATTTTTGAAAAAGCTTTAAGAAAATTGAATTTTCATTTAATCGTTTCCCTTCCAAAATTAAGGTATTCAAGGCATTCAATACCTAATTTTTGAAAAAGCTTTAAGAAAATTGAATTTTCATTTAGTCGTTTACCTTCCAAAATTAGGGTATTCAAGGCATTCAATACCTATTTTTGAAAAAGCTTTAAGAAAATTGAATTTTCATTTAGTCGTTTCCCTCCCAAAATTAGGGTATTCAAGGCATTCAATACCTATTTTTGAAAAAGCTTTAAGAAAATTGAATTTTCATTTAGTCGTTTCCCTTCCAAAATTAAGGTATACGAGGCATTCAATACCTATTTTTGAAAAAGCTTTAAGAAAATTGAATTTTCATTTAGTCGTTTCCCTTCCAAAATTAGGGTATTCTAGGCATTCAATACCTATTTTTGAAAAAGCTTTAAGAAAATTGAATTTTGATTTAATCGGTTCCCTTCCAATAATAAGGTATCTAAGGCATTAAAATCCTAATTTTTGAAAAAGCTTTAAGAAAATAAAATATTCATTTAATCGTTTCCCTTCCAAAATTAAGGTATTCAATGCATTCAATACCTAATTCTTGAAAAAGCTGCTAAGAAAATTGAATTTTCATTTAGTCGTTTCCCTTCCAAAATTAGGGTATTCAAGGCATTCAATACCTATTTTTGAAAAAGCTTTAAGAAAATTGAATTTTCATTTAGTCGTTTCCCTTCCAAAATTAAGGTATTTAAGGCATTCAAATCCTAATTTTTGTAAAAGCTTTAAGAAAATAAAATATTCATTTAATCGTTTCCCTTCCAAAAATAAGGTATTCAAGGCATTCAATACCTAATTTTTGAAAAAGCTTTAAGAAAATTGAATTTTCATTTATTCGTTTCCCTTCCAATAATAAGGTATTTGAGGCAATAAAATCCTAATTTTTGAAAAAGCTTTAAGAAAATAAAATATTCATTTAATCGTTTCCCTTCCAAAAATACGGTATTCAAGGCATTCAATACCTAATTTTTGAAAAAGCTTTAAGAAAATTGAATTTTAATTTAGTCGTTTCCCTTCCAAAATTAAGGTATTTAAGGCATTCAAATCCTAATTTTACGAAAAAGCTTTTAGACAATAAAATATTCATTTAATCGTTTCCCTTCCAAAATTAAGGTATTTAAGGCATTCAAAACCTAATTGTATAAAGGCTTTAAGAAAAAAAATTTAAATTTAATCGTTTCCCTTCCAAAATGACTTATTTAGTCGATAATTTCAAAAATTTGAAATTAATATAGACGATAGTCCCAAGAATTTAGACGAGAGGGACTAAAATGATATGAATTTAATCGAGAAGGTCTAAAATGAAATGAATTTAGACGATTAGGACTAAAATAAAATGAATTTAGACGAGAAGGGCTAAAATAAAATGAATTTAGTCGAGAAGGACTAAAATGATATGGATAATTTTCAAAAACAAGGTCTTTTTAAGGTAGTCCATGCTTAAAATTTTAAAAACTACGTCAACTTTAATAGTCGCAATAATTTCAAAAATTTGAAATTAATATAGACGATAGTCCTATGAATTTAGACGAGAGGGACTAAAATGATATCAATTTAGACGAGAGGGACTAAATTGAAATGAATTTAGAAGAGAAGGACTAAAATGAAATTAAATTAGAAGAGCAGGACTGAATTAATTTAAAAAATTTTAAAAGCAAGGTCTTCTCCCTGTAGTCCATGTTTCAAATTTTGAAAACAACGTAAAACTAAAAACTCTATCTAATTTTAAATTTAGGAAATAAAAATGAAAATATATTCAGAAATAAATGGAAAATTTTACAAAAACAATGTGTCCTCTTTGAAAGTTCTAAATTTCAAAATTAAATTTAGTTGGATTTGAATGTAATTTAATCGAACTGCGAACAGTGCGCTTCTAGAATTAGAGCTTTTCATATGACAAGAAAATATTAAAATATTGCAATTACTTAACAATAACAAATTTTTATACTATCCAAACCTTGAGTTATCAGGTTCGACGTAGTAGTCGGTGGACGTCTCGGGGACGGCGGCGTCCTGTCTCTTCCAGTAGTCGGGTGGGCCGTGGTGGTAGTCGTCGTGGTGGTGGTGCGGCTTGAGGTGGTGGATGTGGTACTGCTTGACGTGGCCGTGGTGGTGGTGTTGGTGGCACGTCTTGAAGAGGGAGGCGAGCGCCGGGAAAACGAAGAACAGGAACTTGATGGCCAGTTTCTTGACCGTGCCCACTCCCAAAATCAGCGGCAGCAGGAAGAACAGTTTGATCTTGATCAGCTTGATGATGAGCAGCAGAGCGAAGAAGCCAAACAACAGCTTCTTCTTGATTTTCTGGCCTGAAAAAAAAAACGAAACGCACCAAACAAATTAAACAAAAGAGTAAAATAAATTCCTGCGGCTGCAATTCTTCAATAATTATCAATTATTAATTTGTGGTAAATTTCTTGTAATATTTGGCTTGGGAATTTTCAAAAAATCAGTTTCCGACCGAACTGTAAATTTTATTAAGTAGGCAACCCACATTTTGTTTTCCTCTTTAGTAAGTCACGATAATTTATTTGACCGGAGTGCGAGGAAGTGGCAATATAATTAATAGCTCACGTTTTGGAGACTTGAAAAATAATCAAGGCGCTTACGCAACATTAACAATGCGATAATCGGCCGCAGGCGGCGTGAGAAAGTCTCTCAAAGGTATTGTTTTGCATTTTCGCGGCGAGGGCTTAATTTAATTTGATCCTTGAAAATGATACCCGCGACAGTTTCTCACAAACGCAGGCGTCAAGAATCTGAATGGAAAGAGCAAAGACGAGACCGGTAATTCGCACTACATTCCGCACCGACCGCAAAAATTATGCTTAATTCCCGAAGCGATTTTCCACGATAATAATCGCGGCAGAGACAAAAGTACAATAAACAGTTTTGTTAATTTCGCGTTGTGAACATGACAGAATCACCCATCAAATTATTATTATTTCAAAATGTTAAGCCCGAACTTGATGCACCTTCACGCTGAAGAATTTCTCTTTTAAACAAAGAGGGATCGGAAACAGTTATAAAAACGCTTTGGTAAATTAAAAAGTTCTGGTTGAACTGATGGCCGATCAACGAGAAATATCTTGAAAGCAGCCTTCCTAAAATAAGTCGATTTATTTCTGGTGCAGAGTCTCATTTTTTATTAAAAGAGGCTTTTTTACTGTTGTTTATTTGCGCAAATTGTTACATTCAATTGTTGAAAACAATTTATTTGAAAAAATGAGCTGTGGGACAAAATGGCACCACCATAAGTAAGAATTTTGCTAAAACTTCCGAGATCAAAAAGACCCCATCCGATTGATTTATTCATAAAAATGTATGAAATAAAAATAGTCACAATCAAGTTTTTGTCTCAAAATATAGTCAAAGCACCTAAAAAGAAATTTATTTAATTTAAAAAAATTATTTGTAATGTATATTTTGAATCAGAATGAAATAATTTGTAATAATGTGAAGACATAATGATTTTTTTATAGCTAATTTAAAAAAAATCGGATATTATTTAATTATTTTCGTCCAAGCTAAAACAAAAAATCAACAAACTTAACAAATGATGAGCACTTATTACATAGGAAGTGTTGTGAGCAAGAAATGTAAAACATAGAAAAAAATGTGCCAGAATGGTTAACGCTGTTGTCGTTATTTGAAGAACAGTTAGACGCGCGCGCCAGCAAAGTAAACAGCCGGCGCAAGGCTAATTCGGCAGCATCAGGTACAAGTAATTAAGCCCCTTTTGTCTTTCGGCTTCACAGTACGAAAAAAAATTATGTTCCTCGGTGCATTGCAAATTAAGAGCATACTCCTAATTAATTGTAATAAAAGTCGTGTAATAACACATTTTTTGTGTAGTTCAATAGAAAAAAAAATACAGCAAAATTCTTGCTTGTTTTGTCCAAAAATTCTCCCTCCCTTTGAAAAAATTTCAATTAACAAAAGCAAAAAATTAGAACTATTTATTCAGTCATCTATAGTAACTATATCTTTCAAGAGAAGAATTCAGGCACTCTATTTTTAATTAATAAACTCGTTGAAAATCTGTTTCTCAAAATTTTTCTTGCTCATATAAATCGTGTCGCAGTCCATCTGAAGCCCTCTTTATTCTGGATTACAAAAATTCTAATGAAAAACCACTGCAGATTTGCATAATTTAACGTAAATAAAATTTTTTATTCAATTTTTAATAGTACAGCCTTTGTTTTTAGTTTTATTTTTGGATAATGAAGTATATTTTTTTTTATTACAACTTTTCTTTTTATGACTTCTCAAACAAAGACATGACGGCACCCTATTTAAAATTCAAGCGCAATGACATTGTACAATTTATTATTACTATCGCGGGCAAGCCTCCAATTCTCCTTTCCAAATCACGTTTTTGAATGGAATGCAAACGATGAGGAAGCGATGAGTGGCACCTTTTTCTTTCTTTTTTTTTATCTCATAACGCACTGGGGACATAAATCCTAGCTCTCTCACAAAAGAGAACATAATCCTCATCGAGTCCGTCCGAATCGAGTCCAGACTTTGAGGAGAAAATCGAGGCCACGTTCTCGGTACAAATTTATTTTATCCTGTCCACTCCTACACAAGTGCGCGGTTCCACCGGCCAGGCTCGTTTTATTCTCCGCCGATGGAAATGTAGGCAAGTAGGTCTGACCGAGAGGATGCAACGCCCGCTCGCCCAGAAAATTCGGTTTTCCATCAAATATAATTTTTATTAATAGAACGGAGGTTTATTTTTACGTTTATTATCTAATAAAACCGGTTTGTTGTTTCTTTTCGGAGAGGAGATTCACCGGAATTCGCATAAAATTATATAATTTTATAGCTTGCGAACCGACGCAGTTATACACGAATTCTCAGCATCTCCGGAGAGGTGCAAAGATAATAATAGTCGCGCTTTGTCAAAAAAAAAAATGTAATTACAAGAAGCGCCTTTCCGTGTCTCTCACCGAATTTTTTCCTTGTGAAAATTAAATTCTTCTCTTGAAAATGAAAAAAAAAGGTTCAACAAACTGGCTCATCAATTATAGCCAGACAATGGAATTCGTCCGAGATTTATGGCTAATAACAAAAGTGATGGCAGCACTCAAAAGTAGGTAAAGGATACCTGACGACTAATATATTTTTCTCATTTTTACAGTTACGATCGGGAGGTGCGGTCGCGAAAAGCAAAACAGGATTTCGGAATATTTTAGCACCTGCTTTATTTGTCTTTTTAAGACGAAGATATTTTTTAAAGTGGCACGATTTGTAATTAAATTCGTCAAACAAACAAAAAAAGAATCCAAAGGGAATAATAATTATATTCTCTCCTATCGCTGCGATTTGCACTGAAAGCCGCAATGTGAGAACTTTTTGCGCTTGTTCGCAGCCTCATTGCGCGAAATCTGCCATTGACGTGCTTCAAAGATTTGATAATAAATAATTCAGAATAAATCACATAAATCAGAACTTAAAATTTAATGCCAGACAGAATTAATTCAAGACTAAAATTTTTGAATGTTTCAATTAAAAAGACTAAAACCAACCAAAATACTTTTAGTGTCTTAAATATATTAAAATTTTTTTAAAATACAATTTTCAATTTAAAATTTTTTTTATTTATTTAATCTAATCAATTTATTTATTTAATAATGAATTTATAAGTCAATTAAGAACATCATATTGATTAATTTATAATATTTTTACAGATGTTTCTGTCTCTGCTTTTAACACTCGATTTTCCTCTATTTTTAAACTGCCGGCGCTTTTCTGTCCGTTTCGCTCTTTTTTATTAAAAAAAAGCCCACGATCAAAGCAAGTAAACGGTGGATTGCGAATTCTCCCAAGAAGAATGATAGAAACGGAAATAATTATTCAGCAGCCGAAAAGCTGAAGCTCGCTGTATTTTTATTTAATGGAGAGTAAATAAATGGAAACAGTTACAAAACGAGTGAGATGAGAGTCGTTCTCTGTGACGGCTCAGCTCTGATTCGGGCTTTTCTTAGATAACACACGCGAAAATGAGCCGAGCAATTACATTCCGTGGAATATTGCAAAAATATAAGTTAATAGTCGACGCATCATTAAACAAAAAATTAATAAAATAAAAAAGAGCTAGATCATCTTTTCATCTACGGGCAATGCTTATTTTATATTCGCAGGTTAATGTAGCGTTAAATTGCCTCAATCATCAACCGTAATTAACTTTATAACTTAATTAAGCCTTTATTCAAATCTTAAGCAAATAAATAAATTAATTTACAGAATGTATTTTTGATCTCAGGAAGTTTTAGCAAAAAATTTAACCTTTTTTTCAATTAACTGTTTTCTTATCTTTGACTGAGAAGAATAAATAATAATAATTCAATCCTAAAATTTTATCTTTGCAATAATTTGGATCAATAAAACAAAACAAAATAAATCAGAAAACTCACTGAAAATCTTCTTGAGGAAAAAGCGTCCCGTCTCCAAACTCCTCTCCTGCGGCTCTTGCGGCTCCGAATCGGCGTCGACGCCGCCCTCGGGCGCTTCGAGTTCAACGGAGAAAAGGGTGCGTGAGGTGGCGCCCTGATCAGGGGCCTTCACCCTGAGCACGGCTCCGCCGAAAAGGGTCTCGGGAAGGGCCCACGTGAAGTCGTGGGTGGCCACAAACTGCTGCGCCTTGGCGAACAGAGCGTCCGTCCCGTCCTCGCCCAGGGTGCGACCCTGACGGAAGGTCGATTCGGACCGGCCGTTGCGAGTGAAGCCCATGTCGTCGGTCACCTGCCAGTCGGAGGTGCTGTTGTTGAACGTGCCTTCCAAGTACCTGAAAATTTCAATAAGTTAGAACAAAAAAAATTAGATTTTGAAATTAATTCTTATAATTTTAATAACATCCTAAAATTTTATTTCATTTGCGCTTAATTTTAAAAATATTTATGAAAACTGAAGATTTGAAAAGAAAAGAGTGAAATGTTATAAAATAAAAACTGTTTTTATAATTAATTAAATTTCTAACTTCATGTTTCAAATTGGATTGAATTCTATAACTCATCCTTAAATATTTGTCGCTTTATTGGGGTGACTTGTTTTTTAATTTGATGAAATTTCTATCAATTAAACCAATTTTGAGTTCGTTGGTTTAAAAAAAAATCGCAAAAATATGTAAATTTTAAATTTTTTTTTCGTCCCAATTCATTTAATTATTCCTATGAATTCTACAAAATTAAAATATCAACAAAATCAATTGGGCTGTTTTTAATTAAAGTTTTGAATGACTTTTTGCGAGTAAAAAAAATCTTAGAAATTGTGCACAAAATTTAATTTTTATAATATAAAAACAAAAATATAAACAGCCAAATACCGATAATCATAATTTCTAAATCTTCAATTCATTTTATTTTCACTTTGAATGAATTAAAACAAACTTCTCTTTAAAAATCAAATTATAATCATTTTTCTTTAATTGTTGCTCTAATTTTGTGTAAATTTGGTCTTACCTGTATGTGTTTTTACTGATGCAACTCAGGTCGGCCTTTTCCGTGCAGTCCACCACAATATTGTCCAAAAGCGCATCTTCGGGCGATTCCGAACTGAGACACGTGGCCACGGACACAAGCAAAATCACCAGCACCGACCTCATTTTGATTTTGTCTCTTCCGCGTTCTGTCTCGATTATTTTCACTGCGCGTCTTTTTCCTCTCTATTTTCTACAATATATCGACTGATCACCGGTGCATGTTCACACTATACGTCTGCTCTCGACGCGATCCACCTGCGGAATGAACTCGCGGTGCGGCGCATCTGAGCCTTTTATGGGTCAGCAGCACCAGCTGACGGAATTAAAAAGTAGCGGTCGCGCAGCAGCCCAGCCAGTGGCGCAGGATCCTGCGCTGGTCACTTTGCCGAAAAAAAGAAGGATGCTCTTGATTTTTATTGCAAATATTTTACCAAGAGAGAGACCCGTATTTTTGGTTAATTGCAACCTGCCTTGCCTCTAAATTGCGAAGAGGCAGAGACGAGTGCTTAAAATTTGGACCAATTTATTTTAATAGTGACATTTTTAAACGCAAAAGTTATTTCTACTTTGACTTACTTTTGAAATTTACTGTGAATTTAATTAGTCTTGAAATCTCAATTTCCTTCATTGTGATTAAAAAAAGTGAGAAAAAAATATTTATTTTTAATGTTTTCAAAGCATAACAATTTTTGTGAAATATTTGTTTAAACTTTTATGGAGAAAATGTTTAGCCTTTTTTTAAAAGTACATGTTTTTAATAACTTCATTAGAATGGAAGGAAATGTATCTCTTTTAATTTGAAAAAAGAAATATATTTTGAAATGTCAATTATTAAAAATCAGTTCCTTCATTGTTTTCAGATTAAAATTATTAATTTTTTTTATCCAAATTTAAAAAAAAATTATTAATTATACTGAAAATATTAGTAGAATTTTGAGTAAAAATTAAAATATTGCTGGAAAAACGGAAACACCTTTTAAGAGAATTTTGATCAAACTTCTGTGAGCTCAATTAATCACAGAATTTTAAAATGGTTTTGATTAGAAAATATTAGAGACTAAAATTATTTCCAAAATTTGAGCATAAAATTGTGCTAATTTCCATTTTTTACCTATAAAAAAAGTTATTATTAGGCTCGTGTTTTTTAGTCGATCAACTTTTTTTCCACGTCGCTCGTTACGGAAATGCATTTTTCGGATTTTATTACAATTGGCACCTACTTAAAATTGACTAAAACCGACTATTTCTTCAATTTCCGACTAAAGCGACTAAAACAGACAAAAATTACAGACTTTTTCAACTTTTTAAGCAAAAACTAGGTTTTTCCAGACTTGGAAACAAAATTTCCAAAAAATTAATTTGTCAAAAAATATTTATGTAAAGCTAAAAATTTATTTATTTAAAAAATTGTATCATACAGATTTTATTTCAAGCGACTGAAAGCAGCATCTTGTAAAGCTATTTTTAATCTTTAATTAAATCAAAAGGAAATCAAACATGGGATGGATAAAAAATTCATAATTTTCAACAGTGGAAAAAACATGTTTTTGAGCATTTTTAGAACATCATAATTAAAATTTTAGCGACAAAATATAAATTTTGTTCGCAAATATCAATCAAAACATGCATTTAAGTAAATTACCCTGTGCAACTATCTTCAAAATATATATTTCAACACAATATTACAAAAATTCAATGGTTTCAGCAATTGTATTCCTTAATCTATATAACGTGTTGTATCATAAAATCACGAAGCTCTGCATAATTGCTCTATGAAATTTAATAGTGATGAAAAATGGGTGATAAATTATTATTTATGCTTCCAAAAATGGAGATTTTTTAAAGTTATCCGAAAAAATCGATTAAAATTAATATTTTCATGTATTTTATGGCTCAAAAAATCCAATTTAAAAAATCGACTAAAACCAACTATTTTGGCAAAAAACCAGCTAAAAAGGCGACTAAATTTATTTAAAATCAACTAAAAATAGTCGACTTTTTTACCCCTAAAAACCAACTAAAATGCAGGAGCCTAGTTATTATACTTCAATATTTAGGTACACAGAGAGGTCACTGACCCTTTTGAGTTTTACGAAGTAATAAAATTTGCTTATACATGGGAGCTAATTACTCATAGGAGACCATTCTACCTGAACAGCATGATGTGGCAATAAAAAAGGAATATATTTTTCTTCTAAATAAGGCAAAATTCCACTGATTGAGTTGTTCACTTATAATAGAAAATCAACTCACCAAATTCATAGCAGTAAAATATTAACTTTTTCCAAATATAATGAAATTTTTGGTGCTATATTTGAGTTAAACGACCTTTGAGGATCTTATTTTTTATATAATTTCAGGATTTAGGTGAGAAATTTAATTGACATATTCTTGTTTGAATGCGACATTCAGAGCAGAAATCCGAGATGCAAATTATATTCGCTTGGTTAAAATTTGTATATCATTTAATTGACGATTCATAGTCACGTTGTCCCCTGGAGGCGAAAGCATGAAAGGATTATATGATTCCCATTATTATGGTCACCGCAAAATAATCACGAGCCGCGGCGGGAGACTAATTGATGGCCTTGACTTTCATTGACAAAGTATAGCATAAAAGTGACCTGCATTGGGCACGCTTCGCCGACTCCTCGTAAACATTGTAATGTGTAGCATCACCGTGAAGTTGTGAGTAGAGCCTTTCCTGTTATTAAATTGCAATGGGAAGAAAGTGCGAAATAACAAAGATTTATAGTTTCTCATTTTTCTAACAAAAAAAGAAAAAAAAATCTAAGCAAAAACTCTCACTTAAGATAAATTTATGTCAATTTCGTCTAAAAAAAGTTTAGCAGGATTTTTTTTTGGATATCAATATATATAAAAATGAATTTCAATGAAAATTAAAATATCTGATGTTGAAGAATACATAAATTTATTGTAAAAATTAACATTTAAACTTTATTTATTAATTTAAATATTAAATTAAATTAATTAATAACAATTTTTATAGAAATTTATTTTTTTAAATATAATAATATTAATAGAAAATAACTTAATTATATTATATAAATTTAAATATAAATATAAAAATTATTTAACTTTTAAATATTAATAGTTAAACATATATTATGCAATTAAATTATATTGTTAATTTTTCAATTCTGCAAAATTTTTGATGAAAATTTGTATATGTTACGGAGAAAAGTACAAATTATATAATAATTATAACAAATTTAATTATGAATTAATGAAATAGAGTTAAAAATCATCCCTTGAAAGATAAAAAGTAAAAAATTTTTTAATGATTAAAATAATTAAGCAAAATTTTAAAATAAAATTCAATTTTAAATTAAATAAATGAGTTTTGAATGTTATATTTTATTTTAATTTATTTTCATCAACACATTTTCTTATGTTTTTAAACATTCAAAGAGAAAACCAATGATGAAATGATGAAATGAGTTTTTCCGCTCATTCGACTCTCCTTATCCCACACCCCCTCATGAGTCACCGCAATCAGCTGACGAGGGCAGTTGTTTTGGAACCCAGCGACGTGCAGGGTGTAGATTTTCGGGACAATCGAATTATTGGTGATTTATCAGTGTTTGATGCCGTGATGAGAAGTGTCGTGCCTCGGTTTTCATCCTGAAGAGGTCAAAGGTCATGGAGATCGAAGAATCGGAGGCGGAACTCAGCGGGGAGCGTCGAAAATCAGGTAGGTGAGTTGAGATTTTTTGGGCTTTTCAGCACATGTGGCCGGCAGAATCAAATTATTTTTGTTCTTTTTTTCGATCTTATCATTCGTTTATAAAAAAAAAAAAATTGAAAAGGAATGCGAATCTTGAAATTACTAATTTACCAAAAAAAAAATATATCGTTTTCTCTTAATTAAGAAGATAATTAGGAATAAAAATGAAGTATGAAGTGGAAATTTGAAATTTTTCATAAAAACTTGTAAAATTATTTAATTTTGAAAATATTTATTGTAAATTTGTTTTTAGACATCAATCAAATTTATTTTAAACTTTTGTTATAATAAGAAATTAAATTACAATAATGAAAACAACGATTTGAATATTATTTAAATAATTTTCAAAAAATAGGTGAGACTTTTAAAAGGAGAATATTTTGAACCGGAACATTTTGTTTGGCGCGAAAACTTGATCAATTAGCCCGGATTTGCGGTGCAACGATGCATTATTTGCATAATAATGTTATACTAACTCAAGCTCCGTTCATCATCTGCTACTTTATGTATATTTTTCAACGGAATAACCTGTTTGGATAATGATATATGCACATGCATGTGCTCATTATCCATGCAAATAATAACAGAGGCCAGTGCAATTTTGGTTCTAAAAATTGAAAATATTCCAATTTAATTTAAAAAAAAAAAATTAATTATAATTATTCAGTTTTTACCATGATTATGATGAAATTTGATAACAAATTAACCATTTTCAATAATTTTTGGCTCTTATTGAAGAAAATAATTTAAATAAATTTAATCGATCCTGGGTCACATTTTATTTGAACTTCGGGGAAATGTGTGTCAATCAGAAGCTTTTATCCGATTTGTCAACACCATCATCTGTCCATGTCCGGTGTTTTGCCTCTTCTCCTCGTAAATATGTGCGCATGCATATCAGGAAAAAGGAATGCGTAAATATTTGAGAGATGAATGGGACACGCAATCGAGAGGGAGCAGTATAGGTTAGCTAACGGTGCGGCGAGAGAGCAGAGCATCAGCCGTGTTTTCCACACTCACGCGGTTCATCAGTCCTGCTGCTGCTGCGTGAATATGTAATTATCACGCCAAACAGATCAAGACAGCAATTTGGCACTTCACATTAATTGAATATTCACCGCTGGAGAACTTTTGATTGACCTCAAAATTTAAATTTAAATTAATACGCAAATGATAAAAAATTAAACAAAAAATCCCGGAGCTGAATTAAAAATTTATATTTTTATTTAATTTTATGCAGAAATATGAATGAAAAATTGATAATTTAATTCAAATATTTTGGTTGGAATCGAAAAACTTGTCTAATTTTTGTCGGCCTTGGTAAATTTTTGGTTCAGGGCTTTTTAGACACACCCTTTTTTAAAGTTGTCTCGGTTTCGCTCATCTGTAATGATAAAGACTGGCATGATCGGCTGCACGTAGACCCCGAATCAAGATCCTCCTCTTGAGGCAAATAATCGACCTGATTTAAAACGAGGTTTTTTCTTATGCAAATTTTTTAACTGAAAGTAAGAAGAAGTTTCTCAGAAATTCATTTAAAAAAATTGATGAGATTTGCAACGAAAAAGATTTTACTGTTTTTTCTTTAAATTTTGTTGTCAATCTTGAAATAAACCTTTTTAATGCACAAAAACTGCACCTATGATTTTCTGAGGAGGGAAATTCTTTAAAAATAATTTAAGCAAAATTTTTTAGTCTCCAATGATTTGTTTTATAGAGAACCAATTTGTTTTTAAATATTTTTCGAGCAGATTAAATAATTATGCGCTTCAAAATGAATAATAACCCTTAATGGGAAAAAATCACCTTGTTTTATTTTTTCTCTTATCTTTGGTCTTGAACTTGAAAGGGTTAATTGAGTTTGAAAGTAAACATAGATTTAACAATAAAATTAAGGTTTTTAATTATTCGTAAAGCAAGACAATTATTAGCCAAAATAATACGGAATTAATATTAGACTTTTAGTATATTGAAGAGTGTTGGGCTGGAATAAATTTACTAACGTTTAAACAAGGGTACGGTAATTAAAGCCAGTTCAATAAAGAATAAATATCAGTTGATCTGACATGCCTCCATGAGCATTCCAACTAATTCAGCTTCCATGTCGCTGGTTTGGTTTTCCTGATGTTGACTCATTTCCTGTAATTCTTCTTTCCAGTGCAATGGAAATGGAAATTTAGAAAAATAATTTCCTAAATCGAGCAAATCAGAAATTGCTGATGAATGTTTGCTTTTTCTCAACCTGACGCCATCCACCCAAACGGGGTTGATGATTTTGAAGCTCATGAGCGACCTGGTAAAATCAATTTTTTCACTCTCAGCAGGCCAGTGCTTAGCAAGCAATTTTTCCATCTTCGCCTCCAAACAGGTGATATCCTTGAGCTTCTCTAGGCCGCGATATCTTCCCTGCGACTTGTAAAATCCAAAGCTGTCAGGACCGTTCTATTGGAATTTTTTTACAATATATATTGCCAAAAAGTTCATTTCAAAAATAACACACACCTTGAACAAGATGTAAACAACTTTTCTGCAAGAGACGAGAAACGTGGCGCTCTGATATGTACCGTCACTGTTGGGGCTGAAGTGTTCTGATTCGATAAGCACTGTGCTGAATTTGTCTAAAAGGAAATTGTATAATTAGTTAGAAAAGGATTTAATTGAAATATTATATTTAAGATAATATTTTTTCCAATAAATTATACCGCATGAATTGTTAAAACAATAAAGATCCACTCCGGTCCTTTGTATTGTTCTTTATTGTGAAAGATTGCTAAATTTCGAGTATATCTTGTGAAAACACTAATAGAAAATTCCAAACCGTTGCATCTCAATGAAAAGAATACCTAAATACGAGTGATTCGCGCGAAAAAACGTGTTAGAATTTAGTAGCCAATCAGATCCATCAGTTTGTTAAAAAAAAACTACAGAATTTGGTCACATTGGCGCTGCGATCGCTGATTTTGCCACTAATGCCCCATGGCGCTGCAGAAAACTTGGCAAAATCAGCGATCGCAGCGCCAATTTGACCAAATTCTGTAGTTTTTGGAACAAACTGATGGATCTGATTGGCTACTCAATTCTCACGTTTTTCGCGCGAATCACTCGTATTTAGGTTTTCTTTTGATTGAGACGCAACGGTTTGGAATTTTCAATTAGTGTTTTCACAAGATATACTCGAAATTTAGCAATCTTTCAGAATAGAGAGAGCAATACAAAGGACCGGAGTGGATCTTAAAGCTTGTTATTTTCAAATTAAAAATTTTCCGCCCTCTCCAAGAATTGCCCATAGTGAACTCAAACAGGTATAATTATTAATAATAAAAAAGCAATTATAAACAAATTGATTAACAATTTGATTGATTTTCATACCTGAAAAGGGAGACGACAAACCGTGACACTTGATTTTCGAAGGAAGAGGTTGGTTCTCAAAAGATTTCGTAGGTTTATTAATAGTGATCTGAAATATAAAAAGTTGTAAAATTAATTCTGGGTTATTCTGGGTTCGTGGAACTTGCCGGTGTTCTTCTTTCAAACCGGGAAGGGCGGGGATAAAAGAACCAGATCGGGAGCTGCGTCAGAAAAATGTCCTCCAAATTCGGCAGTAATAATGTTTTTGTGGAGCCTGAAATGAAATTTCTCGTAATAAATCATTTTCTTTATATCGTGTTTTGGCACTAACCATCTTTGCAGTCAAAAGTTTGGAGGGGCTCATGGTCTCGATCAGAAATGAAAAAGTTTCTTCCTAAACGTTCTACCCTATATGGATCCCGCCTATGGCATAAGTGCATTGTTTCCATGCACTGATCCTGCTTCTTGCTTTTGAGCAATATTAATGTCCAATTTATCTAAAAAAAAATCTCATACTTACTTCCTCATATTTTCCCACATTTGCTGGTGGATATTTATAGGTCTGCGTCGAACTGCTCGATTTTTATCAATTTCATATACCTTTCCAAACAGATAGATCTTGAAATCTGCATGCATAGATTAATTAAAAAATTGAATTGTTACCTCAATGCAATTTACCGTATATATCGAATACGTGGCGGAAAAAATCCGGAGTGATAATGACATTGTTTGCAAACTCTTCCTTCTGCGCGTCGTAGAAAAACGCAGCATTGAAGGATTGCTCCTTGATTGTGAATTTGGTTTTAATCATGAGCCAAAGCGGCTGCGGTTTTCGCTTCACTTTCGACTGAAGAACATTTGAGGCAGCCGCCATGATTTCAGGTGGATATTTCTTTTGTAATTTGGTTGGTACAACGCTCTCCATGTCGCTTTGATAACTCCAAACACCCTTGTAATGGATCTTGTTCTTCTTACCTTTTGGTAGAAGCCACTCTATGCTGTAATGATTATTAATTTTAATTTAATTGTTCGCACATTTAATAGGAAAAAATTTTGAAAAATTAAGATAAAAAGGTTTTTTAAGGTTTCTGTAAAATAATTATTGTATAGTAATAATGTCGTATAGAATTTTAAAATTCAATTGCATATTAAATTAATTTCAAAAATTCTAATGCTAATTATCATTTTTTTAATTAAAGATCCACTCCGGTCATTTTTATTGCTCTTTATTCTGATAGATTGCTAAATTTCGAGTACATCTTGTGAAAACACTATTTGAAAATTCCAAACTGTTGCGTCTCAATCAAAAGAAAACCTAATTACGAGTGATTCGCGCGAAAAACGTGAGAATTGAGTTGCCAATCAGATCCATCAGTTTTGTTCAAAAACTGCAGGATTTGGTCACATTGGCGCTGCGATCGCTGATTTTGCCAAGTTATCTGCAGCGCCGTGAGGCATTAGAGGCAAAATCAGCGATCGCAGCGCCAATGTGACCAAATTCTGTAGTTTTTGAAACAAACTGATGGATCTGATTGGCTACTCAATTCTCACACGTTTTTCGCGTGAATCACTCATATTTAGGATTTCTTTTGATTGAGACGCAACGGTTTGGAATTTTCACGTAGTGTTTTCTCTAGATATACACTCGAAATTTAGCAATCTTTCAGAATAGAGATAGCAATACACTTGACCGGAGAGGATCTTTAATTATTTATTATTTCACAAACAAACTTAAAATTTTTTACTAACCTATACATGGCGCAAACCAGATCGATTAGCTTTTCGCTTTTTTGCACAATCCTGGACTTTTCAGCAAGAAAAAAGAGCTGGTTTTTAGTGACTTTTTTCCAATTGACAAGTGACAGAGCCTCCTCAAAATTCTCTTCCCTGCCAGCAAGATCAAAGTTCAGCCACCCGAAGACGGCTCGCAAAATCTGTGACAAATTAATGAAAGTTGATTCGAAAAATATTTTAAATATTTTCCCACCTGAGTCTCACTCTTGTAATCTAGATATTCATGGCAGATCACAATCTTTACCTCGTTGATTGACATTTGCTTAAAACAAAGCGTCTTGCGGAATTCGCTGAAGACACCTACGGCCTTTTGCAAACTATTCTTGGCCAAAAGGTCGTTGCCAAATTCAGCAGCAATCTTTAGGTACTCGCCAACTTCCTCCACCTTCATGGTGACCATTGCAATTTCCGGAAGATCGTCCACTTTGACCTATGCGTTTGAAGTGATGAAAAGTGTTTTTTATATTTTGATCATTTTAATTTTTACCACAATTTTTGACATGGTTTGGAAAAACTTGGGTGACATGATCCTGAAAACCGTCATGAAAAGCTCCTCTCCATCACTTTTGCCTCGTTTCAACTCTTCCAAAATTAATTCAAAACAGACAAATTCTGACGGCTCAATGAAATCCTGCCAAGAAAAATTGGGAAAATTAATGATTTCTAGTTAAATTTTTGCCAAACCGTGAGTTCAATCGAGTCCATCTCGCTCTCTTCAAAGTTGCCTTGAAGCATCGCTTCAAAAAAGTGACTGATTTCGCAGAGGAAGTTGACATCTTCAATCAACACTTTATCGCCAATCACCAGCTGCACCTTTTTCCGCATGTCTAAAAAAAAAGATTTTTTATTTTACCAATTTCCATTGCTATTGATTTATTTGAAGCAAATATTAATATTCAAGTGGAAATTCTGAATTAAAGGTTAATCATAATCATTATTTAATAAAAAAAGTTAGTTGAAACGCAATCATAATGCCTCACAAGTTACAAGCATAATTTGAGTAGGTATCACTTTTGTTAGGCCACTATTTTGATGCGAATCCTATCCCGCCCCTTTGAAATCAATAAGTTTGTTATAGTAATTTTGCTCGCCACATCGTACAGAGGATTATCGTACACACTTACAAATTATTTATAATGGGATTGAATCTAATTAGGTCAGTGGCAAAATAGCCCTAATTTGTTGTCATACGTGAGTACTTTTTTTTACAGATTTTCTTTAATAATTTAATAAATTGCCAGAAACAAAAATATTACCTCAAATATTGTAACCGATTCGAAATAACGCAAGCAGTACATTGGAATTATTGTCTCTCACTAATAAAAGCTCTGTAATAATTTGGAATGTGATCGTCGCCGAGCTAATTCGCGAGCAACTATGTCGACATCGATAAAATTTAACGCCAGAAATGACTGGAAATTTCAGATTTATTGGAAAAAGAATCCAGATTTCAACAAGGAAAGAAATGATGTTCGGATTTTTTCATATCATTTCTTCTTCTATACCAACTAAAATTTCTCAATATTAAAAAAAATTATCTTACATTATTTTGAGACTTAATTTAATAACCAAAATTGATTAAAAACATTTTCTTTAAATTAATAAAAATATGTTTCCATTTTTGTTAACTTATTTAATTATTCGTCATCCATTTCTGACGGAAATTTACGTATAGAAAATGAAATCAAAAATCATTTAAATTTATTAAATATATTTTTAATAAGGAGGCATAGTAGAGAAACTGAAACTATAGCTCAACTGTACTGTATCTTTTAAACTTTTTTTGAGGAAAAACAATAATTTACTAAAAACAATTTTGAGAAATTATAGAAAATTTGCAGTTTTGGTTAATTTAGCGAATATAAAAATATAATGATCTCCACACTCATTTTATGCTTTCGTTTGTGAAAAAATTAACATACTTGCTGCACTCCAAGTACTCCAACTGTCCGTCTGCTGATTGTCAAAACACAATCAGCGCCTTTGCCCTTGGCCCCTGATTTGCAAATGAATATATGCACAGCTCTCTCTCTCTCTGCTTTTATAGCAGCCCTCTTTGCACTTTTATGGTTTCTTTGGATAATGTGCAAATGAAACTTGTTGAAGGGCGAATGTTTTGGCAAATCCGATTAATAGATTATCGCGTATAGCAAAATGCTTTAATTGTTACTGTAAAAAAGTCCGTGATATAGATGGAAAGAAATTATTTAAACAAATAAATTAATTTTCCTCAGAAATAAAGAGATTTCACTAAGTCAATAAAGAATAATAATAATAATAATAATAATGACACCCATTACAGGAATCACATATATTTTCCTTTAAATTAATAGGGGAGATTCAATAGACTTAGCTCTCCCGGGTGTCGGGGTAAACTCGGCACTTCTTCCAGCGGCTCATATGAGGTGCTCATTTGAGGTGCTCATAATATGAGATGCTTATTTGAGGTGCTCATTTGAGGTGCTCATATGAGCAGCTCAACTGCGAAATTGCGAAATATTGTCACCGATTTGATATGATGCAATAATAGTTCAATAAAAGTATTATTTTAATATAATCTCAAATAAACTGAAATGTGGTTAGACCTATTTGGCTCCAGCCAACTTTCAGTCCGCTGAGCCATGCGCACTCCTTGTCAAAACACAATTGGAACCCCTTGGTTTGCAAATGACTCTCTGCTTTTATAGTAGCCCTCTTTGCACATGTATGGTTTCGTTGGTTAATGTGCAAATGAAATTTCTAGAAGGGCGAAATTTTTGGCAAATTTGCTCAATACTTCATCTTTTATAGCAAAATGCTTTAATTGTTATTCAATGAAATAAATAGGTAGAAATCATAAACACAAATAGATTAATTTTCGTTTGAAATAAAGATTTCACCAATGACAACCATCACTGGTAATATGTACATTATGATAATCACATCAATATTTTTGTTTGAATTAATTTAATAGAAATAATGGGATGAATTTGAATAAAAGAAGATTTAAATATTTCATTTAAAGACTTTCTGTACGGCTCTTTATGCTTTATTTTGATTAAAATAAAAATAATAAACCTATAAAATTATGAAAAATTGATCAAATTGACTACATCATCTTTTTGAAGCAAAACAAAATGATAATATGAACGTGTATTATTTTCATTAGGCATTGATGAATATAAAATTTGAAGTAAGATTTTATTGTATTTTAAGTTTCCAAACTCTTTATTTGGTACAGCGTTGCATTAGCATTCATTCTTAAATTTAATTTTTCCGTTAAACTTTTAATCTCCACTGCATAGGTGGAACCTTAATTGCAAAGCTTTAGTCGGTTTCCATCGGGACTGCAGGGGTGGTCATGCTACTCCTGTACTTGAAACCCTCCACCCAGAGGGGGTTGACGGTTTTGAACTTGATAAAGTAGGAAAGTTCGATCTCTTCTTTGTTCAACCTTAAGTGTTTCGACAGCAGTCCTTTCATTTGGACGGCCATGTTGGGCAGATCCTTGATCTTCTGCAGGCCAACCTCCCTGCCCAGGAACTTGTAAAGTCCCAAGCTAAACTCAGCGCCCTCCTAAAAATCAAAACAATTATTAAATGAACGTACAACAGCTTTATGAAATAAAATAGGAGTGATGTCTAAATTCATTAAGTGAATTTATTGCTTAGAAATATTTTATAAAATGTCAGAATTCACCTTCCATTGAAGAAGTTTAGAGAGAATAGAGAGTGATTTTAATATGCTTTTTTTTATTTTACGTCTCTGTTTTTGTAAACAAAATCTGATAAATTTTTACTAATTTTTGTAGAAAGAGAATCTCACATGGAGCAGGAAGTAGAGATCGTTTCCGTGGGAGAACTGGTGGACAATCATTTTCCCACTTTGGATCAGTTCCTCCTCAACATGAAAATTTTCATTGGAGATACGTTTGAGATCGTTGAAGGTTGTGCTCATTTTCTCTGCAAATTAAAAAGAATTATAATTATACTTTTTCGTTCTTGAAAACCACTTTTTTGATTCGTAATGAAATGGATGAGTGAAATGGATAAACTATTTTAAATTAGAACCTGAAATGTAAAATGTCCCATCAATTGGAGTGAGGAACCTGTGGCCCGAGATGAAGGAACGGAGGTGCGGTGGAGGTATAGGAGGAGGAATCAGTGGTGGTGATTCTTGTTCATATTCTGGAATCACAAACGGGAAGACCGGGAAGCCCATGCAGTCGTATGTAATTTGGCTTTGCAACTTGACTTTCGCCAGATAGCTTTGGTATTCACTCTTTATGGTGGTTTTTGTGAAGTTCCGCAAATCAAATTCAAAGAGCTGCAAATAAACAAATGAATTACTTTTGATACTTGAGCGTACCATGTACAGTAATTTAAAGATCGTCCTCTCCGGTCAAGTGTATTGCTCTCTATTCTTAAAGATTGCTAAATTTTGAGTATATCTTGTGAAAACACTATTTGAAATTTCCAAACCGTTGCGTCTCAATCAAAAGAAAACCTAAGTACGAGTGATTCGCGCGAAAAACGTGTGAAAATTGAGTAGCCAATCAGATCCATCAGTTTGTTCCAAAAACTACAGAATTTGTCACATTGGCGCTGCGATCGCTGATTTTGCCACTAATTCCCCATGGCGCTGCAGAAAACTTGGCAAAATCAGCGATCGCAGCGCCAATGTGACAAATTCTGTAGTTTTTGGAACAAACTGATGGATCTGATTGGCTACTCAATTTTCACACGTTTTTCGCGCGAATCACTCGTATTTAGGTTTTCTTTTGATTGAGAAGCAACGGTTTGGAATTTTCAATTAGTGTTTTCACAATATATACTCGAAATCTAGCAATCTTTCAGAATAGAGAGCAATACAAATGACCGGAGTGGATCTTTAAATAATTTCATTAAGGACCAAATAGTAATGAAAGCGTGATACAAACCTCCAAGTCTGTTTCCATTTTGTATAAGGCGCTGTAGATGAATGGGAAATTAACCCAAGAAGTGTAGCCGCCATCAGACTTCCATAAAGTTTGCACAGAATCTATATAAAACCAACAATTAATTTTATAAATGTAATAAAAAAATAGAACGAAAAGAACTTTTATGATATTAGAAAATTAACTTGCATTTCACCGCCCTCGAATGATAATCACAAAACAATTCATTTTTAATTTCTATTAAACATGTTCCTTTAATAAACATAACTTTTTAAATATATATCGAGAATTAAATAATTTAATACCGTTCTTGATGTTGTACCGGTCACACCCAATGTTGAAGATGTAGAAATTTCCTCCCGAGCGCTGGGCATCAATAGGGTGTTCTTGAAATTTTTTGTCAGTTTCAAATGGCCCACGTTCACCAGCTGCCTTTTCGTCCAAGTCCACTTCACAAGTGCTGGTAAATCTGATTTTTTTCTCTTTGCTGCTCAAAATTCTCAATAAAATTATTATATTTACCCGGTCTTTGTGGACCAATTTGCAGGAATGCAAATAGGTCTGGTCCTGATGAGTCCCTTGTCTTCGATCCTGTTTAATCTCCCGAACAAATATACCTTGAAACCTGTAAGCGAAATCATTCCAAATTTAAAAAAAAAAAATTATCTAAACCTTTATCTGAATCAGGCTTTTTTTATGAAATATTTCAAATTATTCAATATGGTGAAGAAAGTTGAAAATTGCAAAACCTGCTGGACAAGGAATGTTTTAATTTAAAATTTTGAAGTGATTGAAAAGTTAAAAAAAAAATCACCAATCCAAAGTAAGCTCTTCTTCAATTATCAATTAGAATAAATATTTTCCCAAATAGACTTTTTTCTAAATAAATTTATCTCCACTTTCCACCTGCATGATGCAGAATAATTTTGTTACATAATTACAAAATTGTACTTACCATGCACATCAAAATCATGTTCGCAATCCATGCTCTCCTCCTTTTGCTCGCAAACAAGGTTGTCCATGAACAGACTGTTTTCCAAGTCAAAGAAAAACATTGCGGCGTACTGGTTTTTGTTATAGGTGAACTCATTTTGGACAGTCAAGAAAATTGGCTGCCTCTCTTGTTGTCCGCAGATCACATTGGGCAAGTGTGCAGTGTTTCTACGCTCCATAGCTTCGTATGTGGCTTTGCTAAAAAGATTTTAATTGAAAATATTTTATAAATATAATTTTATACTTTGCCTTATTTATTGATTAATTCATTTTAAAATTTGGTGTTTTTAGTTAAGGGCGCAACATAATATAGTTATATTTTATCTACTGAAATTGATATGAGTTTTATGAGGCTGATTTACTGATATTTTTTATTATTGGGTTGCATTTAAATTATAAATTAATTTTTGAAAATCCCTATGTAAAAACAATGTTGATTATTAAAAAATTTCCCATCAAGATTTATCAAAATTGATTGAATATATAGACTTAAAAATTAAATTATTGAATTTAAAAATATGATATCTAAAATCACGTCAGATGAAAATTAGCTAATGCAATAATAAATAAATTGCTTAAAATCTTTACTAACCAGACGTTATCGCTGACCAGTTTTTCCAGTTTTTTACTCTCTCTGACAACATTTGACGTATGCATCAAAAAGTGGAACTGATCTCGATTATCCTTTATCTTGGTCCAGTTGATGAGTGAAAGGACCGTCTTAAAATGCTCCTCCCGTCCACCAATGTCATGGTCAAACCATCTGAACACTCCTCTCAAAACCTGAAAATATTTTAACATTTTTTTTTATTAATTTAATTCAAGATTAACTCGTACCTCGATCTCCGATTCGCAGTCCAAGTACTTGCTGTTCAGCACCATCTTGAGCTTCTCGATGGACAACATCGCAAAGCCAAGCGTATCGATGAATTCGGAAAAAAATCCACATGCCTTCTTTAGGCAGTGCTTTTCCAAAACTTCATTCCCGGTGTCAGCCGCGATTTTCCGATACTCCTCTAATTGCGCCATGGACATGGTGACCATGGCGATTTCCTCCAAGTCCACCTTGATCTATTTCAAAAAATTAAATAATGAAAATATATTTTTTTTTATCAATTACCATTAGCATTTTGAGTGTCTGGAAAATTTCTGGTGTCATTATTCTGTAGACGATCACGTACAACTCCAGCTTTTCCTCCCTGCCTTTTTTCACCTCTTTCAAAAAGAATGTGGTGAAATTGTCACAAGAACTCTGTAAAGCTCATTGAATTCAATTTAATCCTGACATTTTGTAAAAAATAAATCATTAATTTGTGCCAAACCGTGAGATCAATTGAGTCCATTTGGCTCTCTTGGAAGTTATCTTGAAACATCGCCTGAAAATAGTGACTGATTTCGCAGAGGAAGTCGACGTCTTCAGTCAAAGTTTCGTCGCCAATCACAAGATTCACCTTTTTCCCCATGTCTATATATACAAAAGTTAAATTTCCATGAGAATTTTAATTTATAATAATTGTAATATTTGTTTGAATAATATTTTGGTGTTTGAAAATTCTAGATTAAAAGTTATATTAATTAAAAATTGTTGTTTCCTCTGGTCTGCAGAATGAAAACACATTCTTAATGCCTTTTAAGTTATAAATTAATTAATTAGTGTAGAGATACTTTTATTATGGCTTCTATTTTGATACCAAGCTAATTTCCCCTCTTTGAAATCGATAAACTACTAATTCTGCTTGGCACTAATTTGATAATGTCCTGTACATTTGGGTCAGTTACTAAATAGCCCTGAATTTAAATAATCCCGTATCATGGTTAATTTTCCAAATAAGTTATAAGTTCCAAAGTAATAAAAAGTACATTCTAAATCACTGATTTTAAGTAAAACATAAAATATCTGAATATAGTATTAATAAAATTTTTGCTTTAATATTGAAAAGGGTAAATGAAACATTGCTTGCTGATCATGCAGGTAGCAAAATTTAAAATTAGATTTGACGATTCACAATATAAATTTAAAAGAATCTGCATTTAAACGTCAATAGAGAAAAATATGGTCCGAATTTTATTTTATTTGAATTTCTTTTCAAATTGCAGCATAAAAAAGCTACAATTATGTTCAAAATTTAAAAAAATCAATCTTATTTATTATTATTTTATTTTTATATTGAATAATAATCATTACATTTAACATAGAATTACGTCTGTAATGATCTACAATTAATAAAAAAATAATTTATAAATGAAAATATTAAAAATTGCGTCCAAAACCATCTAAAAGATAATTCCAATTAATGTAAAAGACTCTAATGAATAGAGAAATGGCTCTTTGCCCCACAATTTTTTTAAACAACAAAATATTAAAAAAGATTGCATCCAAAAAATTAAAGAAAACAGTTGATTTGACAAAAAATAATTATACGTATTCTCTACTTTCATTTGGCATCACAATTTAACTTCCATTATAAGTACACAAACATACCTAATTCTTGCTGCTTCAACTTGTCAGTCCGCTGAGCCACCCCTTGTCAAAACACAATCAGCGCCTTTGCCCTTGGCCTCTGATTTGCAAATGACTCTATGCACAGCTCTCTCTGCTTTTATAGCAGCCCTCTTTGCACTTTTATGGTTTCGTTCGTTGATGTGCAAATTAAGCTTCTAGAAGGGCGAAATTTTTGGCAAATCCGATCAATAGATTCTTTTATAGCAAAATGTTTTTATTGTTACTGCCAGAATGTTCGTGAAACAAAGGGTAGAAATAATAAACATAAATCAATTAATTTTCCTTTGAAATAAAAAGATTTCAATAAAGACACTCATCATGGGAATCAGATCAATATTTTTCTTAGAATTATATTAGAAATGGGTTATATTTCAAATAAGAACTTATCATTTCACTTTAACAATTTCAGTATTTTTATTAATGTTTTACTTGAATCACATCTAGTAAAATTATAAAATTATGAAAAATTAAAATAAACTTCCAAAAATTTTGAAGGAAAGCTGTCAATTTTCATTAGGCATTACAAAGTTTGAATTGAAATTGTATGTATTTTGAGTTCCCAAACTCTTTAATTGGTACGTCACATAAGCTTAAATTCTTAAATCTAATCTTGTGGTTAAACATTTAATCCCAGCTGCATGGGCGGAATCTCAATTGCACGCTTTAGTCGGTTTCCATCGGAACTGCAGTGGTGGTCATGCCACTCCTGTACTTGAAACCCTCCACCCAGAGGGGGTTGACGATTTTGAACTTGATCGAGTTGGAAAGGTTGATCTCGTCTTCGTTGAGCTGCAAGTGTTTGGCCAGCAGTCTTTTCATTTGGACGGCCATGTCGGGCAGATCCTTGATCTTCTGCAGGCCAACCCCTCTGCCCAGGAACTTGTAGAGTCCGAAGCAACGCTCACCAGTATCGTTGCCAGCCTTTTCCTAAATTACAAAAATTAAAAACAATTATTTCAATTAAAATTTTAAGGAATTAGTGAATTAAAAATAGAAGATGCGACTAAATTTAAAAAGTAGTTTTTCTTACTTAGAAATATTTTATGAAATGTCGGAATTGATCTCGAGTAAAGTAAATTGTGTTAAATCACAAATGATTAAGCTATATTATTAATTTAAAACTATTCATTTGTAAAAGCTGGAAATATTTCAAATTAATTTATTTTGTAAATCTCACATTGAGCAGGAAGTAGAGATCGTTTCCGTAGGTGAACTGGTGGACAATTGGCTTCCCACTTCGGATCAGTTCCTCCTCGAGATGAAAACTTTCACGGGAGACACGTTCGGGATCATTGAAGGAGTCGCCCATTTTCTCTGCAAATCAAAATAATAATGTTAAATTATGATTATTAAATTTTAATGAAAACTTGTAACTAACCCGAAATGTAAAATTTTTCTTCGATGGGCGTGAGGAAGCTGAGGCCTGAGGAGAGGAGCACAGGGGGACTGGGTGCAGGATTATTCCTCCTCAACAGGAGCCCAAACGGGCCGCTACGCTGAGGTGGTCCTTCCTCCTCCTCAACAAAGTCACTCTCCATGGTGGTCCTTGTGAAGCTGCGCAAGTCAAACTCGTGGAGCTGCAAATAATAATAATTTAATTTTCGGAAAATAAATTCATAATTCGAACCAACCTTCAAGATTTTCCCCTCCCTGAAGGCGCTGTAGATGAATGGAAACTTGACACAAGAAGTGTAGCCATCATCAGTCTCCCACAAAGTTTCCACCGCATCTAAAAGAAAACCAATAATATAAAAATAAGGAAAATTTTATTTGAATTAATTAAATGTTTTAATAACAAAATCACTTTTTATTATAGTATTTTTGTTCAAGGCAATTTTTTCTTTTAATTAATTTGTCAATTAAATAATGTTTTCGAACCGTTCTTGATGTTGTACCGGTCACAACCGACGTGGAAGATGTAGAAATTTCCTCCCGAGCGCTGAGCATCAATAGAGTTGTCCGGGATGAACGGAACATTTTCCTCATCAGACGCAGTCCTTTCCTCCTCCTTCCTCATGTAGAATTTCACCTGGCGCAGCTCAGTGCGAACCCTCGCTGCACGATCGCCCGATGGCTCTTCGTCCAGGTCCACTTCGCGAGTGCTGGCCAATCTGACCTCATATCTAATTTTTTTCACTCTTTATTACGAAAAAATTATCTTTAAATTTCTCATATTTACCCAGCCTTTTGAGTCCAATCAACAGGGATGCTGATAGGTCTGGTCCTGATGAGTCCCTTTTCTTCGCCCCTGCTCAATCTCCCGAACAAATAGACCTTGAAGTCTGTAAACAGAAACATACGACAATTAAGTATTGGAAAATATGAAGCTTTAATGATTTTTTTCCCACAATTTAAAAAAAAAGTAATAAAATGGTAAAGTGATTCGCAAGGTTGTTGGAATTGGAAACTCTGCAAGTTGAATTTAAATTTAGATTAAACAATTTTATCAAGGGCTCTAAAGTTTAAGAAGAAATCACTTTGATCGTGCCTTTTTTATTGATAATTAGATTCAAATTTAAAGTAATGTAATGAGAGATTAAATTATTTCCCCCAAGTGAATAAAATTTTAATTTTTAAATTTATTCCATCCTGAAATGATTATTTTTTGGAAATTGAATTAAATTTTTATTCTTACCATGAACGTCGAAGTCATGTTCATAACTCATGCTCTCCTTGTGCTCGCAAACGAGGTTGTCCATGAACAAATTGCTGTCCAAGTCGAAAAAGAACATCGAGGCGTATCGGTTCTTGGTGTAGGTGAACTCATTTTGGATGGTCAAGCAAACGGGCTGCAACGATCGTTGTCTGCAGTTCAGAAGAATCTCCGACGCGGCCCTTTGCACCTCCTCCGAAAGTGTGAGGCCGCTGGGCTCGATTCTCGATTTGCTAAAATAAAGATTAAATACATAAAAACTGAGAATTTAATGTTCATAAGTTATAAATATTAATTAATTAACAAATGGTGCCGTTTTATCCAACAATTCATACTTTCCCATACCTTCAATATAAATTTTCAGGCAAAATTTAAAATTATTTTTCAAAAATTACACTTTATGAGATCTTTCTAAATTATTTTAAAATTCACTTTTAAATTATTTTGCAAGATAAACCAACAAAATCACCACTCTAACTAAAATGAAAATTTTATTTAACTTACTGGTAGATGAAGTTGACCAGGTCTTTCAGTTTTTTGCTCCTTCTGACAACGTTCGACGTCTCCGCCAGAAACTGGAACTGATTCAAGTTTATCTTGGGCCAGTTGATGAGCGAAAGGGCCGTCTCGAAATGCTCCTCCCGTCCAATAATGTCGTAGTTGAGCCATCTGAACACTCCTCTCAAAACCTGCAAATATTTATTTTAATAACCCATTTTTCACTTTTAATTCAAGTTCAGGACCAACCTCAGTCTCCGACTCGCAGTCCAAGTACTTGCTGTTCAGTATCATCTTGAGCTTCTCGATGGACAACATCTCAAAGCCAGGCGTTTCGCTGAATTCCGAGAAAACTCCACACGCCTTCCGCAGGCAGTTCTCTTCCAAAACTTGGTTTCCGGTTTCAGCGGCGATCTTCCGATACTCCTCCAATTGTGCCATGGACATGGTGACCATGGCGATTTCCTCCAAGTCCACCTTGACCTGTTTCCAAAATTCGATATTAACTCTTTGTGAAATTAATTTTTGTTTTTACCATCAGCAATCGGAGTGTTTGGAAAATTTTAGGTGACATAATTCTGTAGACGATCAGGTACAAATCGTGGTTATTGTTCCTGCCCTCTTTCACCTCCCTCAAAAAGATCTTTACGAATTTTCCACTGAAATCCTGCACAAAATCATTGGTTTTAATTTTTATTCTGAAAAGGTGTAATTTCTGCTTAAAAACCTTTAACTCGATCGTGTCCATCGAGGACTCTTGGAAGGTGTCCCGAAACATGACATCAAAGTATTCGCTGATTTCTCTGAGGAACTCAACTTCCTCGATAATCTCCACACCGTCGCTGAACACCAGCTTCACTTTTCTGCCCTCGGCGCTGCTTCCAGGACCTTTAAAAAATGCAAAACCAAGCCAAGAGTTTAGAAAATTTATTATTTTATTGGCCAATCAAAAATATTGCACCCTTCTTATCTCATCCTACCAAAATGAGAGAAATATTCTCAATAAAAAAAATTAACATTTTTATTTTTATTAATATTGCTTAAAAATTAAATGGAAATAAATTAGCAGAAAAAGTATCGAAACTAGCAGAGATTTTTGAAAATGTCCGACACCAAAAGAGACAATCAGAGGTCCAGAGAATAGATGGAAAATATAAATTTTTAGCGGAGTCTGCGCCGACAACCCTGAGAGATTGCTTAAAGACGATAACTTTAACATTTTTGCGGAGTCGGAGACGCCAAGGACTAATAATTATTGCCTATACAGACAATTGTTAGAAAAAAAATTGTGGGGTCGGACACGCGAAGGACTAAAAACTGTCCATAGACGGTAAATTATAGAATATTTTTCGGATTCTGCGGCGACGACAGTTAAAATATAGACGGACAAATGAGGGTTAGTTTTTGAATTTGAATAAAATTACTATTTATTTTTTGTCTTCCTCATCATGTCTTTACTTTCATTTAATTTTAATTTATGCTGTCATGCACTGGTGAAAAATTAAAAATAAAGTCGAAATCGCACACTGTATTATGCAGAGTCTTTATATGCAGCTTTTTCCAAAAAATTCCCAAAGATGATAGTTAATTAAATTACATTCTTTATTTGCATTTTCTTTTTTACAGATTTAAAATCGCACACTCTCTTGCAAACTGCAGGTAGAAAGGAAACAAACAATTTATATGAATTTGTTTGAAGAAGTTGACACTCGAGGAGATGATCATGGAATTGAAGAGATCGGGCTTTTTTTCTAACTGCAACGAGGAAAAAAGTCCGATCTCTTCATTTCCAATTTATTTGAATTCTGCAAATAATTCGCGTACAAGAATTCTTTGTTTGGGCTGATTTTTTATCAAGTGCAAATCAGGTTAAATTAAAAACTCTTATAATAAACAGTGAAGAAATTGATACTTGAGGAGACGATCAAGGAAGTGAAGAAAACGGGCTTTGTCCTCATTAAAAATTTATTTAAATACAAAAACAGCTATGCCAGTTTGGGTCTCGGTCTGCGATCCTATTTCATGAGCAAGAAAAATATAAAAAAAAAATCAGCAAAATTTAAAAGCCATATTTAAAAAAAAAAAGAAAAATCAGAATCTTAAAATTAACAAAGCAATTTTGCTGTTTTTTATTTAATCTATCACGTGAAATATGGTCGAAGGCCGTGACCGAAACTGGCGAAGTTTTTTTTTTTAGTATAAAAACAATTAAGCATCAAAGAAAAGCCTGATATTTTCACTTTCGTCATTAAACAGGTCAAATTGATTATTAAATTGGGAAAAGTAGCTCTACAATTTTGACGAACACAAATCAAGACCAAATATAGGGCAGAGTATCAAAAACGAGAAATAAGAAATTTAATTTTATCATCCCCTAGCTTATCATTCTCGTGAAAAATGAACTTCATGCATCATCAATCAATAAATTAATCCTGCGAGGGGACGAAGAGAGGGAAAATTCAGACTGCAGCTGGAAAAAGATCTTATCTCAAGTATGCATGTTTTTGTTCGGACAAAAGAACAAGGAGAAGCACAGATTTTGGAACTTTATAACAACCCTGACGCGAACAAATGATCACTCTGGGAAAAGTCCTGGCGTCGTTTCCCACAAGCCACAAAAGGAAAAACAAGAATATAAGATCAGCAGAGTTGCCAAAACGAACGGCCACTCCAAAAAAACGATTGTTAGAAAAGAATTTTGAATTCTAAAGCCGTTTGAAGGTTAAAATTTGTAAATAATTTCAATTTTGAAACTCTGCATGTTTCAAAATGAATATAACGGAAGCGATTTGAAATTAAAATGATAATCGAGAGAGAGAAAGAAATAAACAAAAAATTTAAAAGATTTTTAAAAAGAATTAAAATTGGCAAGGAGGAAAATTAATCGCCGCGCCAGCATCAAATAAATTAAATATGATGTTGAAATTTAATAAAAACGGAGAATTTTTTAAAGTTTTCGTAAAAAAATCTTACAATTAATTTTCCTAATTATTTGGTCTTAGAAAACAGCTCCATTTTTATCAATAAAATTTTCGAAAAATATTAAGGCTTAATAAATTTGATTCAGATCGTCTGAATTCAATTTTTTCACAAAATCGAAAACTGCAGTGAAAAATCATGTTTAAAAATGAGAGGGTCGATTTTACAAGCATTCCTTGGGGCGCAGGAAATAACACGCCGCGCATTGGGGAGGATAAAATGTGGCCTTGGCCGCCAAATTGGAAAGTTCTTTTCATTCAGAGGAGAGGAATGTTTGCTTAAGTAAACAGAAACGTGCAGTCGCCAGTGGGGTAAAAACGGCCCATAAGAATAAGAAATGCACTGGAATTAAAAAAAGGATTTGTGCTTGAGTGACTCGCAGATCATTAAAAACGCGTTTCCTGCTATTCAAAATTCTGCCTCCTTTGGGTCGCTGACCTATGCGTGTTTCTGAGATGCGCACAAAAAAAACGTGCACACCTAGCAGGCCCCTGTTGCACGACTTTATTGGCTCAAGCGTCAAATTTTATGGCAGAAAAAAATTACCTTGAAATAAGAAAGCTGAAAAATACCACCCACAACTAATAAAACTGATATTTTTGAACATTTACAATCTTCAAATTTTTAAAAAGTAAAAAAATTCAAATTAAAGAGCAAACTAAGAGGCGCTTTTTATTGGCTTTTTTTTTAATTCATCAGATTTATATGAATTAAAATTGGTGACGCAAAACTGACAATTTATTTAATCAGAAGAAGCACTTTTTGGGAAGTACAAATCAGCATTCGTAAAACTGCTCTATACCAGTTTCAGCGACAGTCGATAATCTAATTTAATTAACAAGAAAAACACAACAATTAAAAAACGGCAAAATTTATAAAAAAAAAATCGTTTTATAAATTTTAAGGAAAAAATCCGGTAATGTTATAGTACGCGCGACGTGTTTCCCAAAATCCCTGATTTCAGTTGGCATCACTTGCATTACGTCGCGCGTTTAATAGTGGTTTTACGTCGCGCATACAATAATGGTTTTACGTCGCGCGCTCAATACTGGTGGCGGTGAAATTGTAAAGGAAACCGATTATTCGCGCGACGCAATTCTTTTCCTACAATCTTAATTAAGGGGACTGCTAGGAAGAATAGGGGCCCTTGGGATGGGTTCAGAATGGGGCAAGACGACCTCTGGAGGGCCGTGCGCACCCTTATAGCAGGCGCGACGTATCACTATGAGACGCGCGACGGTCGAAAAGCGAACTCCGGAGGGCGCTTTTCACCATCGTCAGAGGCGCGACGCATGGTTATAGGACGCGCGACGTATGCTTATAGTACGCGCGACGCATGCTTATAGTACGCGCGACGCATGCTTATAGTACGCGCGACGCACGACTAATTAATTATTATAAAAGGTGTTGCACGCGGCCGGAGTTGTGGGCACCCCACGAACCGGCAACTCGGAGTTGGGCAACCCCCAAGATTAATTTTTGCAGAAGCCGCGAGCGAGGGGTGGAGGCGCAGCGAGGTCGAGGACGTGGGGAAGGCCGTGCGGAGGGCGAGGACAAAAGGGCGGCTGTGTTCGTGGGGGGGCTCCGCAGGAGCCCCCCCACGATCCCCGCCCTTTTTTCCCGCCCGGAGCCGGCCTTCACCACGTTCTCGGGCGAGCGCGCCTCCAGCCCGAAGCTCGCAAACCCACAACGGAGTTGCCCACGAAGGGAGTTGTGGGCACCCACACCGTTTGCTTTCAAAACCCTTTTTGCAGCCAAATCCTTTTGTGGGCAACTCCGTTGTGGGTTTGCGAGCTTCGGGCTGGAGGCGCGCTCGCCCGAGAACGTGGTGAAGGCCGGCTCCGGGCGGGACAAAAGGGCGGGGTTCGTGAGGGGGCTCCTGCGGAGCCCACTCATGAACACAGCCGCCCTTTTGTCCTCGCCCCCCGCACGGCCTTCCCCACGTCCTCGACCTCGCTGCGCCTCCACCCCTCGCTCGCGGCTTCTGCAAAAATTAATCTTGGGGGTTGCCCACCTCCGAGTTGCCGGTTCGTGGGGTGCCCACAACTCCGGCCGCGTGCAACACCTTTCAATTAATTTGCCGTGCGTGTCGCGCCTCCTATAAGCATGCGTCGCGCGTACTATAAGCATGCGTCGCGCGTACTATAACCATGCGTCGCGCGTACTATAACCGTGCGTCGCGCGTACTATAGCCATGCGTCGCGCCTCTTACGATGGTGAAAAGCGCCCTCCGGAGTTCGCTTTTCGACCGTCGCGCGTCCCATAGTGATACGTCGCGCCTGCTATAAGGGTGCGCACGGCCCTCCAGAGGTCGTCTTGCCCCATTCTGAACCCATCCCAAGGGCCCCTATTCTTCCTAGCAGTCCCCTTAATTAAGATTGTAGGAAAAGAATTGCGTCGCGCGTGCTATAGAGGTTCCGTGGTAATCGGGAAATAAAATCGGTTTCCTTAAAAATTACACCGCCACCAGTATTGTACGCGCGACGTAAAACCATTATTGTATGCGCGACGTAAAACCACTATCGAACGCGCGACGTGATACTTTTACATGGGAGCATAAGTGCTGCCAACTTATGAAAAAACACGTCGCGCGTACTATAACATTACCAAAAATCCAATTATCATAAGCTAGTTTTTGTATTTTTTCGGCCCTAAATTGCAGCGCAAATTGTTACCAAAACTATGGAATAATAGGCTATTTTAAATTATAAAAAATTCCAATTCGGACAAAACCGTTTTTCTTCAATAGAGAATCTATCTTTAGTTTAATCGCCGTAAATTATAATTTGGTAATTTTGTTTAAATTGTGTCTAACTATTTCCTTTTTGAAAAGTAACTGTGCAGTTTGGAAAGTGCAGTAAAATGAAAATTTCGGGCATTTAATTACGAAAAAATCCAGCGGCTTTTTTCGGCAACCTAAACTTTGTTTTCGACCAAAAGTCCCATTTGAATTCATAAAAACTTACCTTCTGCCATGATTTGGTGTTGAGCGTCTCTCAGCAGTTGAAATCTTGCAAGGAAAATATTCTGAAGGAGCAGCTGAATGTGCGTCCAACTTCACCCACGCGCACCCACGGACAAACTAAAAGTGAAGAAGAAAAGAAGCCACTGCAGCCAGCAAAAAGGCAAAGGCAGCCCCAGGCAGGCAAGCAGCAGCGATTCCTTCTCCTGCGCCTTCTCCTTCCCAGGGGAGCCCCTTTTTGTCCCTAAATTTATTTCCCCTAATGGATTTTTTCTGTATTTCCCCTAAACTCCATTTCCCCTAAATTTCATTGCCCCTAAACCATAACAGAAGGCAGGATTCAGGGCTGTTTCCATTATGCAAAATTGTTGGTTGCCAACTCCATCATTTACAGATTATGTATTGTAAATGATTAAAATTAAAAACACAATTCAAATCTTACACGAAGTTATAAAGTCCACACTAAAAAAATTACAAAGTTTGGGGCTCACTAACTCTTATAAAACTGAAGCAAAAATATAATCTGTACAAATGCTCAATGGCTTTGTCACTATTGTACGTCTGGCTGACTTTTAAAGAAGTTTGCAAATTCAGCAAGTAAAAACGGAAAAAGGAAATTTTAGCAATATGGGAAAAGATCGATGAAGTGTACTCGGTATTTGGAATCACAATAAGACTTGAAGATGGTTATAAAAAGGCGACAAAATAAATGAAACTAAAAATCGATTTTGAAAATTTAAAAAAATTACATTTTTACATAAAATTTGACGATTTAATCCATCTTTTGGTAACAAATTAAATTGATTTTTAAAATATTTTGGTCAGAATCAGTCAGAATATTGAAACTTGTGTTTTAAGCGTACCTTTCTTATAGTGATATTCGAAGGAAGACTAAATTATATTTGGCTCCGTTTTCCGGTTTCAGGTAAAAGATGTATTTCCAATTTTTTCACTTTAGGGAAAATGAAAGAAAAAAAGTTTTGGGAAAATGGTTTTAGGGGTTTTGATTTTAGGGGAAATGAAGAAATTGGTTTTAGGGGAAAAAATTTAGGGACAAAAACGGCGACCTTCCCTTCCTGCTGCTTCCTGCGGAGCATGCAATAAACCAGGGGAGAGATTCTGTAATTAAAGTAATTAAAGGATACGAACGCAAGCAGGGAGCTTATGGGACGCTTATGTAGGGGGAATGTAATTTGTTTTTACATAGAAAACGTTGGCTGTGCTCAGCTGAACAGGCGAAGTGTGAAACGAAAATTGCAAAATGCTCTCAACAATGGAAAAATATTCCGATTTTGCCAAGCTGTTGCCAAGTTACAAGTTCCGGAAAAAATTTCCATTGCTTCATTTTTCCTAATTGTACTCTTTGACGATATATGTGAATTGGGAAAATTCACAAAGAAGAACTAAAAATAGTTGAACAAATAATTAAAAAATTTCATAATTCATTTCTAGGACAGGAATTAGACAAGAATTAGATTCTTAATTAAAATTATGCTACTTTGATAGATAGGTTTACTTTTCCGGAAAGCTGTGCTGGATTTTGCAGATTAATTTATTGGAAATTATATTCTGCTTTTGGAATCGCCCAAGCTGTTTTCTTTTGGATTAATCTTTATTAAAAATGGGCAGTTTTCTGGAAATCTTTCCCAATAACAAAAGATTAAGAATGGATTTGGTTGGGGTTGGGGAAGGTCAGATTTTGGTATTTTGTCGGTGTTAAGGATTTAATGCATAATTTTGTATTAATTAATTATGTTCAATGCTTACATCGTTTGCTCTTAAAAAAGGACCTCGCGCTTACAAATGCGCAGAGAAATCACGTTAATAGAAATTTAAAACTGGTCATTAATGGATATGCCAAAATTTAAAGATTTGAGAAAAGGCAGATTAGAGTAACTTTTTCGTATCATCAATATTCGGTCGAGAAATTTTGTCATCATAAATTTTTGTTCACTGCACAAAAAATTCTTCTTGCGCGTTATAACTTAAATTAAATATTTAAAACTTTTGAGAATAAATGATTCATGAAATACGCGAATTAAAGTTATTTAAAATAAATTTTTGGCATGTCATGAGTAGACAAAGCAATCAAAATTGTTTACTATTTATTATTTAAAAGACATGAAAAAAAAATGCTTTTTATAAATTTGAACTTTAAATGCCAAAACATTTACAACTTGAAGCCCAAACCACCATTTTTAATTTTAAAATTAATAGCAATTATTTAAATTTAAAATTGTAAATATTTATAATATAATTGAAAAGTGTTTTTGTATATTAAAATAGCAATAAAATAATTAATTGACAATTTAATTACAATTTTTATTGAGTTTGAGATTTAGCAGACCTGTCTGCTATCGCTGGTGCTATTCCCAAGAGGGATAAACAATAAGAAAACAACAAAAGAAAAAAACAAAGACAAAAACGGTGGCCAGCAGGTTGCTGACGGCCGGCTCACCTGCCTCCTCGGACCCTTGGAGGGCGCAGGGGCGCTTTGTGAGCTCGTCTCCGTCCTGCAACCGTTGCATGCCAGTGGAGTAGAATTTTGGGACTCTTGAATCGAAGTGATTGAAATACTAAACAAGTAACGATCCATGGAATCGCAGCCTTCACGGAGGTCTAAGTAGCTTAAAACGTCCTGCCCGTTATTGTCGGTAGCTTTGACATCCTCGCTATTATCCGCGAACCAAGATAATAAATCCAGGGTGGAAAACTTCGCAGTATAATGCCATGGAAGAGCACCAGCATTATCTCTTTGATTGATCAACCCGCCGTAGTTCTGGTGCAGAAACTTGGCAACGGAAACGTCATTGTTGTGCGTGGCCCAGTGCATAACACTCGCGCCGTCACTGTCTTTCGCCTCCACGTCTGCGCCCAAATCAATCAACTTTTCCAAAAATTTCAGCAAACATTTTTCGGCGGCAATGTGAAGAGCAGTTTTTCCACTTGCGTTGCTCCACCGCAAGTCAAAATTTCGCCCCAGCAGATACTCAATGTTTTCCTCACGATTTCCATCCAAAGCGTACATCAGTGCGTTATTTCCGAAGTCGTCCGTGGTGAATATTTCCTGCATGTTTTCTGTCAACAACTTCAACACCTCCAAACTATCAGAAAATTTGGCAGCTCGGTGCAGCACAGTTTCGCCACGAACGGAGCTTTTGTGGTTCAGATCCGTACCAGAATCCACGAGGAATTTGATGATTTCTGTATTCGGTGCGTGGTGATCACACGCTTTGAACAAGGCATTGTCACCTCGTGCGTCTTTGGCGTTCACGTCGACGCCGCTCGAAACGAACAACTTGCACAACTCCATGTCGCCCAGAAGCACTGCACTGTGAAGGGCGCTTTCGCGGCCAGACAAATCTTTGACGAGCTCTGCGTCTTTTCCAAGCAAATATTTAGCCACGGCCACGCTTTTGACAAAATGAATCACGTGCTTGTCCTCGAATCTCACTCTCACGTCAGCGCCCTTTTCAATCAGCATTTTTACCAAAATCAATTGATCATTTTCGACGGCGTATATCAGCGCACTCCGCCCTGACGCGTCCTTTGCTTCGAGGTTCAGGTTTTGCTCAACCATTGAACTCGAAGCAGTTTCGAGAACTTTGTAATTGAGAAGCACCTCAACACACTCAACGTAGCTTTGCTCAACAGCCACGTGCAGGGCGTTCTTACCACCAAAACCTTGGAAGTTGACGTTAAAGCCGTTGTCGAGCAGCAACTGCAGCATTTGGTGTTGGCCAAACAAGGCTGCGTCAAGAATGATTTCCTCCATTCCTGGTACCGGTTGAGAATTTTCAAATAACTCTAGGCATTTTTCTTTCAACTTGGCGAAAAGACGCAAGGAATTATTTGCAGCCACCAATCTCCACCAACGGTGCAAATACTGAGAGACGTTTTGAATAAATTTCAACGCGCCCATTTCCAAGAGCTCCAAAGCCACGTCTTCGCAGCCGTGGAAAAATGCCGATCCCAAGATTTGCAAAGTGTCCGGCACAAATAATTTGGCATCGTTCTCTTCGAGCGAGAGTACGGTCTTGACGATTGAAAAAATATTTACAAGATTATCTCGCACGATATTGTTTAAAAATTCGTTCTTCTTATCCGCTCTTTTGGATTCGCTAGAGATTTCATTTCTAAAAAATGATGCGGTTTTTTCAATATTTATTCCATTTTCTCCACTGTGGTTCTTTTGAGCAAGAAAACGGTCAACAAATTTCCTGCTCTGCCAAAATCTATTCGTCCCGCAGAATATTGAGCACGTGTTTTTATCGTCGCATTCCACAAACATCTTGGCCACGAGAAACTCGGCAAATGTCTGGTGTGTGAACTTCATATTTTCACCACTGATAGTCACGATTCCAGTGCTATTAATTAGATTGAAGTCAATGTCAACACCAACATCGCTTACCAAAACGTCAACATCCTGATTTAGTGTTATGATTGCGGAACGGGATTTTGACATTATTCGCTGAAGAATGATATCATTGCGAGGATTCTGGTCATCCTCTTGGGGTAGTTTTAGATATTTTAGTGCAAGTTTTTGCATCAATTTGATAATGTTTTGCGACATCTCACCAATTTTAGCGTCAACGATCGATTTTTTATGTTTCAATGCAGTTTCAATTTTAATCCTCACGATTTCATCGTAAATTTGGTACAGGTTTTCCACATCTTGGCACTGTGCGATCAAGCTCAAGTGAAGAGGGTTTGCCAAAATATCACTGATATCTGCAGCCTCAAACTTCTTCAACTTCATCTCCAATTCGCACTCGTTCAGTTCCAATTTCAGCAACTCAATCTGCTGCTGGCGATTGAACGGCAAAATTTCATAAGCAAAGCAGTTTTTCTGGCCAAGTTTATCCACAATCGCTTTCTTCTCCTGTGGCCGCGTCGAAATAAAGATTTGGATTTCTTCGTCGAACATTCGCTTTGCCAGGTCGAGCATCTTCTCGCCATGATCAGGGCAAATTTCGTCAAATCCGTCTAAGAAAAGAATCAAAATTTTTTTATTGACAAGAGCTTGGACGTGAGCTTGAGGGAATTTCATCGCCTCTGCTAGGATTTCGGCGATCGGCGTTTCCGAATTCCACTTTGAAAAGTTTTTGTACACCAAGTCGCGAAGGTTGACTTCAACGATTGTCTTGTTCAGTTTTCTGAGGCCGTGCGCGATTTCCTTCATCACGGTTGTTTTGCCCGATCCCGCAGGCGACGACAAAAGACGAAAGAAATTTCGGTCGATACCTTTGGCCCAGTCGTTGAGCAATTCGTCATAATCAACGGTTTTTCTTTCAACTTCAGCACTGAATGTGGGTTTTACAAAATTTCTGGGCAAGTCTGGGAAGTTTAGCAAGTACTGAAGAGTTGACACTAAAAGGGTGTTGTTGTTTTTTCCAATTTTCTGATGCAAAAGCAAATCGTAGATTTTTTCCTGCAAACTTGTTCCATATTGCTTCAAGTCGTCGCTATTTAAGATTTCTATCAGTGGCTTGATAATTTCTGAAAAAGTTATAATTACTTTAAACTTTTGATATTTTTTAAATTTTGATATTTTACCATTGTCTCGTACAACGAGAACAAGCCATCCACTGTGATAAGTTGCATCTTGAAGATCAATCACGTCAAGTTTTTTCTTCTAAAAATGGATGTATATATCAATGGAATTTTTTAATTTTTATATTTTAATTAAAATGATTTTTTCAGCCTTAATTAATCATGAACAGATTTCAGTATGAAAAATCAATATATTCAAATTGTATTTAATGAATTTGGAAAAGTCATTCTCTTATATATCAGTTTCAACCGTGCCTGCGCGCGTATTCAAGACGTTTTTAATAATAATATAAATTAATAAAATTGCTAACAGAAAATTCCTTAGAAAAGCTAGGCGAAGAGTTAAAAGCACAAAATTTAGTAGTTACCGTTTTTATTAGATTGTCATACTGGTGTGTCGGAGGAGATTGTTCTAAAACAAAGAAGAGCTTTGGTTTTCCGATCCACTTATCGTTTTCTGGACCCAAAAATTGATGAATGATTTCACCGATCGGGATTTCAGAGTCATCAAAACGTACACACACTTCTTTGTCTCTTTCAGTGATTTCAGCGAAAATGGCGGTCAAGAAACATCCAGGGTACTTTTCAATACCATTCACTAAATAATTCCACCGAAAGCATCATTTTTATAAAAAGTGTGTTAATTTAAATTGAATATTTTACCTCTATTGTAGAACATTTCTAGATCTGCAACCGAATTTTTCATGATGCAATCAGTTTCAAAGCCAAGGTTTTGCTGAATTGCATTTTTAAAAGCTTCGACTTCTTCAGTATAGCGTGTGAAAAAAATCGAAGCTCGTTTTATCCTCTGGTTTCCTCCCTCGAGGGACCAACTCCAGATTAAGGGTACACGCGTCGGTTCATCATCAATTATTTGCCTCTGGTCTGAACTACTTCATATGTCAAATTTAAATTATTAAAAAAAAAAAAACATTTCTTACGTTTGCCGTTCTGAAAAGCAAAATTTTCTGCTCTGAGGGAACAGTTTGAATTCGGGCGTTTGTCCAAATTTTTCATCAGCGCTCTCTGAATGTCTCTGGATTTCATATTGAATCCGTGTTAGAACAACCGGCAAAGATTCGTTGTCTCGCAAATTGTCAAGGACTTGGCACGTTTTAAGCACGATCCACGTTCCATCTTCAGCAGTTCCATGAAAGTCTCGTCGCGCTTTGGTAGCTGCAAATTAATTAAAAGTAAAAAATGTAACAGTTTTCTGGGAATTTTTTACTTTCAACGGTGGAATAGAAAACTACCAAGTTTTCCATTTCAGGAAAAGAGGAAACACTGCACGATTTCCTATTTAAAACTTTGGATTTATTACGATCCTGAGTCACTAATGAATATTTCAAATCGTCATCATGTCCGCGACAGGGCTAAAAAAATTAATATTAATTAATAAATATTTCAAACCCTAATAAAATTAAATTTCACTGCTAAATTGACGAGTTTGAGGCAGTTTTCAAATTTTCGCAGCTGCTTCAACGCTGCAAAAAGCTCTGTCGTGGTGAAAGTTTGGAATTTCTCCACTTTTCCGTCAAATGACTCTGCGTGATCGGTGCAAATCTCTCCGTTTTCCGAGCCGTGCGATAAAATGTAGAGGAAGAAAACCGACGGAGGCGAGTCTGAATTTTGGAAAGTTAAACTTCATCTTTTAATTTTAATTAGCTTAAAATTAGACCTTCGGCTCCAAAAAGTTTCAAAAGCAAATCTTGATCGGAGAGGAGGTAAAGCAGTTCTTCCCTCTTCGGCGAAGACCAATCTATGAATTTGCAGTTTCGATTTGTTTCAAAGGAACGGCGCAAACGTTTAACATCTGTCGCGTCTCCTCCACGAATGTTTTCTGTGTTCTTTGCATTTCCAAAGTCGTAGTGAACAACCAAAACGCAAACGCTAAGTAAAAAAAATTTAAATATATATTTAAAATTATTATTAAAATAAAATACCTTTCAGCATTTTCTCTGGATCCGTCAGCTCTTTCAAAATATCCCAATTTGGCTGCGTGACCTTCAGGAAGTTGTAGGCGAACTGAATAAAAATTATTATAAAATTGACCATATAAAGAGTTAGACTTAATATCGACTAGCACAATCAATATAATAATCAATTAAATTTTTACTTCATTCCATTATAATAAACCACACATGAGAATTCCATTCAACGACAACATCCGATTTTAGTTTAAATTCCTCAAAATAATAGGATTAAATTGGACAATTTTCTAAAGCTCAAAACATACCTTTTTCAACAAATTCATCAACACTCTTCCTGACCTCAATCATCCTGTTGAGTCTGTCTGTCATTTCAAATTGAAGTTTCCGCAGTCATTGTCTAGAAAAATAAATGAAAAACTAATGTGTGACATTTAAAATTTAGGCGAAGCATCTATGGAGAGTTATTAAGATAAAATTTCAAGACAAAAATTTCCAAATTTTTGTTACACTACGTTCTTCCTTCATAAAACAATAATTTGCTTGGAATTCTTGGAAATATAATTGTATTGTTGTTTATTTGTCCAAATTGATAAATTTAAAAAGTAAAATCAAAACTGATTCTGACGAAGACTTTTTTGGGATAATAAATTTTTGGGGCCTAATTCTGTAAGGCTGAAATAGAATGGTAAATTCCTCTTGGAATTGGAGCAAATTCAAAATAAATTAATAAAAAAAAATATAAGAAAAGGTATTCTGTTGTATCACGCATCAGATACAGATTAATTTATTTGTAATGCGGAAACTGGAATTATGTTGTAGAGTGAAAAGGAAACGAAGCTTAAAAAGTCTCAACCTACCAAGATTTTCCATATATCCGCACGACACGTCAGGTTTTTTATAGTAAATATAATTTTCATGTCAATTCACAAATTTCCATGTATTGTAATAATTTATATTCTTCATCCGCAAAAATTTCTCAGAGGTTCAATAATTAGCTTGGAAATCAAATTGTTTATCAATACAAATCCCTCCAATTAAAATTAATAACTAATACCATTCAAAATATTTTGTTTAGTCACGACAGAATAACTTTTTTCGTGATTATAAAGTATTTTTTTGTTCAAATGATAAATTTTTATATTACCTTGGACGAAAAGAAAAACGAAGGCACAAAATTTCGCGAGCTGAACGTTTCAGTTGCAACTGATTAACAGAAATATTTGTATTGCGGAACGTAAAGCAAGCGTGAAAAGGAAAACTCGCATAAAAAGTCTCACCTGACCAAGACTTTCGCCCGCCAGTAAGCAAGAGAAAGACACCTTTAGAAACGCTGACCTACAGATTATTCTATTACAGCATTCGAAATTTATTCTGATTTAACTATTGAAAATTCCTTAAATTTTCAAACCTATGATTTAATCTTCTCAATAATTTTCTTTCAAATTGAATAAATTATTAAACAAACAATTTTTTTAAAACAGCTTTTTTTTTAACCCGCAGAGTAAAATAAGGAACTCTAATTTAGCAACAATTGACTAAAGAAACTTGAGAGAACATTAAGAGAATGAAGTTTGCGTTCTAATCATATGGTTGTTGTGAATTTAAATCATTTTATTATATAATAATTACACCAATAAAATCTTTGCAGTGACGAATCCATTGCAATTGATCATCATTTTTAATGCTACTAAGTCATCAAATATTAAAATTGAAAATTATTATGAGAAAAAAATGAGCAGAGTGGGCAAAGAGCAAAGAGGTCTGTTTAAACGCATGAGTCGCCGCGCCGCGGTGAACCCACACTATCCTTTCGCCCCTATCGGAAATAAAGATATAATGTGGACTGTGTGGGAGAGGAAAGTATTTTAAATATTCACCCCTCTGTAATTCGCTGTTCGGGATTGAGTTTGAAAATTTGATTCAAATAATATGCTAACATTATATCGGTTGAAAATTATTTTGATTTACACCTGTAAAGTGGCACAATATATATTTAAAAATAACTAATAAAAAGATCTAATAACACCGAATAATCAGAAATCCTTTCCAAAATTATTTGAGCGCATTAAAAGATATCTTTTGCAGTAAAAGTAAGTTTAATTTATTACAATAATTATTAAAATACATTAAAAAAGTTTTTTAATTGTAAATTAAACAAAGTGCTGCGGAATGAAGTCGGATCGCTCGGATAGCAAAACATTTAATTTCCAAATATTTAATTTCTTTTTAGACTACTTGAATTAAATTTGATTCAATATGTCACTTTTTTAATCAAATGAGAAATGGCGGCCATTTTTCTTCAATCACAGCACGAATATGCTGGAGATCTTCTGCCTCGATTTCATCCAGAATTTCTTTTAAAGGTTTCTTCTCCAAGACGCAACCGAGGTTTTCGCTGATTTCGGCTTCAAATTTCTTTTCGGCAAGTAAATTTTCGACCAACTTCCTGCACGGACGCCATTTAGAATTCCCAAAAATGGAAAATTTGAAAACGAGAAACTTCTTTGTGACCAAAACTTCAGGGAACAAGTGGTGCAGGAAGTTGATTTTTTCGCAGGTGACGCTCGCGATTCTCGTCCTATTGACATTTACAAAATGAGCATTATTTGTCACATTGGGACTCTCTCCCTGGATAAACCTCATGGCCAGAGACATGAGCCATTCCAACAATTTTTCCACCTCTGAGTCAAATTGATCGTTTCTGACGTACGATTCGGCAAGAGCGGTTTCTATTTCAAGTTTAATTATTTCTTCAATGATTTGGAAAGGGTTTTCCAACAATCGGCATTTCCCCATCATGATTAAGTGCAGCGGGATGCCCAGAAATTCGTCTAGTTCCCAATTTTTGAATTTATCCAACTCAAAATCATTCTTCGATTGCCTTTCCAATTTCAGCAACTCAATCTGCTGCTGGCGATTGAACGGCAAAATTTCATAAGCGAAGCAGTTTTTCTGGCCAAGTTTATCCACAATCGCTTTCTTTTCCTGTGGCCGCGTCGAAATAAAGATTTGGATTTCTTTGTCGAACATTCGCTTTGCCAGGTCGAGCATCTTCTCGCCATGATCAGGGCAAATTTCGTCAAATCCGTCCAAGAAAAGAATCAAAATTTTTTTATTGACAAGAGCTTGGACGTGAGCTTGAGGGAATTTCATCGCCTCTGCTAGGATTTCGGCGATCGGCGTTTCCGAATTCCACTTTGAAAAGTTTTTGTCCACCAAGTCGCGAAGGTTGACTTCAACGATTGTCTTGTTCAGTTTTCTGAGGCCGTGCGCGATTTCCCTCATCACGGTTGTTTTGCCCGATCCCGCAGGCGACGACAAAAGACGAAAGGAATTTTGGTCGATACCTTTGGCCCAGTCGTTGAGCAATTCGTCATAATCAACGGTTTTTCTTTCAACTTCAGCACTGAATGTGGGTTTTACAAAATTTCTGGGCAAGTCTGGGAAGTTTAGCAAGTACTGAAGAGTTGACACTAAAAGGGTGTTGTTGTTTTTTCCAATTTTCTGATGCAAAAGCAAATCGTAGATTTTTTCCTGCAAACTTGTACCATTTTGCGTCAAGACGTCGCTATTTAAGATTTCTATCAACGTTTTGATTTTTTCTGGAAAAATAATTGTATCATTGTTTTAATAAAAATCATCATTTTTGCCAAATAATTCTACCTTCGTCCTGTATAACCAGAACAAGCCATCCGCTGTGGTTGGTTGCTGCTGGAATTTCCAACTGAAACATTTATTTCCGTTTATGAATTTCGGTTTCCCCCAAATTATTCCATTTTCTGTTTCCCATCAATTAAAACATTAAAATAAAAATATATATTTTTTTAAATTAATTGTTTTGCAGGAAAACCTGATTACCTCTTTAAGACCATCACCCTGGCTTTGACGCGGAGATTGTTCGCAAAAGATAAAGATTTTCGGTTTTCCAATCCAATTTTCGTGCTCAGGGCCCAAAAAGCGGTGGATAAATGCACCGATGGGGACTTCATTATCATCAAAACGAACACAAATTTCTTCATCTTTTTCGGTTATTTTTGCAAATACGCCGGTCAAGAAACACTCGGTGTGTTTTGCTACGTCATTGACTGCAATGAAAAAAGAAATTATTTTAAAATTCATGGGTTTATTTTTATAACTATTTACTTCTGGTAAAGTACTTGGATAGATTTCCAACCGAGTTTTCCATGAGATCGTCGGCTTCGAAGCCAAGGTTTTGTCTCAGCGCGTTGTAAAAATCGACGACCATCTTGGTGCGTTGGGTGTAGAATACTGAAGCCCTTTTAATCCTTTGGTTTCCTCCAACGAGGGGCCAAGACCAGAAGGGCAACGGCTCAGGCTCTTCAATTACAATTTTTCCTATTCCGTCACTTTTGCTTAAAAAAAACGATTTTATTCAATTTCAATAAAAAATCTGCCTTGTTATTATTATTTTGGACAAATTTGAGAATTTATTTCAAATTTGTTTTCCCCTTTCAAAAATTTTTTCAATTTGTGTCTTCCCTTTTGATTATTTCAATTAATATGACTAGAAGAACTTTATCTTTTGGTTAATTTTTTTTTCTTACATTTCTTATTTCAGTAGAATAATTTTATATATATTATGTTTAAAAACAGTTGTTAGACAATCTGTAAAAAAATTGTATCTTTACAATACGGTCGTGGGATTAGTAGAAAAAAAACTTGCTAAGACCAGACTCTGTTTGTTTGCAATTTAAACCTATGAGAAGCCTCAATTATTATTTTTTAAATAAGGGACTTTTGTTTCTAGTTTTAACGTTACCTTTACCTATTACTATCAACTGGCAGGAAGAAGAATTTTCTCTTCTGAGGGAACATTTTCAATTCGGGCGTCTGGCCAATCCATTTATCTTTGCACGAAACTTGCATTATTTCGTGAGAACTTTCCTGAATTTTATTCTGGATGCGTGTCAAGACGACAGGCAGAGATTCGCTTGTCCGGCGCAAATCGTTCAGAACTTGACACGTTTTTTGAACAAACCAAGTTCCGTTCTTGGTTTCTCGAACTGCCGCGGTGGCTGAAATGATTGGAATTATTCATATTTAATACATTTGTTTTTATGTTTTATACTTTCAACAGTTGAATAAAATATAACCAAATTTTCCATTTCGGGAAAAGAAGAAACACTGCAAGACTTGCTGTCGAAAGCTGACAATTTCTGATGATTCTGATTAACTATTGAAGATATCAAATCCCGAGTATCGCCACGGCAGGGCTGAAAAAAATTCATATTTGTTTCAAATTTGAAACTCTAAAAATAAATTAAATTTTACCGCTAGATTGATGAATTTGAGGCAATTTTCAAATTTTCGCAGCTTTTTCAACGCTGCAAAAAGCTCTGTGGTGGTGAAAGTTTGGAATTTCTCCACTTTTCCGTCAAACGACTCTGCGTGATCGGTGCAAATCTCTCCGTTTTCGCAGCCGTGCGATAAAATGAAGAGGAAGAAAACCGACGGGGGCGAGTCTGAATTTCCAAAAGTTAAACTTCATCTTTTAATTTTAATTAGCTTAAAATTAGACCTTCGGCTCCAAAAAGTTTCAAAAGCAAATCTTGATCGGAGAGGAGGTAAAGCAGTTCTTCCCTCTTCGGCGAAGACCAATCTATGAATTTGCAGTTTCGATTTGTTTCAAAGGAACGGCGCAAACTTTTAACATCTCTCTCGTCTCCTCCACGAATATTATCTTTGTTCTTTGCATTTCTAAATTCGTAGTGCACAACCAGAATGCAAACGCTGCAGAGTAGAAAAAGTTAGGAATTTTTCAAAGTTTTTAAAAATTAATTGTTGAAATACTTGTCGGCATTTTCTTTGGATCCGTCTGCTGCTTCAAAATATCCCAATTTCGCTTTGCCGTCAGGGAATTTACTTTTTTTCATAGCTGAATGGATCACTTTAGAATGAATAATATTTTGTTTATTACTGAAATTCAGAATTTTTGTATACAAAAATGTCATGGTTCTCCATCACCACAAAATTTCAACCCGTAGCAAAAAGAAATTAATTTCAGCAATTTTTTATTACAGTTTATCAAAGCTAATTCGAATGACTCTATTTAACAGAGGCAATTGTAAATGATCATTACTCATTGGAAAATTTCAAAGTATCATACCTTTTTGGACCCAATCAATGACCGTTTTTCTGACTTTTTCTTCAATTCCAAACTCGATCATCCCTGTCGGGCATTTTCAAAGGATTAATTAACTTATCCGCTCATGTATGATATTTGTATTAACCCTTACTCTCTAACATAACATGAATTTTCTCTTCATGTATTCACGTACCTATTTTGGTAGAAACTACTTCTCTTTATAGTTTGTTTGTTCACAATTATTTATATTATTTGAAAATAATATTTAACTCATATTTAAAAATTTCCCTCCAAAATTATTTTACCACATAAAATGGTAAAAATGTGACTTTAAACATATCCAACACGAAGAATATTTCTCATAATACAACGTGTCAAATTTTATCCAGGGCACTTCACTGTCAATGTAAAATAAAAAGGATCTCAGCATTCTCAGCGACTCATAAAACTTTCAATTTTTGTGATAGAATACATAAGAAGTTAAATATATTTTTAAATAAAAATTTCAAAATTTAAGGAATGCAATTTTTATTTTGAATTTTAATCTATCCAATTTTTTTTTTAATCGTCTACAAATTTTTCACAACATATTTCTTTTTTAGTTAAACCCTTATTGCGGATTTGAAAATTATGAAACATGGCATTTGAAGTTTTCAAAACCAGCTAGGGTTGTTTGAGAAACAACAAGTTATTCATTATTATGATTTTTATTTTTTAAATTACTAAAAAAATCGGAGCGCTTCAATTTTCACACATAAAAAAAATATGCAAAGACCACGCGCTTTTCAACACATTCAATTAAAATGAGACTTTTGGCGGTGTCAAATCTTTAATCTAAGGAACAGGTGGTCAGTGGATCGAGTCGTGTGGTAGTAATTCTTAAGCAAGCAATGTTAACTTCAAATGCGATTTTCACACAAAACACGGATATTAAAAGATCCTAATGATGGAAACTAGCTGTTGAAAATAATAATTTTGCCTCTAGAGCTGCTGAAATCCACTTTATAAGCATATTAAGAAAAAAAAAAACGTGATTAAGAAGTCTAGCTTGAATTTTTTTGAGAAATATTTATCTTAGTTTTCATAATAAATTATGTTTCCTTTTTTTAAAGTCCCAGAAATGAGCAGTATTTTTCCAAAGAAAAAAAAATATACATTTGTATGCAGTACGTTTTTGGCCTTTAAACTACTTTTCAGACTGGCCGTGGTTTTCGCGTTGCTGTTTTATCGGCGCAGGATATGCCCATGAGATAAAGCATAGGCACAATTTGCAAAAAGGAGGATTGATGGCTAAATTAAATCTTACCTGCAGAAAATATCTCCACGCCATACGTAAAATAAAAATTACCTGCGAGTAAGAAGTTCAGCGTCTCGAGCTAATTCGCAAAAAGCGAGGAGGCTGGGCCGACTTTCTAAAAAAGTCTCGCTTCTTTTTTGCACAATGAATAATGATAATGAGCATAAAAAGAGTTGTTGATATTGATATGGTGGCGCCATCTTTAGGCCAGCAAAGAAATAGAATTAGCCGCAATTAAACTCGGCGCTTTAGAATTAATCTTTGCTATTTAAAAATCCTTTGTACTTTTAACGACTCTTTTTTAAGGACGTTTTAGCAGAAATGACAAACATCGGCTCTGTCTTTAAGTTTTTTTTTTATTTTATTATTATCGTGGCTAAAAAAACTTAATTATTATAGAAGAGCCTATTGGATGGCCAAATGGCTGTTGCATTTACACATTTTTTTATATTCATATTTGTATAATATCTGGCGCCATAATTCATTAAGAATAAGTTATTTACAAAATGTACAAAGCAGTGGCAGATATGCTTGAAATTTGAGGTCAGATGATATATGTATATTTATATGTAATTTTTATAATTGTTATATTTTGCAAAATATTGTTTATATGTGATGAGAAGATAATAAATTGAGATTTTTAAGAAAATCTCGTTGCTCTGCAGAGAGAATTCAATTTATAATTTATTTTACTTTTTTTTATCGACAATTGCTCTTCTTCCAGACACCAAACGCTAGAGGAGCTACTAGAAATTGAACAGCCAACAGCCCCATTTCATTTGATGCTCCTTCATCTGCCCACCAAGAGAGCTTCGTAACGAAGGAAAAACTTGCGGATCAAAATTTGGTTTTCTTTTGTTATAAAAAATAAAACCAGCAAAGACGTTTCAATTTCTATTCAAGTAATATCGATATCGTCGATCCAATTTTTCTTCTTCGTATCTGTGGTCCAAAAACATAGGACAAAATGCAAGTCGATGAAACTGATGCCACTGATGGCAAAGTCTTTTTACTTAATTAATTAACGGAATAAATTTTTGAAATTAATATACGCCAGCGTATATGTGTTAAGTGATATTTTACACGCGCCAGCTTAATAGTAAAAATTACATAATTATTTTTCGAAAAAATTCCCAGAAAATTCTTTCTGAATTAAAATAAATATGAATTAAATCGATAAATAATTGGTATGCAAGTAAATTTAACCAATTTACGTCACTTATGTTGTTGTGATTTTTATTTCTAAATAAGTGCCTTTTGTTGGGTGGTTCAAAGAGCAGCTTTTTTCTATCCCCAGGGCTCTTGAGGCTGATATAGAAGGCAAATTCCTCCTACAGAATTGGAGCCCATCAGGTCCAAATTCAAGCGTTTAGGACCACTTGCGTGGCCTGTTATAACAGGTTCGTGATTTTTGGCAAACCAGAGAATAGCTGAAAAGCATGTTAAAGATCAGAGGTCGCTTGTGTTTGGTGCTGCTGCTCGGCCTTATCACCAACGCGCTCCACAGAAAAATCGTCGTGATCTTTAATTTACATTTCCCAATATTTCAAAATAACACAATAATAAAATTATTACAAATCCATTTTTTTATTTTCAATTATTTTTGGGATTCGTTTTTTCAAGTATAAAATTTAGCTTTGTATTTACAGTTGATTATTTTTTACTAACCAAATTGTTGTGTGTGCGTGTATTTTCTCTCTTACTCATCATTAATTAGACTTTAAAAAACGTCTTGTCCCACTAACTGGCTCGATCTGCTTGCCAACCAGTTATTTTGTAAGTTGATGTACAATAAATTCATTTGTGATAATAAAGCCTGTGGCTTTTAATTTGATCTTTTCCCCCGTGAAAAGTTTTGCATCATATTGGCATTATCATTGTGAAATTTGAATTGTCTTCCTCAACCATAATTTTATTTAACCCAGAAAAAAGATTGTAAATCTCGAAATTTTACCAAAAATTAGTGGTTCCGTTAAAACTACATTACATCTGCGTCAATGATGGATAATTATAATTTACGGAAAATTAAAGATCTTGATTTTATTTTCATTTTATTGAAATGCGTGGTTTTACAAGTTAAAAGTACATAATAATAACGGGTTAAATTCACTCCAAAATTTGTGCAGAGCGGCGGTAAATTTATGATTCATTTTTGTTTGTTCTTCAGTTGTTAATTGACATTCGGAAGGGAGACAAATTATAATTTCTATAGAAAAATAAAACAAGATTATAATCCTAAATTTTTGAATTGCCGATTGGCTTTTTGGTTACACTCACAAATAGTCAACTTATGATTAACCAATTAAAAATATCTTATAAAATGCATTTAAATCTATATTTTAAATTAATTGAAACAAATTATCCGATAATCAGATACATAATTTTACTTGCACTCAACCAGACTGTTGATAAAAGTAGAACCAACTCCAAAAAACTATAAGATAAAAATGTTTTAAATTTTTATTTCCAATGTCATCCTAATTTTAACCGAAATCAAGAAAATTCAACCAATTTTACTGCAGAAAAAAATACTTTTTCTTCTTCTAATTTTCTATTCAATTTCCATGACATGTTCGTTGAGCTGGTTGTTGATGGTGTACTTGAAACCCTCCACCCAGACGGGGTTGACGGTTTTGAACTTCATGGAGTTGGAAAGGTTGATTTCTCCTTGAGTGAAGGGCAAGTGTTTGACCAACAAATTTTTCATTTGGGCCGCCATGTCAGGATAGCTCCTGATCTTTTTCATAACATTTGGTCTCCTGGCTGTGGACTTGTAGAGTCCAAACTTCCGCTCGCCAGTTTCGTTTATAGGCTTTTCCTAAGAAGAATTTTTTTGAAGTTGAATAATTAATTAATTCCACTTTAATGAAATAATTACTTCATTTGAAAATGCGCCAATGAGATTAAGGAATTACTTCAATTTAATTAATTTTCATTTATTGTAAAAAAAAATTGATTTTTTTTCTTACGTTGAGCAGGAAGTGCAGAGTGTTTTCATAAGAAAACTGGTAAGCGATGGGGTGGTTGCCTTCGTAATACGGAACCTGAACGTGGAATTTGTTGCCAGCGATGCGTGTCACGTAATTGAAAGATCCAAACATTTTCTCTAAAATTTAGAAAGAAAATAATGTTTAAAAATCCTGCAAAATTGCGATTTTTTTTCTTTTTAAATTCACCCGAAAAGTAGAATCTTTTCTCGATGGGCGTCAAGAAACTGAAACCTGAGGTTGGCAGCAATTCGGGTCTGTTGTCCACAGGCGGACGCATCGGCGGAGGTGGTTCTTGAACGCGTCGAGGAATTCCCACTCCCAGATTCATCAAGCGGTCTAATTCCTCATATTCCTCTCGCCGAGTTCGAGCCCGAGCCGGTGGTGCAACCTCCCGCACAAAGTCACTTTCCACTTTGGTCCTCTTGTTGTTGGTCAAGTTCAACTCGGACAGCTGCAGAAAAATACGAATTTTAAAATGTTGCAAACATTTTGTTTAAATGAAAATTTAAAACCGGGTTGCAAAGAAAGCTGAAAAAATAAAAGGTTGACTGACCCTCTAAGGTGACCTTTTTCTTGTCCAAACTAAAACTAAGTGGGTGGAAAAAAATTTAAAAAATTTGGTAAATTTATTTAAAATAAAAAAAATTGCAGAAATTAATTTAGCAACCGAATCAGTTTGCCAATGAGATTTAAATTTTTCATGAAATCCACCTCGATTTAATTTTTTTTTATACCTTCAAGTCCTTTCCGTCTCTGAAGGCGCGGAAGATGAATGGGAAGGCGACACAACAGGTGTATCCATCGTCCCTTTTCCAGATGTTTGTCACGTGATCTGAGGAAATTGCAAATAAAAAGTTACAGTTTTGAATTTTGACTGATTAAAACTAATTATTTAAACATTTTTCTCACAATTTTTCCGGTTCACAAAGTTCTCTTTCTTTCTTAACATTTTTTTTAAATTGAATCCAATTGTATAATTAGACTTATTTTTTATGTTAAATTTTCTATTTCTTTTATTTTACCAAAATATTTCAAGAAGAACGATTTTTGTGAGGGAAAAACATGTTACGTTTTTTAAAATAAATTTATTTAATTAAAACCTTGAATATCAAAATGACCTTGTCCTAATCAAAATCAAATATACGAACTGTACTTGGTGTCAAACTTGTCACACCCAACGTGGAAAATGAAAAAGTCCCGTCCCGATCGCTGCACGTCGATCGGGTTGTCCGGAATTGGGAAGCCGTTTTGCCTTTCGCTCGAGACCTCCCAATTTCGCTCTCTCAGTTTGAGCTGGCGAAGATCGTGGCGCAAATTGTCATCTCCGGTGTTGGTCGAAATGCTGGCCTTTCGAGCTTCAAACCTATTTTTAACACAAATAATTAATATTATGTTAGATTTTTTTTATAATTTTCAAACCTGCCAACTTTCTTCCATTTGTTTGAGAAACACATTGGCCTACTTTTGATGAGCCCCTTTGCTTCTTCTGAGCTGACCCTTCCGAACATGTAGATTTGGAAATCTAAAGAATAATTTTTTTTTCAGTTTTTAAATTAATTGTTATAAAATTTTTCTTAATACCATAAATGTCAAAGTCGTGCTCGACGCTCATGCTCTCCTTGGGTTCGCAGACGAGGTTGTCCGTGAATTCCCCGTTTTCAGCGTCATAAAAAAACAGGGCGGCGTATCGCTCTTTTGAATAAATGAATTCCGTCTGGACCATGAAGAAAAGAGGTCGCTTTGATCTTTGCCCGCCGGACGCAAGTATATCAGTTGCAGATTTCATTATCTCACGAGGAAAAGATAATCCGTATGGTGCTGCGTCCGGATTTGCCAGTGTTGGCTGGATTTTCAGTTTACTAAAATAAATTAAATCGTTATTAAAAATTTCAATGATCATTTATTTAGAAAATTTGAAAGAAAAATCGAGTTTTTTCTATAAATAATCAAATAAACTTACTAGTAAATGGCTGAAATCAATTTTTTCAGTTTTTTGCTTCGTTTGACAATGTTCGATCTTTTCATCAGAAATTTGAACTGGTTCCTCTTGACCTTGGGCCAGTTTATCAGTGAAAGGGCCTCCTCAAAGTGCCTCTGCCGATTTCTCATGTCAAAGTTCAACCATCCGAAAATCGCGGTCAAAATCTAACAAAATCATTTTAATTTTTAATTAATTTATTTCAAATTAAACCTGTGTTTCTGACTCGCAGTCCAAGTACATGTGGTTGATTATCGTCTTTAACTTTTCCAACGGCAACTTCTTGAAATTGCGAGTTTTGCGGAAATCTTTGAAAATCCCCACCGCCTTTCGTAAGCAGCAATTTTCCAAGACTTCGTTTCCGGTGTCCGCAGCAACTTGGCGGTACTTTGCGATTTCTTGAGGCAACATTTTGAGCATGGCGATTTGCTCCAAATCTGCCTTGATCTATATAAAAATAAATTAAATTTTTGAATGTAAACAAATAAGAATCAAACCATCAGCATTCTCAAAGTTTTGAAAATCGTCGGCTTCATGATGTTGTAGATGGTCAAGGATAAGTTCTCATTGATATTCTTGCCGTTCTTCAAGGCCCTCAAAATCAACCTCACGCTTTGGCCACAGAAATTCTAAAAAAGCGCGTTACAGCTAAATTTAAGTAATAAATTTTGTTCGCAACCCTCAGATCGATGTTTTCCGCAGTGGCTTCTTCGAAGTCGCCTCGAAACATGCCATCGAAAAAGTCACTGATTTCACGGAGGAACTCGACCTCCTCTCTCAGGACCAATTCGTCATCAAACACCAAGTTAACTTGTCTCATAACCTGACCTATTATAAAAATAAATTAAATAACTTATTTAGGGAAGATATTGAAACTTATAATTGCTTTTTCTGCATGCGCTGGGAGAAATTTCAGTTTCAGTTTGCATAAAAATAAAAAACTATTAATTTTAAATTCTCATAAGATCAATGTAAATATTAAAGCCAACCTTTGTAATTTTATTTCGGCAAATTATTCTGTTGTAATAATTTTTGGATGAAATTTTCATTAATTATTATCAAAAGCAGACTTTCGAAATTCCTCATTAAATTATTTCTCAATCAAAGCTTTTCTCATTCTCTCTACAAATAATTGTTAAATTTATTCAAAATTATATTTAGGCTCATGAAAAATTAAATTTATAGACATCCCAAGATTAGCTCTCAAAAACTTCAGGCGAAAATTATGGAAATAATGTTTCAACCCTAATTAATTAAATTTATTAAATACATTTTTCTAATAAGCATATTTCCGGTAAAAAAAGCATTTTATCGATGTCATTAGCGTGTTGCGAGTTGGAAGACGCTCACTTAGACATTCAATTATAAAGTTTCACCCCCCAATTCTGGACCTGTATCCCGTATGTTAGAAACACTAAACATCATTGCTCATCAATATTAATACATTTCCCCGCTCCCCGGTTTCAACTTCTTGATTAAAGAAAAAAAAGTTTTACAAGTCATCATTTTTAACTGTGGCTTTGATGAGATTTAATTTGAAAATAAAAAAAAACGAAAGCACCCTTTTCAAATTACATTTTGTCCTCAGAACAAATTTTTAAAGTGAATTTTGAAAAATGGTACTTTTCAGTATAAGAATAAATATTCGGATCGTCAAGCCCTCACTGGAACTATAACCTACCACCTGCGCTTATAAACTGCCCCTCAAGCAATTATTTTCCCTCCCTTTGCAAGCAGCATTAAATTTTGTAATTATTTCCTTTTTTATATAAACTAAGGGTGAGGGTTCACCACGGCGGCTGAATGAGTCACTTTTGATGTCGAGCATCGAGCGTTTCAGCTATAGTTGTATAGTTTTCTTTTTCCAATATTTAAATTTTTTTATGCACCGAGAAAAGAATAAATTTTAATTCATTAATGAACTCATTCATAGAAATAATATATTTTACTAAATTTGCTGGAAAATGCTTTCGGCAATGAGCTCAAAAATCGTCCAAAGTCCAAATCAAGATTGATAAGCGATCAACCGACTCAAAAACCATTTTAAATTGAACTTTAATTTCCAATTAAATTTCGTTTTCAATTTGATCTCTACCAAAAAGCAATCGCTGCTAAGTTTATCCAAATTACGAAAATATTAAAAATTAGAAAACTATTTTTTCTTTTAAAACGCACGGTTAGAAAAAATTTAATTGATGAATTAAAAATGCAATTTGTTGAGTGAAAGTTAAATTAATATAAATTGCAAAATATTCGTACCTTCTTCGTCTTCCATATTGCCGAGTATGATGTGTCTTTGGTGCTTCGATTTGGATGCTTCTGGAACCGTCAATGTGCAGATTCGTAAGTAACGTCCACGTCCTGGTGCAGCGCTTCACCAAGTAAATTTAATGTACGCCGCTGTCGTGCAGCTGCGCCGAACACTTCCTTTCGCTTATCGACTCGCAAGTAAAAAAAATACCCCTAAATATTGCATCATTGTGCATGGCTGCCGTTCTTGAAAATTCAAAACATTAACAGGTGGCAATGAAAAAAGTTTGATATGTAATAAAAAAAATTTTTGAAGGTCAGGCCAAGACAGAGCCCTTATAATTATGGTACTGCAGAAGGCATCACTCTATATAGAATAGCGCGCATTAGATTTTTTGCCTCTGATAATAGCTCGAAAAACTGCAAGGACCAAATTAAATAATTCATATTAATATTAAAAATACTTTCAATTTGTTTTTTTCCAAACACAAATAATTCTTGCCTCTTGATAAGATTTGTGGAGCATTTTTTTCAAATATCAGAATCTTCCGAGTATTTTTTAAATAAATAATTTTATTTATTTATTTACTTTTACAATTAACATTGAATGTTTTTATAACATCAATTCCTCTAGTTTTTCATCTCAAATTTAATTCCAATTGCTTACAAAATATAAATTTGTACGTTTGAAAAATTTGCTCCCGAAAAACTTTTCCTGCTGTAAATAAATGTTAACGGTCACTGGTTGATGGGCTGATTCCTATCCGCTTCTTGTAATCTATTCCTTCAAACCAGACAGGGTTGACCAGCTTGAACTTCATCGAAGTGGCCAGATCGAATTCGTGTTCGAGTAAGGAAAAGTGCTTGGCCAGAAGTTGTTTCATTTGGACGGCCATGTCAGGCAGACTCTTGATCTTCTCCACGCCATGACCTGCCGTGCCCAGGAACTTGTAAAGTCCGAAGCTGCGCTTGTCAGCTTCGTTGTTGGTGTTTTCCTGTTTTTAAAAAATTAAATTATACTTTTCTCTTAATTAAAAAGCAGTTTACTCACATTGAGTAGGAAGTGGAGAACATTTCTAAAGGAAAACTGGTAGACAATGGGGAGTTCCGTGCGTTTCAGATTGTCCTTCAGAAGGAACCTTGTGCGTGAGATTTTCTTGGGATCATTGAAAGAATCGAACATCTTTTCTGAAAATGAACATTTATTTTAATTTCATAAAATTAAGAATTTAAAAATTTTTTAACTGACCTGAAATGTACAAATTCTTTTTGATGGGCGTCAAGAAGCTGAGACCAGGGCTGAGAAGCACAAGGGGTGGTGGTGGTGCGTTGACCCTGCGAGCCATTCGTCTTAAATCGCTCTTCAAATGGTTCTCCAGACTAAACTTTTTCAAGTCATACTCATAGAACTGGAAGAAAATTGTATATTTTTGTAAAAATAAAGTCATTTAAAATTAAACCAACCTCCAAGTGTCTGCTGCCCTCTCTGAAGGCGCTGTAGATGAAGGGTGACTTGACGCAATAAGTGCAGCCGTCATCTTTTTCCCACAAAGTTCTTACAGAACCTGGAAAATATTATTCATTCAAAATACTTAACCGATGTAAATTTAATTCAAAAAAATATTATCCTAACTTTAATAAAATATAAAATTGTTTACTTATTTTAATGTTTAAGAAAATTAAAATTTACATTTCGAACAGCAAAAATTTCATCTATTTTATTTTCAATTTAATCTATGAAATAATTATATTGCAGATTTGAGATTTAATTTATGAATTAAAAAAATTACTGACGATCTTTGGTGTCAAACTGCTCGCATCCCACATGGAAAATGTAAAAGTTTCTTCCAGAGCGCTGCACCTCAACAGGGTTGTCCGGAAGCCGTTCGGGCGCAAATTCCTCCTCTTCTTGCCTCAGACTGTGTTTGTGTTCACGCATTTGATTAACTTCAACACTCCTCCGATTTTCCACTGGACGAGTGCTGGCCAGTCTGGCTTCATATCTAATTTTTTTCCCATAAATTAATAAAAAATGATTTTTCAAATTATTTCAATTTACCGGCCAACGTTTTTCCACCGGAGTGGCAAATAGACTGGCCTTTTCCTGATAAGTCCCTTGCGTTCACCATTTTTTACCCTGCCAAACATGTAGACCTGGAAATCTGCAAACAAAAAATCAAGCTTAAATCGAAAAATACTTCAAGTGATAAAAATTTTAGTCCTGAAATTAAATATACAAAAAATTTAAAAATTGAAATTCATAATAAGAAACAGGAAATTGCGTTTCATAATTTATTTTCTCACCATAGATGTCAAAGTCGTGCTCGAAATTCATTTGATCTTTTTGCACACTGACCATGGTGTCTGTGAACCGCTCATTTTCCACGTCATAGAAAAACAAGAGGCTGAATGTTTTCTTGGATATCTTGACCTCAGTTTGGACCATGAAGAAAAGAGGCTGTTTTTCCATTTGCTTCCTGGCCGAAAGTATCTTGGAAACGTCCTCAAATAGTTTGTCTGAAGGTGAATATTTTCCTTTCAAATTGCTGCAAAATAAAAATTAATCAAGTTTTTTATAAAAAAAAATTCCTTAATTTTTCACCAAAACTATCAAATATAACTTACAAAAAGGTCATGGAGATCAGGTGTTTCAACTTCCAGCTCTTTTTGACTATTTTCGATTTCGAAATCAGGAACCTGAACTGGTTTGTTTTAATCTTGTGCCAGTCGACGAGCGAAAGCGCCGCTTCCATTTGTCCCTCTCGGCCTTGCATGTCAAAGTTCAACCATCCCATGGCCGCCTTCAAAACCTGCAATTTTTTATTGTCAATTTCATTTTTAAATTCTGAAATTAAATTACTCTTTTACCTCAGTTTCCGAATTGCAGTCCAGGTACCTGCGGTTGAGCATTTTCTTTATTGTTTCGATTTTCATCCTCTTGAATTGGCGAGTTTTGCGGAATTCACTGAAAATTCCCACGGCCTTCCTCAAACATTTCTCCTCCAAAATGTTGTTTCCAGTGTCGGCAGCAATTTTGCGGTACTTTGAAATGTTCCGCTGTGTCATGGTAATCATGGCGATTTCCTCCAAGTCCACTTTGACCTTTTTAATTTTTGATAAAGTGAGAAGTAAGTAAAAATTTTCTTATTTACCATGAGCATTTTCAAAGTTTGGAATATCTTGGGACTCATGATTATGTGGACGGCAAAATACAAATCCAACTTGCTCTTCATTGCTGCCGTCAAAAATAACGTCACGGATTTTGTACAAAAACCCTGTAAGCGGAAAACAATTTTCTTTTACAAATTTAAATTTCTAAAATAATTCACCTTCAGTTTGATGCTGTCTGAATTTGCTTCTTTGAAGTTACCACGAAGCATGGCATCAAAGAAGAGGCTAATTTCACACAGAAATTTGACTTCTGCGGTCACAACTGAATTGTCATCGAACACCAGGTCCACTTTTCTCTCAGAAGTTCCTGCAATTATTAATAGTTTATTATTTTATTTGTTGAAAAACTATATTAAATCATATTTTAATAGTTTCACTAAATTCTTAAAAAAATTTGTTCCAACAACTCGCGTTTATCATTTTAAATTATTAAATAGGAAAAAACTTTCAAAAAATTTATTATTTAATATTTAAAATTATTTTTAATTGGCTTACGTTTTATTTGCAATGACCTTGCACTTTGCGAAGTTCCAAATAGTTCATTTTTGAACATTCTGACTGAGCAATAAAAGAGATCAACGAACGTGGTTTTTTAAAGGAAGCGGAGCAAGAATTTTTATAACACTCGAACAGAAAGTGAAGCGAAAATTCCATGTGAAAAAGTTGCCTTAGATTTTGGTATTTTAATAAATCAGTAAAATGCTTAAAATCGCTCTTTTAATTGACATGCAAAATATTATAAAATGTTCTGCGAATTTGTACCAAATTTTTTTTATCCTCCTTAATTTTTCCTCATCCGAAAAAAAAACAAGAGAATTTTCAAGCGGGTTGCGGACTTATTTAGATTTATTTACGAAAATCAGGTGATAATTACACATCTTTTGACGGATTTTGGCGTGGAAAAAACTTGAAAAATTTCCCGTAGTTTTTACTTAAAAATTTAATATCTCGGGTCCTATTTGAGATACAAAAATGCGGCTAGAATCAAAAATTTTCTTTTTACCTCTTCTTCCAACCTGAGAGGTCAAATGATTCAAATGTTAAAGGTCAAGGTCATCTTCTAGGGGTCACATGTACACAAAAAATATGGGAACATCATATTAAAAATTCAGGATGGCATCTTTTTTTATTAAAAAACTAAATCACAAAGTTAAGAAGCCGTGAAATTTTCACATTTTGCCAATAATCTAAAATTTATTTTTAGAAAAAATGCATCTAATATGGGTAAATTTATTTACTTTTTGACGATTCATGCCAAAATTATTTTTTTTTTTCAGTTTTAACGAATTTTTAACTATTTTATAAGAATCTAAAAAAGGAACCTTCCTGAATTTTTAATTTGTTGTTCTTACATGTTAGAAAATAATTTCAGCCAGATTTGAGCCCAATCGAAGGTGGCATATATTTTTTGTTCATGTGATTCCTAGAAAATATGACCTTGTCCTTCGACCTCTGAATCAATTGACCTCTAAGGGTTGAAGAGGAGGTAAAAAATATTTTTTGATTCTACCCGCATTTCTGTATCACAAAAAGAACCCGAGATATTCAATTTTTATTTTAAGTCGACACTCCGCGCCAAAATCTGTCAATTTTTTTTTTTACATTTCGGCTGTGATTTTTTGCCAACCGACCTCTGTGCTTTGGCTTTATTTCATTCAAAATCTGTGTTGTTAGATTGGAAATTGGACGAAATTAAAATAAACGCAACAAATAATATTTTTCACAACATTATAATTCCTTTTGCAGTAGAAAAATATGATAAATGAATGAAATTTGGATGCGAAATCTCACCTTCTGCCATTGCAGCTCGATTCTCCTGATGCTCTCCACTGGAATTGTTCTCAGCTGTTCAGGCGAGAAGGAGATGCGGCAGATGGCAGATGCGCGCCCTCACTCCTCACTCTGAAGCGACACCTCAACAACAGAACACAACAAAAATCTGAACCGGCACTTGCAAGATAGTACAAAAAAGGCCCGCAAGCCTCGCATCAGATTGTGCGCATGTTCTTCATATTCTGCAAACTCCCCTCTTCGTTATCAATGTGTTGTAGACAAAAAGCCTTCTGTGGACAAGAGCGCGCTTTGGCCAAAAGGCCGTTTTTGTCAAGGGGTGCCTCACAAAATGTCCTAAAGACAATGTCCTAACGGATATTATCCTAAAGATAATGTCCTACAGAAAATATCCTAAAGAAAGGTCAAAAGGTCTTCTGTCCTGTCCAGTAAAAAAGAATTCTCACCAAAAAACCTCTAGTTTAAAAGCTTTTTGTCCAAATGCTCGGGCAAAAGGACTATTATTATTTATTTATTTTTTTTTTTTTTGCTCTTGGGCCGCATATATTCGAGTCGGTCTAATAAAATAAAGCATTAATTGATTAGGCTAGAGTATTTCATTATAAAAAAAACTATCCTACAATCCAATTGTGATTTAATTAAGAGTTAAATATAATATATATCAAAAACCTTTTGCTTACGAAAAATAGCTAGACTTGTGTGGGAATTATTTAGAGTTAAAAATTTGCTCCGTTAGATATTATTTTTACTGAAATTAAAAAAAGAAATGAAATTATTTTTTAGAATAATATTTTGATGAAAACTATTTACAAAGTAAATTATATTAAGTGATAAATTTATTAAATAATGCAATTTTATCACTTAGAATAAAATTATTCATCATATTTAATTTAATTATTATCTGTGAATTATTATTAATTAAATTTTTTAAATTCACTGGGGTCAAAGGTCAAACCAAAAAAAATTCACCGTCTTATTTTTTTCATCTCACTGAACACCAAAAATTATATTTTTAGAAATTGTTAAAAAGTTGTTATTCATTAAATTAATTGGCTGTTGTGGCTTTAAGTGGAGAGGATTTTTGCAGTTTTTTTGTGAGATGGCTTTTTGTTCCTTCAGAAGGCTTCTTGTCCACAACATGCATTTATTTTAGCGTTCATTTGGTTCTCATTAACATTTATACAATAAATTTCCTCGATAAAATCGAGATAAATAATTAAAAATGAAAGTCAGCGGTTCGTTAAAAATAAAGTAATAAATCAATCCATAATTGTTTAGCACACAAGGCCGGTTTAATTTTTACTCAAAAACTTCTTTAATTGTGAATCATACACCGTTTGAAGACGCATTATTTTCTACGTACAGGTTGCGGAGAAATAGTCGCACTTTTTGAAATTGGCGAACTTAGTGGAGCAAACGGAGCCTGCAGAAGAACAATTATTTTTGATCGATGAAATGAACAAAAAAATCAATCAAATGAAAATTACACACCTGTCTTCATACTTGGACAGCCCTGTATTAAAATAAAATTAAAGATCATTCAAAGTTTTAATATAATTCTATGAAGTGGACCAGAAAGTCGCATGAGAAATTTAATAAATATTTTCTTTTAACAAAAAATCCTTCCCAATAAAAATTAATTGCTTTTGTGAATGTTTCAATTAAATTTTTTTTTTGCAAAAAATCAAATAGTTTTTAATTGATTTGATTTATAATTATACAATAATAAATTATATAAACTTTTTTTCCCGGATTAATTTTTTTATTTTTTACCGTGATGAATTTGCTGTTGATGCACTGCATGTAGACGGCAGGGAAGGTGAGACATGTGCGATAATTCTTCGCCGTCACGGTTTTGTTGTCAGTCGCTTTAAATATTATCTCAATTATTATTAAAAATTTTATTAATTTTCTAAAAACTTCAAACCTTCGGCACACGTTTGGCACGTGCTGTGAACAGACTCGAAAAGTGTCAACCAGCTCGTCATGCCTTTCAACTTGGTCGTCAAGTTTGTCTTAATCATGTCATAGTTCAATGTGTCGTCACTATTGATCTTTTGAAATTAAAACTCCAGCTTTAGGAAGGATGTCGATAAAAAATTAAAAAAAAATTGTACCCAAGAAAAATTGCGGAAGACGCACTCGGCAAAACACTGGATTTGAGAAATAAAATTTAAATAAATCATAATTTATTTTGAATATTTTTATAATACAAATCTGCCCGAGTCCATTTGAACTGGAATTTAATTCTGCTTTGAGAAGGAAATTTGGAAAAATAAAATTCAATAATACGTTTGCCCTTTTTCGCACTGACGCTGAAAGTATAGTTTCCAGAATCGGCCTTGTTCAGCACGTAGGACTTCATGATTCTCATATTGGCCGCTGATTTGTAGCCGCAGCCCGTCAGCTCTGCCCTCTCGAATAAATTTCCCGGGTTCGTTTTGCAACAGTTGTCAAGCATATCCTTTTGAATATGATTAAAATCAAAAATTTTCGATTTAATTCTAAAATATACTTTGAAGTCATATTTTGCACACTCCTCGGCAGTCTTCACTTTGGCACTCTAATTACGGAAAAGTAATTTAAATAATTCTGAAAAATTGGGAAATAATTTACAAGGCCTGAAGTGAAATATAGGGCAAGAACGAAAGATAATAACCAGAACCGCATTTTGCTGTCGGAAAACTGAACTGCGCCGAATGCAACGGCGCGGTTTTGCAAGCGGAAAAGCGGAAGTCATCAGCAACTCACAGGAAAATAACGAGATGCGATCGCGGGAATACCTGATAGCCTTGGGATGTATCAAACGTCAAAAACCATGTTGACGTGGGTTCAGCAAAACAAAATTGCGTTCCGTCACACCACTGTGACTTTTTGACGCGCAAATTTTTTTAATTAAAATTTTAAATGATCACTGAACTGATTTTCAATTAAAAATGAGAAAAAAAGCAATTTTCTAAATGAAATTCAACGTGTTTAATGTTTATGAAAAAAAATCCTCAATTTATTTTGAAAAAATTCAGATTTATAATTAAGTAGAATCTAGAATGTTTTTAATAAATAAATTAAAAGTAGAAATTTGAACATTTTAGTTCATTAAACCAAAAACAAAACAATTTGTTTTCACAACTAGAGAGTAGAAAAATTACAGTAATTATTGAAACAAATTTGAATAAAACCAATTAAAAAACTTAATTTTTTCCCTATAAAATCAATTAAAGTTGTTCTTAACGTCACTGGCGATACATACAAATTAAGATATAATTAAATTCAATCATAAATTAATTATGACCGATCCTCTCTCTTTTGCCTAAAAATGGTTGTAAAATATTTTTTAAATCAAACTTAAAACTGGAAACTTTGGAAGATTTTTTCACTCTTCATTCTCGGCAAGCATGTTTGCTGCAGGCCACTGAAAAAACCATTTCCTGTCTCTCCCTATATCAATGGAATAAATTCCTCAAAACTAATGACACAAATTTTCTCTCTACATGCTTCTTGAAATTTATATATGAAGCATTCCTGAAGTTAATAAAATTAAAAAATTACCCAGGGAATTCAAATTAAAATATGATTTCAATATGAGGTCGCCTTGATCAATTGAAGCAAGTTCTGCAATTAAGCTGTAAATAATAAACTTTCAAAAGTTGCAGCTGATTTTTTTGTTTAATTTAATTCATTCCAAAGGGTTGCTTTTAATCCGGCACCCAGCTTAATTAATGCAAGCCGTCGGTATTATGTAAATAAGGAGTAAAGAATGTATAAAGAGTTGCATAAGAGAGCAGATGGCCGGCGGCGAGTGTGCGAAAGAAAGTGCGACACCCATCGAGAATTATTATATGCAACCAGCAACGTATTAATTTAATTTCCTGCAACAAGAAAAGCTGCTGCAGGTGAACGTCTTGTGTGCAACGAGAGCGAAAGCAATCAATTCGAAACGGGGAAGTGGATTAAGTGTCAATTTCATTGAGGGGAAAACCAGAAAGAAAATCTCAAAATTACCATGTAAAATATTATAAATTGTTTATTTAAAAAAACTCCTGTAACACAGTTCTATTTTGGTCCATCAAAGATATATATTTTTTTTAGAACTCTTCACCTAAAATGATACTTTTTTTTAATAAATAAGTGCGTTTGCGATAAAAGCTTAACATATAATACAGAGGTTCAACTTGTGCGTATATAAAAAAGATGTGTGAGTGACAATGGTTGTGTTTAATTACAAATCGCGAAAATGGTTGAATGATTTAGCATAATGAATTGCGCAAGACTACAATTATTGGCCACTGGGAACATCATGTTTTGGCAGGGCGCCTCGGTTAATCGATTTCGAATTTCACTTTTTTTTCTTGTACTGCTGAAGCTGGTCCTCTTCTTTCGCTCCCCCGAGACGCCGCGATTCTAAAAAAGGAAAAATTAATTATTAATTTATTCAAAACAAGTCGAATCTAAAAATGAGGAAAAATATTAAATAAGTGTGTACAGATTTTATACATAAATAAATATATAAGTTTAGTAATTTATACAGGTCTGCTGGACCGAAAAAAAAATTGAAAATTTTCATTCCAAAATCAAATTTTAATTTGAAATGAAAATTGCTTCCGTTTGGTCTGGCTAAAACTTAAATTGCAAAATGGATAAAAAATCAATCAGATTATCAGAGATGAAATATTTATTATGTTTGGTTAATTTTCGAGGATGAAAATTAATATTGTTTTCTTTATAAAATAATTTTGGTCTGAAGGTAAAAATCCAAGTTTTTTTTATTTCATTCGGCTCATAACTTTTTATTTTCTTGAATCAGGAAAAAAAAGCGATACAGCTCTTTAAGAGTTCAATTTAACTTCTGAAAATATAAATTAAATAAATTAATTAAGTTTTTAATGTTTTTTTTCTTGGATATATCAACGAAATATTATCTCAATTTGTGAAAACAAAAATTTTGATTCAGAGAAAGTGGATTTTTACCAATTTTTTGTCAATTCGAACTTACTTTGAGACGAAAATAAATAATTAAATAATTTAAATCCATTAAATTGTTGCAATTCAAGTTTTGGTCAGAATCCTTTTGAAGAATCACTTAAACCGGAAGTTTAAAATGATACAATTTATCTATATTTGCAATTTTCTGTGATTTTTGATGAGTAATGCAGTGGCTGATGGTTATGCAAGTTGAACGAACTCAATGAAATGAGAGGTGAAAGTTGGTCAGTGCCGTAGCAGCCGGTTTTTTTTTAGGTAGGAGAATTATGGCATTATATAGAGAAGGGCGTTTGTCTCGTCGTCGTCTCTGATTTTTTTTATCCTGTTCCTTTCGCCGACGCTTTACTCACGCGAGATGATGCCGCTTTAGTGGTAGAGGTCGTAGCTGAGGGAGGGCTGGATATTGACCTGGACAGGCTCGTGCTGCCTGTAGCTGTCGTCGAACTGGCCGAAACTGTCCTCCAGGGAACCGCCGTAGGTCGGGACAGCATCTGCACCGAATTTTTAAATAAGCGTGTCAACCGTTTCTGGTCATTTCTATAAACTGCTTTAATTTTTATCAAATTTAAGGTGGTTTTTTTATTTGAATTTTTTAAATAAAGTTGAAAGAAGAAAATAAAACAAAAGTTTGCTGAAGATTTTGAAATGTAAAGAAAACATAAAATGCGTAAAGTCACAAACAAGGACATGCAGATTCAAAAAAATTAGTCACAGTCTGGAGTCGGATTTTTTGATTAAATTAGAACATTCAGGTGGAAATAAGCAAAGCGATGATGATGGAAGTGATTTTTTTTCCAATAGGAAAGAATTGCAACATAAATTTGTATAAACACAAAACATGCAGAGATGGAAAGGAATAGAAAATGGTCATTTTGGAAGGGAATTGAAATAATTCAAGAGAATTATTAAAATGTAAAAATAATGACAATAATAATAAAAATGATAGGATACACGTTAAGGAGAAACACACATAGTTAAGAATCATGCGACGAATAAAAGTAAAAAATATGAACACAAATATAGCACACAAAAGAATATAGACTTCCCCACCAAAGGAAAAACTGAATTTTGAAGAATAAAAAAATTGAAAAATAAAAACCAATTGATGCAAAGATGTACAAAGAAAATTTAAAGCATAAAAAAAATTCCTGAAATTGAGAATATTTTTCAAATAGAAATAATTAAATTAATATAATTTATTATTTAAAAAATCCAAAAAATTTAAATTTATCATAATTAAGTTGATTTCTTTTTAATCAATATCAGTTTGAAATTTTTACATAAATGTCTACAATATCTACAATGAAAATGTTCAAAATTAACAAATAAAAAAATTAACAAATAAAAATTTTAAATTGATCCTTTTTCAGAAAAGGGTACTTACAGGGCTTGTAGGCGACGGCAGGGGTGGAAACGTAGGCGGGGGCGGGACTGACGGTGTGCAATTTGTGGGCCACGTGGTTGCTGACGGCGTCGGCGGCGCCGACGGCCAGGTTGGCGGCGCCGTGAGCGGCGCCGGCAGCGATGTTGGCGGCGCCAGCAGCGGCACCGACGGCCAGTCTGGCGGCGCCGTGCGCAGCGTGTCCGACGGCTCCAGCGACGGCGCCGGCGGCGCCGGCGACGGCGTTTCCGGCGGCGCTGGCCACGGAGGTCGCAACGTTGACCTTGGCCAGCTTGGCCTTGTACAGGGAGTTCAGGACGCCGCCATTGTGAGCGGGGGCGGCGGCGTAATAGGAAGGTCCGGAGGAGACGTAGGCGTTGGGGGCGCCGTAGGTCGCGACGGGGGCGGCGTAGGCCACAGAGGGTGCGTACTACATTTATAACAAAAAAAAATTAAATTGAAAATAGAAATTTCTCTAAATTATTAAAAATTTTGTCTCAAATTAACTTTAATTTCACTGAATTTCACTTAAAACAATAAAAATGCTGTGATTTAATCTGCTAAATTACCAAGTTAATTTAAGAGAAGGTTTAAATTTAAAATCTGTAGAGTGTAATTGATAATTGACTATTTTAAACTTAACATTGTTAGAAAATTTTAAACATGACATTGCACGAATAATTATGATTTGTTTGAAATATACAAATTTAAATTTAAATAATTCAATAAACTTCTCAAGTTGTGAGAGAATAAAAACCTTGGATTTAAATTGAATATTGGGATTTGATAATTAAAAATAGACAATTTTTATAAACATTTTATCTGAAAAAATATGTGTTTTACCAATAAAACCTTCAAAATCCATAAATTGAAATTAAATAATAATCAAATGATATTATTTAAAATGAAAAATTAATATTTTCTTTTTGTGAAATTTCCAGATGAACTCACCGAGAGTTTAGGGGCGGAGTAGAGTGCCTTGGAGGCGACGCCACGTCCGAAGTCGGCCACGGTCTGTCCACCGCTGGCGATCAGCTTGCCCTGGGCGGCGACCAAGTTTCCGGCGCCCTTGATGACCTGACCCTTGACGGCGATGGATCCACCGGCGACGGCGCGGGCGGCGGTGAAGATCGCGTTGATGATGGCCCTCTTGAAACCCCACAGGTCAGCACCGTGGGAAGCGGGATAGTGGTCCTATTTTTTCAAAAAACAAAAATAAATTAAAGAATTTGATAAAAAAATTATTCACTACACAATAATTCTTAATTCCTTTACGATCAGAATCTGTGATTTCTGGAAATTTAATAAATAGTTTATAAATGAAAATCTCGATCTTATTTAAAAAAATTTATATTGGAAACATTTTTATTAAAAATTAGTTTTGTAAAAAAAAAATTAATTTAAGTTTTAAAAAAAAATTCATTTTCAACATAAAAAACTAATTTTAGGCAATTTTTATTAAACTTTTATATTTTTTTTTCATAAAAATTTATGTAAATTTTTCTTACAGGCACGTGAGGCTCTTCGTAGGCGTAGGCAGGGCTGTAGCTGGAGCCGAAACTCCTCTTGGCGTGCTCGTTGTTGTCCTTCTGCAGGGCGGCGTCCAGTTGGGACGTCTCGAGCAGCAACTCAGCGGCCTCGTCTCTCGGCTTCAGGGAAGCGGCCGCCGCGACGCTCATCGCCGCACAGACCACGGCCAGACACATCAACTGCAGGTTTTCAAAACAATTTATGTTAATAATTCTCTAGCAATTTTGACCGCGAGCCAAAAACCGATTAATTTTCATTCGACGTTTCATTTCCGAAAGCGCTTTCTTTCATCCGCGGCGCTTTGCCAGCAAAACAAACAGGCAATAATTATATGTGCCTAAATTATTTTCACCGTGAAATTTCAATATAATTTCTCGAGACGGGCCTTGACTTTGTGAGGAGAAAGTTGCAAATTTTATTGACCCAACCCCGCGTCTATGCGGTTCGCGCATAGATTTCCGAACATGCTTGATCCACGTGGGAGAAAAAAGTCGTTCGACTTGACCCTTTAGTGTGAATTTCCCCATTTGGATCGATTCTATAATATTGCAATTTGAGCTGGACGTCTAAATTATGTGGGAGAATAGTTTAAGCATGAGTTTTCTTGATAAGAAATAAAGTAATTTAAAAAAAAAAATCTACAAACTTAAGTAGGCTCTTAATAATTTTTGTAATCAAAAAAGTTCACAAAAAGATGTTTTTTTTATCCAAGAGAGGCAAAAATTGACAATTTTGGTCAAATAATTAAAAAGGTTAATATTTACTGACAAAATTAAATTAATATTTCTACAACTGAAGGCTCCTTTAACTTTAATTTGTTAGATATTTTGAAATAAATAAAGAAAAATTAAAATTTTATAGTTAAATTATTCGCCCCTTGATCCTAATTTGCTTAGTTAACTTCCCTATTTTTTTATTAATTGGTTTTTACGCAAATTTTCATTAGATTATTTTCAAATCATTTTTCCATAGGTCAAATTTAATTTAAAAAAATTGCTTCAACACTCAATTTTTCTGATAAAAATTAATTTTATTTAAAAAAAATTACGTTAATTAAGCAAAGCATGATTTCTATAAAAAAAAAATTGATACAAATCCCTTTATATTAATATTTTAATGTCGATGTTTATTTGCATAAATTTTCATTAATATTTAAAAACAAATTTTATTTTAAAAATGAATTTATGTAAATAATCCTTGAAAATGTTACTTGGTGATTTGTTTTTTTGATAAATAAATTGAATTATTTAAAAAAACCTTAACCTTGTCTGATTGTGAGTTTGATTAATTCTGTAAAATTTAGAATTGATTAATTTCTCCTCTTAAAAGGAGCCTTGACGCCCAAAGAGACAAAAGTTCTGACTTTTATTTTTAGAGTGCTTTTTTTCAATTAATTTTATCTTCAATATAAAATGACTCACTTAAATTTGGCTAGGTCACGTCACTTTTTATTGAACTGCAGAACCAATTCGCCAGGTTAGAAAACGATTTTCTTGTTTTGCATAGAGATAAATAATCTTGGGCGTGCTAACGTTATATTTTTTCTGTGTCTCAAGAGAGCGGATGGAAATTTCGTCACCACGCTCCACATTTGCCGCTGACCAAGAGCTCGGTCGGTGTCTCGATCTGGTTGCCCAATGTCTGCAGGCGATGGGAACAATCTCGGCCACCGACTGCACAAATTGGCGCGTGCAATAAAATGAGCCGAGAATTTCAATCAGAGACCTTCCAGCGTTCGCAGAAAAAAAAATGAATGGAAAAAAGAGTTAATGGATTTTTAAAAATTATTGCAGATGGACAGTTTGTCCCCCGAGGGAGAAATTATATTATTTGGTCTAGTTCGGAATTATATAGGATTGGTCACGGTCAGTTTCGTTCAAGGGCAATGTTTGGAAATCCGTCCGGTCTGGCTCGCTCAGGAATTGGACCAATTATATTTCCAAATGTTTTCGGATGAGAAATTAGCATTGAACTTCCATTAAGAAATTAGAATTTTGAAATTATTTCAACAGGAGAAACTTTAGTACTTTTAAGATCCAATATGAAATTTATTTTAATTACCAGCAATTATTGTTTTTAAATAAATATTCGCTGTAAAAATATGAGTGAAATTAAAAAAATTCAGAATATTTTTAATTTAAAACATCGGAAGTTGTTAGCACAAAATCTTTGTCTTTTTAATCCAAAAATTAAAAGTTTTCCTAAAAAAAATTAATTATTTTTTCTATGTATATTTAATTTATTTCTGACCAAACAACATTATTAATAAAAATACCATTTTTTTATAATCGAAAGATTCACAGTTTTTGGGCTTTTTAAATCTAAACAAAAGTGCAGCTTCTCTGCTTGATTGTAAAAAGTGAGAGTTTTTTTTACAGCAAATTGAGTGCAGATCATCATCGGGAGAAAACTTTGCTTCCAAATCGATTCGAGCCGTTTCACCAAAACATACACTACGAATAAATAAATAAATGGAAGTAGAGCGTGAATTGTCGTCTTTTATATTGCAAGTCAAATTGTCCGCAGCATTGACGCGTTTACTGCGTTTATGGAGTAACGAGAGCATTACCGTCACTGCCACGGCCAACAAAACAAAAAAACAAAGACGGTAAAATAAAAAGTATCAAGATCGTGCTCACGAAAAACCATCCGTCAGGCTCCATTGATGCGTCCAATTGATGTGAGAACAAAAGATTAAGTTGATAAAAATATGAAATTCAAAATAAATTTAAATATTTATAAAAATGTTAATTAATAAATTTTTTTTAAAGAAATTTTCAAAGAAAATATTTAAAATTGTACTAAATGAAAAAAAAATTAAAATCTTATTGAATCTTATGAGATTTCGGAAGATCTGCTACAATTTTTGGGGCTTTTTTGACCAACAATTAATTTTTTCCGAATAAATAAATTCATTTTGTGCAAAATATAATCATTTATCTTGTAAAATAAACTGATTAAGTAAAAGAGTTAAATACTTCTCGTATGAATAACAAAATGGAATTGCCAGTTGCCCTACTTAATTGGATCGAATTGCAATTTTTATTGTATTAAAAACATTCATTTCACGCTTGAATTATCTCCAAGCATTTCCTTCCTTCGAGACCCACTCGAGTGCGATTACGAGACATCAGGATTACGTCAACTTATTTTATATATTTATTGAAATAAAATTAGTTACTCAGAGACGAAAAGTGACAATATTGACAAAACTTTCACAAAGAATTTAATAGGATACACGGCAGTAGCACACTTTGAGATTTTTTACTTCCGTTCACTTTGTTAGTAAAAGTGATGGGAAAGGGCGCCGGATGCAACTGGATACACCACGATTTACTTTCAGACTGAGAAAGGCTCTTATATTTGCACCGCAAGTCATAAAGGTTCTTCACTTTTCCAAGCAATTTTATAATAATAAATCAAAAAAAAAAATTAAACTGTTGAGAAACAAGGGTTCGTGTTAATTATATTATTTATTTTTTGTTTAATTTTTTCCTATTCCCCGAAATTAATTAATCTTTTTTCTGGGAGTGGTGCCGATTTGGTACAAGGCCAAATTAATTCATTTACTTTTTGTCGTTAAAACGCGTACGGCACCTGTTTTTATTTCTTATATATGGTGCATAATTTTTTTTTCCGCTTTTATATTGGGCGTTAAATTGCGCAAGTGGTGGATTCGAAAAAAGAATCAGAGTATGATATAACTCGTTCTCGCTCGGCTTCCTTTCACCGCGCCCGAGATATTTCGCTGCAACCCACATGCGTGCATAAAATATACGCATGGCTTATAAGCGGCGGCGGTGCGCACAATTAAGCCAGAAAATCGGTGGCGAATGTCGCGTGGCGAAATCTCATGCTTTTTCAATGGCATGTTGCGTTTGAAACCGGAGAGAAAAAGTGCTTCGTAAAAATAGGAAATGTAAACAAAAAAATATGATAGAATCAACGCACAAGGTTGGAGTAATTAAAACACAATTTACAATTCCGGTTTTTAGTCAAAACAGTCGAGGAGAAAGAAAAAAATTTAAAAGATTAATTTATAATTAAAATGTGAGAACTTTGAATTTTATCGTAACTTTATTTTGATTAATCAAAGAATGCTGCAAAAACTTAACAATCAATTTTGGTCAAAAATGGAAAATCTCCACGAAAGAAATTTTTGATCGGGAGGAAATCAGTGCCTTTTAAGGACTCCTTATTGACATAGTCAAATCAAGTCTGTGCAACAATAGAAGCAATTTTGGGCAATTATTGCAAATTTAACAAACCAAAGTAAAGACTTGATTTGACTATGTCAATAACGTGTCCTTAAATTTCTGAAAATGCAAATTTTTTACTCCAGAGTACAAAAATGAGGAACAAACAAACAAAAGATTTGATACGACTTATCAGAAAACGTTCCTTCAAAAACTTTGTGAAAAACCTTTAATTTTCAATTTTTAAGTAATTCTTTATCTTTACAATCTATTTTTAGTTGATTTTGTACACTTGAAGCTCCAATTTGGAATAAATAATATTTAATTGTAATAAGTGGTGGTGTATTTTCCACCAAATCAGTTTTTCCCTCTCAACAATTAATTGTCTTTATATCAATGTAAAATTTCAGCAACAATTAAAAAAACTAATTAATAATAACAGTTTTATAATGTTATATATTTGCCTATAATAATTAAAAATTGAAATTAATTTATAATTTGCTGCTTTAAAAAAAATTAATCATTCAATTAAACTTAAAACTGCTTCAATTAAATTTAATTCTTCATTGCAAATTATTTAAAAAAAAAAAAAATAGCATGACTTGATGTAATGTGAATTAAAAAATTTCCAATTTACATATAAATCTGAATTATTTCATTGCATTTAAATTTCCATTAACGATTTTTTAATTCATATTCTTAAAAATCACTAATTTCAACGAACTATTTTAAATCACGACCTTAATTATACAAGTTTCAATCCACTTTATGAAATTTAGCGAAACAAAAACATTGCTAATATCAATGCAACTCACCTTGTTCATCTTGGCAAAGTGCGTTTAGTCCTCTGTGTTCTTGGTACCAAAATCCTAGCACTGGCACTTTTCCCTGCTGTCGCGATTAAAACTGAGACCATTTTTGCCGGGCGCCGGTCTTATATGTAGAGATGCAGGTGCCTCTCCTCCCACCTTCCCTCCGCAGTTCCGACGAGAGTGAGAGTTTTCCTCTCTTACTCGAGCTGTGAGATAATCACGCATATTCACAACTCGCAAAGAAAGCGAGTCTGGCCGCCGAACGAACAACAACGAGCACCGAGTGCGGCCGTTGAATTTTAATTCGCAAAACAAAAAAATTTCACAAATTCAAATTATTGATGTGAGAGTGTTTTTAATTAAAATTAAATATTATAAATTGCTAAAAATAAATATCAAAAAAATTTAGGAAAAAATTTAATTAACTCGAATTTTGTAAATAATTTATTGGAAAAGCAAAAATTTCTAAAAATCTCAATAATTCCTCTCGTTTGACAAAATTGAAACAAGTTTGAGTGGAAAGTGAATTATTTTTGATATGCTGCTTAATTAACCTGATCATCTTGCAAGGTACTTGACGAACTGGAGCAATTTGGAGAGATTTCGCAAAACTGAAAAAAAGAAGTCGGGAGTACGTGCGGCGCGACTCGCCGAGCCAGTTTTAATAACGAGCAGGTCAATCGAAAATTGCATGCATAAGGGCTGCGACTGCTTAAATGTGTCCCGGATATTTATATATACACGAATATATTTCATGCTCTTTTCCGAAGCAGGTTGCGCGACTCGAAAGTTCCTCTCCTTCCTGGTCGCGATTAAATTTTAGACTAATTAAAGAAGATGGAATTTATATCGTGAGGAGACGAAAAAATTTGCCTTTCAAGAGATGACCTTTAATTGTTTTTATTGGTCTTCCTTGACTGAAGTTTTGCAAGAATAATATACAAGTTTGGTTTTTATGCAAAAGCCACAAAAGACGTAGAGGTTGAATGGAGACTGCAATCGTCCGAGAAGTATGCAATTTTTTATATAAAAAAAACTTCTAGACAATTTGTAAAAGCTATACTGAATTGTTTCAACTTTTAAATTTTTGTACTAATTTGGTTTATTTTTTAAATTGAATCTACAAAACGATAAATCTATAAACGCCAGAATTTTTGAGAATTTAGAATTTATTTCATCAATCACAAAGAAGTGCATCAAAATTAGAGACATAAATCTGATTCAAGTTTTATTTTAGTTTATTGTAATAGAAATTTTGTTATATATTTCATGCTTTTCTTAATTTTACAAATAATTTACTATATTAAGTTTTGCGAAAATAAATAACAGCGCATGAAGCAAGGCCGCATCAAAAGTATATAGGGGAGGATTTTGTTCATTTTATTAACAAACGACCTAAAAATCCATTGAGGAATTAAAACCCAATCACTGTGGAAAAATTATTAATTAAAATTAACATTATTTAAAAAATTAAATCGTTAATTAACTATATGTGTTGAGTACTTATTACTAAACTGAATATCAAAAATTTTATTTTAAAACATTTAAGCAAAAAATTTTAATTATAAGATTAACCAGAATATTTTGTAATTTCCTTTTTCTCCAGAGAGGGCTCCACGTTTTTTTTCTTTTCAATTAACTTCTTGCTTGAAATGAGTGTAAATGAGAAGTTTGCCAATATATTTTTTCCTCACCATATATAATTATACAACTAATCCCTTCAGCAACCGCATCAAAACCATTTTCCTCTTGTCCTCTCCTTTTTAATTCTCCGGCTAATTACCGACAAGCGTGTTGTACAACACCGTGTGTGTCGGTTGAAATATAATCATATTTTTACAATTCGGTAACGTCTGTCGAGAAAGTTGATCAAGGTCGTCGACCGCACCGATTAATTGAAACCCCAGCGAGACCGAAAATAAGCACGTTGTGCGCCGCGTAATCTATTATACCATTAATTCTCACTGAATTATAGATCGGACGAAAAAAAATCTTGGGTCGGCACCTTGACCGTATGCAACGGTGTGTGCGCGTAATAACATTCAATTCTCTGCTCGCGCGGCACACTCGAGTTGCGATAGCGGATTACCGCAAATCTGTCCGGCAAAAAGAAACCTCTGTGCACCGCGCGAGCCACATCTTTTTGTCCCGATTACTCCACAAATTGAATAAAAAAATAGTGATAAAATGAAATCCTATGTGAGATTGATGAATTAATTAAATTAAATAATAAAAGTAATTTATTTAATTATTTCCTGAAAATTGTGAAATTTTATAATTATCAAAATTTATAAAAGAATTATGCAGTTTTTTTTTAATTAATTAATTTATTTGCTATTTTAATAAAGAGTTATTTTAATCCGTATTATTTTAAAGATAGATAAAATACCTGTTTTGAAAGTCCAACGGAATATTGTTGTCTAAAACTGAGTAAATTTTAAATTAAAATTCATCATTTCCAACTCATTTTGAAATTGGTTTTACTTATCACTTATCCACAATTATTACAACAAAATCTTTATAAAAAAATCAATTGTTGTGAGGGAAGTATTGATGAATTGTTGGACAAAAAGGAGCCTTCATTAGCAAAAATTGTGCGAAATCATTTTTTTAAACTGTTATAAAATGCAATCTGTAATTAATTCTGCTTTAATTTTTTCTACCCTACTTTCAGTATCAAAGAGATTATTACATTTTATTAATGTGTTTGTCATTGAGACAGAGAACTGTTCAGCTTATAAAAAATATGCAAAAATATTAAGGTATCAATTAGCATGCGTAAGAAAGTTACCGGTGCGCGGCCGGCTGAACAAAATCGCGGTCTTGCTGCTAAATAACTCATTTAATTCACGGCCCGCATGGACAGTTATGGTGAGGTTTTCATGTCAAGCCGCATGCATATGCAAGTGCACCTTCACCCAAATCACTTGTTTTTCTTTTCACTCTCTTGGGAATATGAAATAACCACACTTGCGCGATATTGATACCTTTCTGTTGAGAGAAAAGAAAACAGGAATTAACTGTTGCACTGGTTGGAATAATTAATGACAATAAGAATTTTATTAACAAAAAAAAAAAAAAAAAAAGATGAATCAATTTGAAAAGCATAAAATAAAACCAGAAAAATTTTGAGCATTAAAATCTCCGAAAAATATGGTGAAATTATCCTTTTTCTTCTTCTTAAAATCCAATAAATTCTTATTCATTTGTTTTAAAACAGATTTTTAGAAAAAAATCAAAAATTTCATTTCAACTTACTTTTGCGAAAAACAAAAAATATTTCAAATCAAATTTTGTAATTTACCAAATTTTTTCATTGTCTATTTTCAAATAATTTTGCCTCTAATTATAATATTTATATAGTGTGAAAAGTCACACTACACTATTTATTTTCTTCAATACAATCAAAAATGCAAATATTTTTAAATTATTAATTCTTTTTATTGAAATATTTGTCATTCATCATATAGAAAGAGATCATTTCAAAATTTCTTATAATCAAAGTTCATCAAAATTTGCGCAGATATTTAAGCACAAAAGTAAGTGCTTTTTTAGTTTCTCACTCTACCTAAAGGACATTTCGCACTTTGCAATGAGGTACGTCTCATGTTCGTGGCGGTGGATTTTTTCCATCGCATTTTCCTCACAAGTCTCAGAGCAGAAGAAATTCACATCAGGGTACTCTTCTTCCTCCGAGCACTCTTTGCAAGTTATGAATTCCTCAGGATCGAGTTTCCCGCACCACCTGCAGTGCTTGATCGGGAAGAAAGTGATTTCTCCCTTGTTTTTCAGTTTCAAAGTCATGTCAGGGTTCACATGACTCAGGATTGAACTGTAGAATTTGTCGTTGGCGCTGGATTTGGCGCTTTCGAGTGAGATCAGAGACTGGTCCTGTCTGTCCGAATTGTTGAACCACTGAGAAAGCACCTGCTTCGTCTCCCAAGGGTCATTTCTTACAACGCCAAACACGGCTCGCTCTACTTCGTCCAGTGGCTCCAGAGATTTGAAATCTGTTTGGAATCTTTTCCTCTTTTGAGGATCCAAGTTGTTCACAATTAAGTAGATGAGAATTCCAGCAATTTGCTCGAGGCGCAGAGATTCAAATTCCAACTCGAGTGTTTTGTCCACTTTTTGCAAGAACAATTTTCCAAACAGAATGTCCGAACATTTGTTGAAGAGCCCGTCGTGGTCAATTTTCAGTTTCTTTGAAGTTAACAGACCATTCAATAGGTCGAAGAACAGCCACAAGCCCTGATTATGCAATTTGGTTGAAAACATTTTGTCAGGGAAATCAGTCAAATTCAAATCACGGGCCGAAGTGTTCAGAGATTGGGCCACTTTGGACAGAAATCTGTAAGCATGCTTGGAACTGATGGCAAAATTGTTCTCCCACAACTTGTCTTTTCCTCTGAAATCGAGGTGAGAGTCAAAAACTAGGAACATTTTAAACTGCTCGAGGAAAATGGAATCGAGCACAGGGACAGGAGGTCCTCCTTGGAAAAGTCTCTTGTACTCAGATTGGACGCAATTTAGTTTCCACTTCAGGGCATCAGCAAATGACACCTTGGAGGTCTTCGAGAGGAGAGACAAAACACTCGGGATTGAGTGGTCGCTCCAGTTCGAGGAGGAAACGCACTTCGATGTCTTATAGTTGGAGAGCAAAGTGAAGACAACAATTTTGTACTTGTCCAGAACACTTTTCTGTTTGCTCCACTCCTTGTCTTTGGCCAGAAATTGATAGGCAGCGACGAACCAAGGCAAGACATAGTGGACAACATTGATCTCGTAGGGGTAGTCAGATTTCTTCTTGTCCAAATATTGGGATTTCACCATGTCCAGGTCAGTTTGGTCAATCATGCTCTGTTAAAAAAGTAAATAATTTGAAATTAAATAAATTGAAGCACATTATAGATTTTGGTACTAACGCAGAATCCATTAACCAAATCAGCGGTGCTGAGAGTTTTCAGGAGCGAGTAGCTAATTTTTCCTGGGGTTGCTCGGTCCACCAAATCTTCGATCCAAAAGCCAAGATCGATAGTCCAGTTCTCCTCAAACTTCTCAGCATGCCCTCGGAATTCCGCAACGTCCTCGTTGTAGAGTTTTTGCTGCCTCAACATTTCACTCCGTTCTTTCGAAGCAATTTTCGGGGCTTGCGGTAAAATACCATTTTGAGACAGATACACCCAGACGGTCGTCTTCAGGGTTGCATTGCATTCCTCTCGAGCAAAGTCAGCATGGGCAAGGAAAATGCTGTGCAAAAGGCCAAAATCCTCTTCGCAAATACCTTTGCAAGCATCTGAAAAAAAGAAAATGAATAAAATAGAAAAAAAATAGCTTAATTACTTTTCAGTATTAATTATTTTTCAAAATTAGGATCCATTTCTGAGCTTAATTTAATTTAATTTGAAAGCAAAGAATTTCTTTTTAATCTAAATTCAATTCTTTTAACTTTAACTGATCTCATTTTTTTTTTAATTATCGCACCTTTGAACCAGAGTAAAGTGTTTTCAAATATTCCAGCGAACGGGTGCTCGTAATAATTTTCTTCGGTGATGTCCAGCAAGCCGATAAGTTTCTCCACATTATTTCCAGCTGCCGCCAGCCACTCTTTCTCAAATGCAATATCTTCCTTCAGGTACTTGTTAAGTGCCGTGAGAATGGCTTTGCTGCTGTAATTATTATGTGACGAGTCCACATTGTAGAGACACTTCTCGGTCGGCGTTCCGACCTCTTCAGGCTGAGGATTTTTGCTCTTCTTCTTCTCACTCGGCCATCCCTGCAAGGCCAGCGAACATTTGTTCTTCTTCCAGAAGAGGAAAGGATTGTAGATGCTCCAACTGAGCAGATTGAGCGAGGGTTGCTTCGAGCCCATCAATTTGGACGGATTGTCGAAATTCAGACTGAAAGACATGGACTTGTTCTTCCACAGCTTCAGATTCCAAAACACTTCGCGGTGTCCGAAGCCGAAGTAGTCCAGAATATTACTAATCTTGAAGATGGTCACGATTTGTTTGTGATCGACTCTGAATGGCTGATTGGGTTGGAGAGGCTTCGTGATCAGACCGCTCAAGTACTGGAAAAACGAGTCGATGGCTTGCAGCAACATTTGGGCCAATCTGCGGAGATGTTCGTGGATGCTGTCAAGGACGGGGTCAATGTCGATGGCAGGGGCCAAACAAAGCTTTGAGCAAATCTTGAGGTAGAAACTGTAGACGACCACCAGCCATTGATTCAGCAGAGCCGGATTGTGAAGAATTTGCAGCAGAAGCATCGGATCCATTATGTACGCTTTGGGATAATACATGGCGGCTTCCTCGAAACGAGGCTGAAATTTAAATATATAAATGTTAGATTAATAATTTATCTTGAAAAATATTTAATAATTACATCAACTCCTTTTCTAACTTCTCTCAGGTACTTGATGATGTTTGTCTTCATCAATTCTTTGTAGTTTTCTCCGGCGTGAAGGATTTTGTAAAACTCCTTTCCGTGGGCAGCGTTGGTCCAGAAAAAATACAAAGCACTTCTCATGCCTTCCTGCGGATTCTCATCAGCGTTTTGGAACATGTTGTACGACTTGTTCAGGTACCTGCGAAAACAGTTTAAATAATTTTTTATTTTTGCAAACTTAAAACTCACTCTCGGGGTAAAACGAAGGGCATTGCAAGATCCCAGGTTTGATAGAAGAAGGCGTTGAAATCCTTTTGAGCTGGAGAATTTTCGCCGGTGACAAATTCTCTGAAGAAAGCTGTGTCGGAAATCTTCAAGTTCGGATCCGTCACCTTGGGTTCGTTCCAAGGAACCTTTGGAGCGGCAGAATGAATTATGTGACTCTGCTGTGGTTTTTTCTTTGCTTTTAAATAAGCATTTAGTTTTTCGTTGTCAAATTCAACAATGGTTTTGGCACCCATTGAATTGAGGTACGCCATCGCTTGTCTGTAAAAATTAATAAAAATTAGTCCTAAAATATAAATCAAGCAAAACCTCGGATAAAATTGAAGAGAAATTATAAAAAAATATCACGTAACAAAATATTTGTTATGACTGTTGGTTCATAAATTAAAAAAAAATAAACAACAACAAAAACAGCAAGAACAACAACTCATTGATTTGAAATATTTGCTACAGAAATAGAAGGAAATTCTTCACCAAAAATTCAATTAATTGATTGAATAATGAACTAATTATTCAGGATTCAGAGAAATATAACGAATTGAGATTATAAACTACTATAAATTAACTATATGGGATATAAATGAATCGTTTTTGTTGCTATAGTCGAAAATTCATCATGGACATCGGACAGCATGCAAAAAAATGAAAATTTCCTTTTGGTAAATACATAATTAAGATTTGCAGATTATTGTAAAATGCACTGTTCATATATTATAACAATTCAAGATCTTTCATTGTAATATAAAAAGGAAAAATGCATACCTGGTGTGCTCTTAAGAGCCGAACAAGTGGAAAACCAAAACCATGTGCTTCTGTTTACAAGCAGAGGGTGCGGAAAGAAGCGGCAGAGGGCATCGGTGGACGGTGTGTCATTGTCAGGTGGTTGGTCAGGTGCGCAAGTCAGGTGAGCTCAAAAGCGCCACTTTCCAAGCCCGCGCTCTCATCCGTCCTTTGCCAGGAACACGCGGAATAATATAATAATTATTCAATGGACGCAAAAATACCAAAAATAAGCTAACATTTTCCACTGATGCTAAAAATTTAAATCTACAATTGATTATTTTTGCAGCTTCTGTAAAATGGAAAAGCTTGAAAAAATATATTATTTGAGGGAAAGATACATTTAATCTACTTAGTTAGAGAGAAAGAAACCTTCAGAAGTTTTCATTTATTTTTATAAAAAATATATTTAAAAGTAACGGTTTTTTTTTTAATTTTTTGAAATTACTCTGCAATGGATCTTTTTCCGGTAGCAAAAAAAAAAAAATTTATTCATCATTGCAATTTATAATTTAATTTAGATCAGATGAATAAATTTTTTTTTTTTGAAAATTTTGAACCCGGCGAACTTCGCTGCAAAGAAAAGAAAAAATAAACGCTGTTACTTTAAATACTTTTGTTGTGTCCAGACTAACACTAAAAGGGAGAAATTTATAGAAAATTAAAAATTAAAGGCCTGCCTGTGGCAGAATTTGTGATAAGGTCATAAAATATGTCAACCGAATGGGGTCTTTTTAATCATGAAAGTTTTCAATTCTTGCTATTTATGGTGCTGTTTTATCCAACAATTCCTTTTTCAAATTGTTTCAAATTATTGGTTTTTCAACGATTGAATGTAAATGTTTATTTGGACAAATAAACAACAGTAATAATGGGGCGAATTTAATTAAATAAACAAAGATTGTTGAAATTAATTATATAATTGAGTCAGTGATTAGCTTTATGACTTTGTCAAATTTTGTGGAAAAAAGAGTTGACTCTTGTATTTTTTTCCTTTGCAACGAGGTTCGCCCGATTTCAATTTTACATGAAATCTGATTAAATCCACGTTAAATGTTGACATTCAATTTTATCTTATTTAAATTTTTATTTTTTACAAGCTTCTCCTATTGTTTCACAGAAACTATTCATTATTGAAATTCCTTTTTAATTTAAGAAAAATTTGATTAATCACCCAGATTTTTTTGCTTCATTCGACTGATTTTATTACAAAAATAAACGTCAATTTTGTTTACAATTAATTTAAAATTCAGATGAAGTGATTAAGCGGTATGGAGTTGGCAGGACTGTTGTTGTTGGGCTGGCTGCGTTTGAAACCGCGCGTGCGGCCGCACAGGACGGCCCTGAAGGCGCGGCGCAGTTCGTACGACGAGCACGCGTAGATGAAAGGGTTGATGCAGCTGTTGAAGTAGCCGAGCCAAAAGGCGAATGTGAACGGCGCGCCGCTCAGACCGCACGACGCACACGCCGAGTCTGCGAAAAAAATTTAAATTTAATTAATTTCAAAAGAAAAGAATTGAAATTTATTAAATGTTTATTTTGTAATAAATATCATTTAAATGAATTTCACGAAGAAATAAAATTAGATTAATTTTTTTTTTATCAGGTTTTTTTTAAGTTCACTTCAACATTTATTCTGAAAATGAACAATGGCGAACATTCTAAGAGACTTTTTTGATAATAATAATATTATTATTAATTAATTATTATTAATTATTTGAGTTTTTTTTTCATGCGTTTAATGGCAAAATTTTAAATTTTTCTTCATATCCCGTTTGACAATTTTTTTTTATAATAACAAAGAACTCGTTAATATTTTAATTTTGGACTTTTTCAAAATTTTCAACAAGAATTTTTTCATGTAAAAAAAGATTTTTTCTTACCTATTGGTAGAATGATGAAGAACGGAAGCCAACAGACGAGAAATCCACCGACGACGATCGCCAAAGTTTGGGCTGCCTTCTTCTGCCTCGTGAACTTCGACGTGCAAAGAATGGCCGCCCTGGTGGAGGCCCTGGTCAGCAACGGCCGCTGCCTGCTCATCAGGCCGTTGGCGTAGTGCACGCGAAGGAAAACGTCTCCGCACACATTTTTGCCACTCTCGATTTCGCTCGACCTCTTCGCAACGGCTCGGTAAACCTTCAAATCACACAAAATTATCAAAAATCAATTAAAAAGAAAAGAGAATAATAAAAAATTATTAATTTAAATCAATATCATAAAGTAAAATAGCAATGAAATAAAGTTTTCATCATCTTCATCTCATTGGGAGTTATTTTTAATTTTAAAAAGGTCGAAGGTTAAAAATACTAAATTTTTTCAGAATTTTTTAATATCGTTTATTATTTCCATTAACCCTTTCAGAAATTTTAAATTTATTTTTAAACAATTAGAAAAAAAAACAATAAATCCAACTATGTTTTGGACAATATTTTTTTGAAAAAAATGGATTAAATTCAATTTTATAAGTTTTTAAGATAAAAGGGAATGAATAATCAAACCTGAAAGTACAGAATGACGATGACCAGCATTGGCAGATAAAAGGAGCCAACGACAGAGAAAATGACGTAGTCGAGCTGTTTGTTGACGCCGCATTCTTCGCCCTCGCTTGTGTCATTCCAGCCCAGCGGCGGCCCAATGCTGATGGCCAACGCCAGGGCCCAGATTAGCAAAATCATCCAGCCCGCACGTCTCTGAAGTAAATTTTCAGATATTTATTAAAAAAACAATTAATTATTATGCATAATATGCGCGAGAAATATTATTATTTTGGCAATTTAATTTAATCTTACAATTAGTGATGAAAGCAAATATTTTATTTTCAAATTTTATAATTCACTAATGACTTTATGTTATAATTTGAATTTGCATTTTATTTGTCAAAATAGGAAATTATTTTCAATGCAAGACTCTTTCAAACTTGAGTATCAAGTTCAAAATTTTTTTTATCGATACTTGTCATAAATTAAGTTTTTTTCAAATGATTTGTGGTCTCAAAAAAAGCCTCAGGAAGTTCCCGCAATTAAAATTTTTTCGTCAGCCAACTTGTAATCAATTTAAATAAAAAATAAATTTTGATTATACTGAATTTTTTTAAAACCTTGGTGACAATTCCAGAGTAGGCGAGCGGTCTGGTGACTCCGACAAACCTGTCGACGGAAATTCCGCACAGGGATAGGATGGAGGCCGTGCAGCAGAGGACGTCGGCAGCCGCCCACACGGCGCACAGTCGGCGGCCGAACGGCCACTCGCCGCCGGCCAACTCGCGGGCGGCCGACAGGGGCAGCACGACGACGCCGAGCAAAAGGTCGGCGGCCGCCAAATTGGCGATCAGCAGGTGCGTCGGCGATCGGTGCAGCAGACCTCCGCACGGCGTGGCCAGCACGGCAATGATCACCAGCAGATTTCCTGAAAAAAAAAATCAAGTTCAGATTTCAATATTTCAAAAAGGAAAATAAAGCTCATAACAAAGAATTGTAATTTTTTTTTAAGAAAAAGAAAGCAAATTTATTTTGTTATGAAAAGAAAAATATTCAGATTATTTGTTCTTTTGCAACAAGTCATATTTATTTAAAGTAAAGGGTTAAATTTCTTAATAAAAAATTTGTTTAATTAAGAGTAAAAATCAGCTTAAAATAACTAAATAAATTAAATCTTTTCATGAACCCAAACCTGATGATCAAAGGAGGCGTTTTAAGTTAATTTGCTTGATGTTTATTTTCTCGAATTTTTCCTTAAATTTGAATATTTTTCGACAATTTCATTAATTTATCAATACCAGATAAGGATGGAAAATTATTTAATTAGCTCAGGTTTCTAAAGGAAACTTCTAAATTTCATTAGAAACAAAAATTCGAAAACTTTCTTTTAAATGTTGCACTGATTTTTGTTCAAATAAAAATGCAAACCGTGACCTACACTGTAATCGATTAAATAGAACAAGCACAAAAACACACACGCACAAACAAAACTAATTTGGGACACGCGGGGCGCGAGAATCGTTAAAAAGTCCATTTACCTCCAATGGTGAGCGCCACCATGAGGCCAAGGCCGGCCGATTTGAGGAACAGCGTCGAGTGCTCGGTGAGCGGCGCCGTCGGATCGTCGGTGTCGTTGTTCGGCGCCAAATCATCGGTCAGCTCAACACTCCAGTTCATCAGTTGAGAAAACCTTCTGGAAACGAAACAAAAAATCCATGATATTCAGCAAAATTAATTTGAAAAAATAATTTATTTTGAAATTGAATTTTTATTCTAGTTCTGATGGAGAATTAAAAAAAAAAATACTCGTATTCTAATTTATTTTGAATCTTTAGACTTTCATGAGGGTGTTAATATTCAGGTGTTGTTTATTTTTGATCGTCAAGAGTCCTCTGTGAATAGAAATCCACGGGCATTGTTAAAAAATAACGATGGGGTGGGCAACCGGCAGTACTGGCGTGTCGACAGCGTTGCCTACCCACACAATAGGCAGGCGTTTGATCGCCGCCTAGCTTTTCCGAGAAAGGAGTGAGTGAATGGAGACGGAAAACTCAAATCCGCGCCACTTTCCTCCTGGAGGTGAAATAAAATTTTCCAGGAAATGCTCTTTGAGTTATTAAAAAAAAAAAGCAAAATGGAGTGATGAGGTAAAGGCCCTGGAGAAAATGCAAATTGTTCCGTCGCTGCAAAAAGCGGCCCTCCTTAATTACAGAGAAAGCATTTTGCGCGCCCACGCTCGGTCTCATTCACTCGTCGGCGCGCAATTATTATTTGTGCGCCTCTTTTTGCACCTCGGCAGAATTAATGGGAAATCTTGACAAATTATTCGGTCCGGCCGTTTTAATTAATTCCACCTGCTGCTCGGTCAGGGAAAAACGCAGGTGCCGCGCGCAAAAAACACCCTGCAAAATGAGTAATGACGTTTGGATTTGCTGAGTGCGCGGGGAGAAAATATGCGTGAAATGAGAATGCCTGCCGGTTAGCTTTTCTTGCTAAAACATTTTGGCTCGGTTAAAAAATTAATCTGTTCTTTTTAGGTTTTTTTTTCAACTAGAATCTTTTTTCCATCAACTGAATAACTAAAAATGTAATGAAAATAAGAACTATTTTCGCTTTTTCCATAAGTTTTGTTATAAATAATTTCATCAACGTAAAAGAAATTGAACTCCATCATTATTTGTAAAATATTGTCAAAATAATAATTATAAAATTAAACATTGAAATTTGCTTTTCTTACCAAATCATGTAAGCAAAGTTGAGAGACAATATTTCAGAAATTTATATATTTTTAACAGTAATACTCATAACTAATTTGAAGTTAAATTTTCATGCCAATCGAAACATTTTTAGTTTAAATTGTTTAAGAATTTTCTGATTTTTAAAAGTTCATGATTATTTTCATCTACACTGTCTGCTTTAAAAAAGCTCATTTTTTTTAAAAGTCACAGCAACGAAAAACAAATTAATTTTTAAATATTTTATTTTCGCAGTCGTTGCCCTCGCTTGGAAATAATTGGCGTGTCATTTTGTTCCTCGGAAAATTAATGAAAATAATTTCCCAGCGGGGCTCTTCTCGACCGAAATACCCTTTTCTCCTCTCACCAGTAGTTGTTCTTTCTCTCTTGCTGTGCTATTTTATGATTATCGCGTGTCGCGTCCAGAGCACGCGTTTCAATTTTATCACACCTGAAACCCTTTTGCTTTTGTAGGACGCTTTTTCTGCGCCATATGCATAATGAATGAACTGCTCGGGTAGGTATAAAAGCGCCGAATAGAGTGAAGAGAAAAAAAGGAGCAAACAAAGTGAGTAGAGACAGATTTACGTTTCTGCGTGTTTTCCATGACTTGATTTCGTGCAGAGGTAAAAAAATAATAATGTTGATAGATTTTAGGTTGAAGTGAGCGTGAAATTCATCTTAAGTACTTATCAGGCACTTATGACATAAATAACACATTTTTATTCCATTGTGTAATAAATTTTCAAAATAACTTTTTATTTTAACCATTTCTCAATCGATCTTCTCAATTTATGAAAGAATAAATTTAAAAACAGGAATAAAAAAATGTATCTTTTGAAAGTTTAAATTTCCAAAATTTTATTACGTTTTTTTTGTTACGAGCCCTAAAACTTTGAGAAAATCAATATTCCACATTTCAGATCTGATACATGAAAAGATATATCTTTAAAAGAAAAAATTGTTATTTTAAATTTTTTCCAATTCATTACAGAAATTTAGGACATTTCTTAGTGTTTTCAATTTGTATCTACTCTGTCGGATGAAATTCTATCAACAGGATATTTATCTAAAAAAAGAATGAAAAATCAAAGAAATAAACTTTTAAATTTAACCACAAAATTTTAATTTTATCTAGGAGAGAAAAGCAGTAATTTTTTTCAAACAGTTTTTAAATTTTCCCTCTAATTTAATTTATTTGAATACCATGAAAATTAATGGAGAAATGACAAATTCTTCTATTTTACTAATTTTTGCCACCAAATTTTTGTATCCCCGCAGCCAACGACACACCTGATGACTTCCCGTGCGTGCGACTCGAAAGCGTCGATTCATGCTTTTATTTATTTTGCTACAGGGTGGAGCCGCTGATATATTATTAATTTTGGCTTTATTGCGCCTGGAAGCGGCGTTTTTGATGGATAGATAGGACGAGGCTCGTGACAAAAGCACAACAGGGAGAGTGAATTCCGTGGCTGCATCAACTGCTCTTCAGGGTTGTGTACTATGTGCATTTAAAATAGCAAAGTGTCATAGCTTTTGAAATAACAATTTTGTTTTCAAAATTCAGAAAGAATAGAAATTTCAAAATAATCAAATAGTATTTTTCAATAAAATTCGCGATTATTTATACTAAAAAATAAAAATCAGATAGAAATTATTTTGGATATTACACAAAATGATTTTAATTTAGGAGCCAAATTTAAATAATGAATAATAATCACAAATTTTTTTCTACCAAAACAATTAGATACAAAATAAACCTTTTTGAGCTATTTTTTTGACACTTAAAAAATTTATTTTCTTCCAGATTTGGGTGCCCGGAATTGTCTTGAACTGGGGAAAAATGAATTATGGTGGTGAGAAAATTGCGCAAAAACGAACTTCGTGATGGAATTTCCTGAGGAGGGTGACAGGAAAAGGCTTTTATGTGCCGGCTCTTGACCCCATTCCTTGCTCCGGGAAATGCACGACTAGAATCCGGCAGCCGCGTCCGGGGTCGAAGGCGCATTACACGAGGCCATTAATTTTGTAATTCACGCGGCGGCTGTCAATGGAAACGGCGCCGCCGAGCACATTTTGCATTAGATGCGTTTCCGAGTCGAGTGCGTATTTTCGAGACGGAGCAAAGTGAGCGCAGGAGGCGAAAACGCCAGAGCTGCCAAAACGCGTGAGCTGCGAATGATAAATGGCAGAGAGAACGCTCAAGCACTCTGCCCATAATATCAAACGAGAGAACCGCGGCAATAATCTAATTTGCTTGACGCGTGTTATCATATTGACGCCGCCATTCGTTATCCTGCCACCTAATTTGCTCTCGGCTCTTAAAACTGGAATGAATATTGATGAGACCAGAAATAGCTGATTGTTTGTTAATTCATTTGTCAATCAACGTCGTTTCAAAATGTCTAATTACTAGAAATTCTGTGCATATTTTGATTAAAATATACCAAAGTTCCCAAAATTAAAATCACTTTTTTGAAACATATGGATAAAAATTGATTTTTTTCACCGACGTGAACACAGAAAATTAAAATAGTTCCGATATCGTCATTGGTAAATATTTTATAAATGCACCCCCAGGCCGGAATTACCATTTAGTCCTTGGCGTAAAATATACAAGAATTCAAAAATTAGAGGTTGGGTAACTTTTTTCGCGATGTTTCCAAAATTGACTATTTGAGGACTACAGATATTTGCAAATGATTTATGTTTAACGTTTTTTATTAATGGCCGAAACATTACCCCGATTCAAATTTGTGGCACTTGATGCAATTAAACATTTGGAAATTAACCCTTGAGAACTAGCGTGGGGTCCGCGCGGACCCCAAAAGCATTATTTTTTAATTAACTCCCTTAAAAACTGCTTTAAAAAATCTGAAAAAAATTCTAATTGACTCTTTCGTGATACTTTACTAAAAGCCAATCGTAAAAAGCAAAAAAATTTTTTAGTTTTTTTTATTTTTAAGTTTTTTCAAAAAAAGCGGGACTTCTACGCGAGGATTAGCGTGGGGTCCGCATGGACCCCAAGTTACTTTTTTTGCTTTCAACACTGCAGTTGTGTACGTAATGACTTGAAACTTTCAGGAATCAACCCTGAACCATTTAGCATTTGGTTGGGCTTCAGAAATTTCAACCCCCACCCTTGAAACCCCTTTTTCACCCCCTCAAATCAATAAAAACTAATTTTTTTCTTTTTATGCTGCAGCTTGAGCGCAGAACCATATTTTTAGGGGTGTACAGAAAATTTAGGGGCTTTGGCCAAGTAAAAGAGTAAAGGGGTGTAACTTATGCAACCCCTGTACCTTTCAACCCTCTAAAACTACCCTTAGTTGCTATAAATTGCTTCCAATCAGTGAGGCACCTTTGTTACAATGAAATAAACCTTGATCACATGGTGGGGGCTTACGTTTGACAAAATATGATGTCACACCCCTAATAAACCCCAAAACTACCCCGAAAATTATAAATTTCTTCTATTCTGTATTGCGTCAATGTGTTTTACAAAAAAAGTATAAAAATTCCCTTCTTTGATTTAGATTTTTGCATTTTTTTCTGTCACACCCCCATATCACCCCAAAACTACCCCTTGAATAAATGTCAGAATGGTTTATGTATATTTTCCTTGCCTCAAATGTAATATGCTGCAGAAATTATAATTTATTCGCATTCACTGACAACTATTATAAACTTCAAGGCAAGGAAAACTAACAAAACATTCTGCCATTTATTCAAGGGGTAGTTTTGAGGTGATTTGAGGGTGTGGCAGAGAACCTTGCAAAAAAGTAAATCACAGAAGGGTATTTTATTCTTTTTCAGGAAAAACACATTGACGTAGTACAGAGTGGTAGAATTTTGTTGCTTTAGGGGTTGTTTTAGGGGTTGAATGGTTGAAAAGTTAAGGGGTTGCATATGTGTCATCCCTTTATGCATTAAGTTGGC